GACATTTGTCTAACACAGAGGAAATGTTTTAAGAGGGTTGGAAACACAAACCCGGCTTTCTGCGGACATCTGATTCCCCTTGCTTGTTTGACAATGCATCCTTGCTTTCACTCACGCATGAAAACAAATTCTGTTCTCCCCCCTCTCCCCACCGCCAACAGTTCTGAGCACTTTACTCATCCTGATCACACGTTAGAATTTTGGAATGGGAAGAGATTCAGACACCATCTACTGGTAGTTCTCAGCTCCCCTGCTGGCCCCAACATTCTCAAGGATAGTCCTTCCTTAGTATCCACTCCACCAACGCATTCCCAAGAGCTCAGTTTGCTGGAGCATTCTGCAGACAAATCTATCAGAAAGATGGGGGTGGAGGGTGAGGGTGGTCAAGAAAGGTGGTAAAGTGACCCCGGGAGATTCTGTGTTCCCATGTAGAGAGGATTTCTTTTTCTTTTTGAGGATTGAATCTACAGACTTTCCCTATCCTACACTTGGAAAATCATAACAACGAAGTTAGGGAAGACTGTGGAAATCCAGCCCACCAGGAGCAATGCTTCCTATGTCCTGGCAAAACAAAACTTCACATCACCCTCGCTTCAGTCACATTCTTCTTGGATTGGAAAGTAGCTGTGGGCCATTTCTGGGCAAAGTGTATTTCTTTGTTTAATACAAGAAACTAACATACATATATGTGTTTAAGAGTGCACATATGCATAGCAACAGAAGAATGTCTGTTTTGCAGAAACCAGTTTACAACTGGGTGTCTTCAGTGGTCCTCTTCTTCTTTCTTTGATCGCATTACCAAAATGAGATAGATTTTTCTTGATAAATAACCTAATAATTAATAATAATATTAATAATTAAATTGTTATAAATTTGGCACAGCCTCCCTACCATCTCACCCAAACTCTTTCAGATATTACCACCCCGCTTTTTTCTTGAGGGTGATTGTTGTTCTGTTCCATCTTAAAGAGGACATTTATCTATTTTAATTTTTCAGCAATATCAATATGATATAAATAGAGCATAAACCAAGTTCATATTATGCCTGAGAGTAATAACAATAATAATAGTACTAACCATAATTTCTTGAGCAGTTAGTACATGCCACATTCTGTGATATTGCTTTATATAGATCATTAAGTTGCCAGGTGCATGACATTCATGCACATTAAAAGGGGATTAATTAGAGGAAATATTTTAATATTGCTATTTGCCCTTTTTCTATAATAGAAGTGTCAGAGATTAAAGAAAATTAGTAAAATATATGAAAATCTTCCTCCTGTTAGAGTTTGGGGCATGCCATGGGATCCAGAGTCAAGTCCCCACTCACCTAAAGGGCCTCAAATTAATGTGAGACCCAGACCTAGCTGGCTCCATCCCTGTTGGGCAAGATCCAGACCCAGTTGGCCCCACCCTTGTCAAGCTCTGCCAGGTTGGGGGTGCAGCCTCAGGTACCCCAGCACACCCTCAGGTCCCCCAGCCTAGCGTCGGGGTGGGGGCATTCCTTGTGGTCTCTCATCAAGCCCCACTGGGCCAGGAGCATGGCCTGAGGTCCCCTGTCAAGCCCCACTGGGTAAGGGGTGTGGACTGAGGTCCCCCAGCCTGGGGTGAGGGGAGTAGCCTGAGGGACCCCAGCCTAGCACCAGGGCAGGGGGTGCACCTTGAGATCCTGGGTTAGAGGTCAGTGATTGTTAAAATATATTTCTGCTCAAAAATCTTCAAGCCCTAAAAAAATGAATCAATCAGCTTCAGATTAGCTGCTGATATGGTAGCAGCTTTATCACTCGTTATTGAGATTTAGCATTATAAATTTCAGTAATAATCAGTTGGGGGGGGAGTTAGTATTATATAATGAGGGAAGTGATTTCAGAGAGTTATTTTATTCCATTTTATGGAAATTTGTTATTGTAATCCAGTAACTGAGGGAATCTTACAAAGTGTCTATAAAAACAGAAGGTTTTTTTTTTTTTAATGTTCAAATATAAAGGAAATTGAAATATTGGCTTATTTTGACTTGTTTATATCTGTTTTTGACCATGGTATATATTATACTATCAGAGTAAGTAAGTGTTTTTCCATAATAGAAATTAATATGAAAATTTCTGTTGTATCTTTGTAATCAAGCCTTTGCTAAGATACTGCTTGTCAGAATTGGGATTTAGTGAGAATTACTAGAAATGTATGAACTAGGTTAGGAGTTTTATTGTGAGGTGTGTTCATAGGCATATTTCCAGTCTAACATTATGCACATTTTTAAACAAGTTGGTGATGTAAAGAATGTTGGAATAATTTAGAACAGGTTTCTGTAAAGTTTCTCTGTCTTTATAGAAAGTTCTGTTTTATATTTAACAATAAACACTCTTCAGTGGCTTCTTGCTCAATATTCTAAATTTGGAACATCTATTTCGCATCCTGTGTCTTCCACCTCCCTACCAAAGAGACTGAGGTCATTTGTGTGACCTTCATTCGAGGAGAGTCTATAATAATGTACTTGTAAACGTGAGAGACCAAGGAGGGTGTGAGGACTGGGTGCTTCTTGCTCAAGCAAGAAGGAAAGTCCTTCTCCTGAGCCTGTTCCAGGCATTTTGCCTTTAATTGGCAGCTTCGCTTCCTGAGGGAGGAAGGACTCTGGAATTCAAACAGACACGGGTCCCAATTGCCTGGCTCCCTCATTGTGAGACTGGAGTTCTGGCCTCCTCAGCTTGTGGGTGGTTGAATAATATTTACCTCATGGTGTCAGTGAGGTGCTGAAGCAGGCTGTGGATGTACAGTGTCTGGCACTGGTAGGACTCAGTCACTGTTTGCTGTATTCTCCTGTGAGGAAGTGTGGAAAGAAAATGAGGCACCTACTTTATACTGTAGGACTGGGTTCATCATTATCACAGTTAAGGCTTATTGGATACTTACCAATGTCAAGTTTTAATTCACTGAATGCTTCCAACAACTTGATAAGGTAGGTTCTATAATCCCCATTTTAAAGATAAGAAAACTGAGGTGTAGATAAGTTATTTACCCCAAGGCAGCGCCAGAGTTTGAACTCAAATTTCACTCTCAAGCCCATACTGTGAATCAGCCCAAATCCCGCTCTCCTGCCTCACAGAAAGGCAGGAGCTCTGTAGAAAAGCAGTGAAAACAAAGATTAGAGAGGAATGTTAACCTGGCCTAAAGATGTATTTACCAGGGGAACTTCGAGTTTAGGGAAAGAGTAAACTAGTATGTTCTCCAAACAAAGGATTTGCACAAATGTGTTTGTAAGCAGAGTCCTGAGGTTGCAAACTGAGACAAGAAAATATATTTGACCTGAAGCTGAGGGAAAGGAGGAAGGGTCTCTCTGGAGACCCAAGAAGCTTGATGGTCTTCGTCTGGCAGAGGGAAGATAGAGACTTAAACAGTCAGCCTGGCTCTTGCAGCCTCTCTGAGGTGATGTCTTTTTACAACTTGCTTTGTTTGTGCACAATGTGTACTATAGAGCTACTTATCTTTGTAGTGAACCGTCTCAGAGAGGTTATTTGCAGCTCTCATTGCAAATAACCCACAGGGAAGCTTTGTAAATGTCCTACCACCTTCCGCTTTACCCAGAGAGGTCTCAGCGAGTCCGAGGTAGGGCCAGGTAGTGGTGCTTTAAAGGACCCCAAGGGAATTCCACCTGGAAAGGGGAGATGCTGCAGATATCAAAGTGGTTTCAAGTTCCAAAGGAGAAGAAGCACACCAAGGGGATCTCAGAGCCCCAGGACCATCCTTGAACGGCTCCTTAAGCACTGAAGGGGGCTTGTCTCCCTGGGCTAGTGTTCCTTGAGACCTCTGCCATTCACCAAGTGCCAGTGTCATGATGACTGCCACACCCTCAGGCCATGCCACTCTTTGAGTGTCGCCACATCCCAGACAATCAGAGCCACGGTTGCCCATTCTGGGCTGAAATATTTCCCAGAGACAAGTCTGCCACTAGCTGCCAGCAAGCCAGTTCTATAGAAAATGCTTCTCTCTCCCTCCACCTCCACAGGGCTACAAAGTGGACAAGTTTAATTTCTATGTAGTTTATCTTAAAATTTGGGTTCAGTAGCTCACCAGTACTCTACTTGTTTGTGATAGGAAACAATAATAAATGTAAAGATTTATGAGTGAGGGACATTTAGTCTTGGAAGGTCTCATAACTGAATGAAGAATGTAACATAAAAATCAAAAGAATTTCACATGTAAGAAACAGGAATGATAGAAAGATATGAGACAACTTCATTTAATAGATTCCTTTCTTAGAAAAATTCATATGAAGTGAATTTCTAAATGAATTGTATTTTAAATATTTTCCCATTATATAATTTGGTACATTCTGATTATTAGTAGAAGGAACATAAAAAATTCAGAATTTAAAACACCTCGTAAAAAGTATGTTTCAAAGTAAATAATTATATTTCAAAGAAAAAATCTAATTGCCCATAAATAAAGTTTGGTGGAAATATATCTAACAGAAACTATAATATATAATGTCTGGCTTTTATGACTGAATTGTAGAATAGTTTCCAATGTTAACATTTGCCCAATAATATCAACACTAACTGAATACCTAATGTTAAATCCTACCAAATACTAAATATGTGCTCATTGTCCTGATTTAGTAACATGTTACTACTGACCTGACATTTCAATAAAGCATGTTTAAATAGGGCTGATTGACAATTAAAATGTAAATTTCTAATAGGTGTGCAAGGATTTAGTATTAGCTAGATCTTTGAATCAATGTAAAGGTCATCTGGATAATGTTGGCAACACTTATATATATACACACACACGAACACACATATATGATTTAAGGACATATATAAATACATATATTACTTAAAGATGTTGTTATATATACAGAAGAATAATGAAATATCTAGAAAAAGATGGATTAACCTAAGAGCTCATGTATGGACTAAAAACAAGATTTTCCTTTTCTGTATTAGGGACACAGAGTTTGTTATGTTTTTAAAATATAATATGTTTTATTTATTTTTTGACAGGTTGTTTGGTATCAAATCAGTTATTCAAACAGACTGTTCCAGCACGTGGAAGATCGTAGCAAACCCAAGCCTGAAATGGTACCACCACGCCAACCCCATCCTGCTGCTGGTGATGTACTACACGCTGGCAACTCTGATCCGCATCTGGCTGCAGGAGCCGCTTGTAAGGATCAAAGGTTTTTGTGATCTTGTCTGCAAAGTAACCGGGAAAACCCCAGGTGAAATGGTTCTTCCCTACCAAGTGCCCAATATAGTGTTGGTAGCAATAAGATGGATTAACTATAGTATTGTAGTTAATGGATTAACAATACTATAGTATTGGTAGCAATACTAGATGCTCCGAACTGTAGTGCTCTGCTTATAGTATTTTTTGAGTCTACAAAGAGTTCTAAGTACAAATACTATCAGAACAAAGACCAGCTTCCTTTTGATGCTACCAACATGGGCTGCTAAGAATGATAGGTGATGTGGAGAATGGAAGACTCATTATTGAGCACTTACAAAGTGCCAGGCCATATGCAAGGCTGTTGACATGCGTTGTCTTTTTCAATCCACTACCTATTCTGACGAGTAGTATTGGACCCAGCTTAGAGATGAGTAAAATGAGGTTAGCATGGTAAAGCGGTCTGAAATCACACACCTACTGGAGAGCAGAAACCAGATTCAAACTAATGTTTAACAACAAAACGAGGTTCTCAGTGGCTGTTTACCCTGTTCATGCAGTGACTGGAGTTTTCCAAATTTCTCAGACCTCTATCCTCTGAGCACTGATGGCATGTGATTAAAACATGTTTTGAGGGATAAAGACCCATTTATCTTTGTTTGAAAGTAATTAAAAATTGCTTCACTGTACTTGTGCAGTACTAAAAGCTGCATTGTCCAGTAAATGTGAGAGAGATCCATTTAGGAAATGCTGAACTGCTTTTTCAGACATTGGTGTTAACATATTTTCAATTATTGTGTGTATGTGAATGTGTAATAGAAAATAGAAAAAAGTTGCATTTTTCTACTTATATAAACAAAATGCTACTTATATAAACATTTTCTATTTATCTAAATACCATGAGTTTTGTGCATGGTTTTTATAAATCTTGGATTTACCGGACTGTCTTTTTATTCTTTGTGGATTTTTTTTTTAGAAATTATAAAATTTTATGGTAGCTAAAATGTTACTTAAAAACAAGTTCAGTTATTGAGGCAGCTTATTAGTATGTGAAGGAGGCACTAGTAAATGCGTGCACAAAAGAAACTAAAATGTATTATGTACTTCTGAACAGTGTTTTATAACTGACAAAAGTTACTTCAAGGAATTTGAGTTGGTAGGAGTTTGCAAGCGCCCTTAGCTTTCTCAGATTTCTCAGGCAGACCCGCAGGATGGCAGGCGCTGTGCACCCTGCTGTCCCACCGTCACAGAGGTGCAGGTGTTATCCCTACTCCAACAATGAGATGACGTTCAAATGAGACATTGGGTTTCTTTAGCCGTAGAGCATGTGGCGACAAAGGAAGGCAGCTAGGAAGACCACCCAGGTTCCAGCCTGCACAGTTAATAGCAGTATTACCAATCACAGGGGCTGCAGGGGTGTGGCTCATTAAGGCAGTGATGGAAGCCAGGTGACTGATTATATCGTAATTCCAGATCACCTGGCACATGGTGTGAAAAATGCCAGCCAGCGAATTAAGGTTTGTTCTGTGGTAAAAGTCTACCATACATGTTTGAGAGAGAGAGAGAGAAAGAGAGAAACAGGTGTCAAAACTTGGATGTAACATATGGACTCCCACCAGGCGAGTGTGAATTTCCACCCAGTGTGCCCGAGTGTTTCCACGGGTGCTGCTGGCACTGGAACTGGGGACCTGGGCAGTAGGACCATGTCCCCTCCCTCTGCTCCAAAATCAGTGGTTAATTCCCTTCGTATTGGGCCATCTTTGTTGAGGCAGCATTCTGTTCCTCATACCCTCTCTTTATCATCTCTCCCAGACCGATTGTCTAATTTAGATTAATGTCTTCTTAGGCGAGGCCACAGTTTTGTGAATAAGATATATGCTAGCTTCATGGTGTGTAAACTCTAGGTGATTTTGGCTTTAATAAATCTTTTCTTCATGAAAGGTTACATAGTTAAGTGTATATTTTTATTGTAAAGCTCTTCCTCTAAGAACCATAGTTGTCTTCTAGTGTTTAGAACACACATGAATAAGCTGTGGATGTTTAACATTAGAACATATTCTTGTAATTATGGGGCTTAATAATAATCAGGAGCATTAATAATGATGAGCTGAGCATTTAAATGACAGCATTTTTGTTATTTTTGAAAGTGTCTTAATAAAACCCCTTATATTGTATACATTAATTTGAAAAATAATCATATCGAAGCAAAGTTGGAAAGTTTTCCTGGTCATTCCGGTGGTTGAGGGAACTGCTCCGGGAAGCAGGGCTTGTCCTTTGAGCAATTGTTCTGTGTCTCAGGTGCAGGATGAGAAGACCAAGGAGGAGAGAGCCCTGCCCTGCAGTCCCATCCAGATAACAGCTGAGAGGAGGCGGAGCCTGTGGTATGCAACCCATTACCCAACTGATGAGAGAAAAGTAAGACACTAAGAAAGGAATTTCCATTTCCTACTTTATTTCGATATTTTCATATTATATTGCCCAATGTAGGTCATATAGTATCAATCTTAAGTTGCTCAGTTTATAGAAATGGGTTGACTTGGATGTCTTAGTAGTGGAGAGCTCTATTCAAGAAGGAGCATAGTGCTTCCAAAGGATATACCGTGGCTCCATTGTCCTCTATGAGACATCATTCTGTATTTCTGTGCTTTCCACTGAAGTCTTTTAATCCTAAAGAAAAAGAATGTTCTTCACTTAAAAAAAATAAAGCTGTATTAAAACAATCAAAACCTAAGGAAGTCATCTGTGAGCCCTCGATGGTGAAAGTCTCGGTGTTCAAATACATTGCAAATAATACTTTCACTCTATTAGGTAGCCAGCCACAATAATAACTCAAGAAACCACTTAGAGAATATCAAAACAATCTATACGAATACAATTAGGTGTCTCTTACTACTGTGAAGCAACAGTATGGATTGACAAGGAAAAGTGAGTCACAATTGGGTAATTCATACAATGTTTTGAGCACATAGTAACCATTTTGAACTCAACTCAATCATTGCTATACTGACTTGCTAAAATGTCCCATTTGCAATGTTCCAAAGACAAATAATCTTATTTTACTTGGATGGGGTCAGCAGTTTTTGCTTGTGGCATGTCAGAGTATTGAGGAGCAGGTACTCTGATTTATTTGGTGGTAGGCGAGTTTCTCTAAGACACATGGTCTTATTCTGCGTATGGCCATCCTGTGCCGAGAGAGGGTGGAACAATGAAACGCTGTCGTAGGGAGCTGGCAGCAATGTGGAGAAGATGGGGCACCCTTGGATAGCTGAGGGTTTCCAGGGTCCCTTTCCGCTCTCATCGCACCATGTTTCAGATGATCCTGCTCATTTCACTAAGTGATGATATCCACAAAGGACAGCACAGCAGTTGCCAAAGTGAGGTCAGTGCACCTCTGAGGATTCCTGAGGCCCTTACAGCAATCCACAAGCTCAAAACTCTTTTTGTAATAATTGCTTAAATATTTACCTTTCGTTGTGGTAACGAATTTTTCTTTCTGATGGTACAAAAGCACAAACCAAGGCAGTGGCATGAACCCCTACAGTCGTGGTCGAGCCCTCATGGCTACACACTTGCAAAAAGCAAAGCAAAAAGGCCAGTTCCGTTTAAGTATATCCTTGATGAACCCAGAACTTTTCATTAATTTTCTTAAGTCTCAACCTTAGAGCACACGTCTTTTCAATATTGTGTGTGACAAAATAAGGAGTCAGCACAAAGTGCCACATACTGAAGTATGACAACTGTATCGATGAAAAGCATTTGATCCGTCATTGGAAGTGTGGATTGAACTAGCCATTTTCTGCTGAACACCAGGTTTACTTGAAATAGCTGACAGATGGTGGTTACTCGGGTGTGGGTGTTTGGTAGACAGTTACTGGAAAATAAATAGAGTGAGCCCATCTTTTCAAGGCATCAGCTCACAGCACTTGTCGCCAATGATAAAATTTGAACTTTTGAGTGAAAATTCAATGATTGAAAAAATTGTATCTACTGCTGAGGGCTTGAAAACTTCCCAATACGTAAGGACTGTGCTGGTAAAATCAGTGCTGATATTAACAAACGTGCTGTTTTAAATGTTGTGTGATGACATATGTCAATACTGGTAGGGCTGTATGACACACACTGAAGCAAATCACCAACGCATGATATTGCAATGTGTGGGTGGAAGATACATGCAAGGTGCAAGGTACAGGCATACCTTGCTTTATTGTACTTTGCTTTATCGTGCTTCACAGATGTGTCTTTTTTTCAAATTGAAGTCAAACCCTCCACTGGCAAAAAGGTGATGACTTGCTTTCTGTCAATACTCACTTTATTGCAGTGGAATGGAACCAAACCTGCAACATCTCCAAGTGTGCCAGTGTATCAATAGATTTTGATGAAACACTGTGTAAAGTTTGATTTGAGTTCAGATTTCACATTGCAACTAACTTCAAGTTCCTACCATTTACTGAGCCTGATGCAGTAGAAAATAAAACTATCTACCATTATCAGGATAGACTACTGAAATACTTCTTCCTTTGCCAACTATAAGTCTCAGTGAACCAGATTTTCTTCATATAATTCAACCGTCACAACACATCACAACAAATTGAATGCAGAAACAGATAAGAGAATCCAGCTGCCTTCTTTTAAATCAGTCAGATGTTAAAAGGACATGCAAAAGCATAAAACAATGCCACTATTCTCACTGTTTTTTAAATGCAGCTGTTTGAATATCTATGTTAACATATAATGGCTATTTAATTTTTAATGAATATGTAATATCTTTAAATGTCTTAGTTTTCATTTCTCAATGGTAGATACTGACAGATATTACTCATATAAAGAACACTTTGCAACCCTCCCCCCCCCCAGTGATTTGTAAGAATGTAAATGAGTCCTGACTTAAAATATCTGGGGACCCCTTTGCACTGGCAAAGCAAATGTTTATTATTTAGGGGGAGCTCAAACCATCTGGCACTAACATAACTAAAAAATACAGTCCTATAATAATTCTTTTGTTGTAGACAGTATCTAAATCTTAAAATAATCTCAAACCACACAACAAATAAAGTTTTCTTTATTATGAAGCGTCTATTTCTTGAAAAGCAAACACTCAGAATTCTGCAGTGTCTCAGAGGGTTCTAGGAATATAAAATCTAGCGGTTTAATCTATTAGAACAAAACACTTGAAAATATAACTAACGTTTATAGTGATGTTTATGCCTGCTTATTTGCTATTATAATTAAAAGCTAGCATCAGAAGCTGGACAATCTATAAAAATAAAAGCGTAATATGCTAATTAGACTGGAAGTCCTTCCAGAAGTCCTTCCAGACGACCTTCCAGATGAAGCCCCGATGGCAGGGACACAGGCAGAGACGCTGCGGTGGCAGTGGGGTCTGAGCCCCTTGCATGAATGTTGTGCACCAGGCCTCTAGTGTTATAATAAACAGCAACATCCCACTCAATTATTTGCCCCTTTATATTTTGCATGGCAATTTTAACATATAATACTAGCATCGAGCTAGTTTAAGAGAATGGATATGTATGTGCTGAAACTTGGTATACATTACAATGCTTTTGGCTTATATATTAACATGCTGTCCTGCATTGCTTTTTGCAGCTTTTATCCATGACCCAAGATGACTACAAACCATCTGACGTTAGTATATCCTTAGAATTATCATTTATGTGTGCATAAGTTATGTAAAAGTGACATAAATGGAATTAGCTCCTTTAGTCTATTTTAATGATCTATACAATTTCTCTAACTTTTTGAATAATTATTTTGTAGAAATTAGATCTGGTTTATTGCTATTAAAATACCAACTTGTGAACTCCAGCATAGTCATATAGAATGTATTTAAACTTTAAAAAAACATATTGGGATTTTTTTTTAAAAAGCATTTTGCTCTGTGGCTTTGTCTGCTACATAGTTTGAATAGAAACTCTTACATGTCCACGGACACACACACACACATATATATATATATATATATATATATATATATATATATATATATATGTGTGTGTGTGTGTGTGCATTTTTATATGATTACCGTATTTTCCGGCATATAAGACAACCCCCCTAATTTTACAGTTAAAACATAGGTTTAGGCCTATATTCGCTGTATAAGACTACCCGAGGCAACACCAGTTCTTTTTTTAATAGACCGCCTCTCTGACTCTGGCCAATCTGAGCAGGCTTTTTTTCGTTTCAGAAGTCATCTTATACGCCGGAAAATACGATATCTTTAAAATTGTAAAGCCAAAGAACAGAGGGGGGAAATAAACAAGAAATTGCACATCGTATATGACGTTTTACAGTAAGGGAATTACAAGCTGGCAGCATCAGACAGAGATGCCCAGAGGGGGTGCCGTCTGAGCTGAGACCTGTTGCGTCAGTCCTGTGCAGAGCCCATTGTCTGTGGGGAAGGACAGGGATGGGCCAGGACAGTGAGGCTCCTGGGCAGGGCCCAGGAATGGCCTAGAGTCCTTAGAGCTGGAGGCTGGCTGGTGAGGAGGACAGCCATGAGAGTAGAGACTGGCAATTAGACCAGGTCATGAGGCCTCAGGCAGCCTTTTCCAGATTTTGCACTCTAGTCCGAGATCAGAGGTGCATTGCATGGTGTTCAGCAGAGATGGGACAAGGTCAGAGTTCCAATTTATTGCAATCTGTCTGTGGAGAATAGGTTTGGAGAGGAAATAGACACAATTTTATCTTGCTAACGTGGCTAGCTGACTAAGCTCTTTGCTATCCATCAGTCCTTCACTGCTGAGTCACACCTTAGCATAAGGGCAGGAGGCTGTATGTCCACACTGAAAACAGCAGCGGCATCACAGGTGTGCCTCTTCCCTTACGCCCCTGCAGGGCCTGCTGGTCACCGTGAATGGCAACCCTGTGGACTACCACACCATCCACCCCAGTCTCCCCATCGAGAATGGCCCCGCCAAAGCCGAGCTGTACTCCACGCCGCAGTACCGGTGGGAGTCCTCGGACGACTCTGCAGGTGAGGAGGCAGCTCTGCAGGCTGCGGTCTGCCCGGGGTTTTAGTTTCTCACAGGCGTAAATTCAGCCTTGCCTCCCTGTCTTTTGTTTCTTGTTCCTTGGATTTGGTTCTTCTTTCTCCTTTCTTTTCCTAACAAGTATTGTCTTCCATGGTTAGTTATAATTAAGCTCGGTTCCTTAAGTTCTCCCTATATTCCGCCCCAATGCATGGTTATGTGTGTTCTATCCTTATCTACAAACTAAGAGGCATAATCAGGGCAAATGTTGACAAATGAAAGGTAAAAAGCTATTTTAAGAATAACTTTGTGTATATGTATGTTTTAGTATTTCCATCATTTGATAATGTAATCCTGGTCAATAGTTCTGCAGGTTAATGGATGAATCTTTTCAGAAAGAGTTCTTTTTGTTTATTAAGAAGAGGAGAGGGTCAAAACTTGTACACAATCCTCCCCGACCCTCCTTTTTCTCTGTCTGTTATGTTAAGGGAAAGCAGCCTGAGTGGAAGAGTTATTGACCTCAGACTCAGTTTTTTAGGCCCACACAGCATTTTCTTTAAAAAAAAAAAAAAAAAAAAAATTAAATGGTAACCAACATTTAAAAAGCTGCAGCTCTAATCTAGAAATGCAAATTTCCAGAATCCCTTGAAAAATGCAATTATCTGGCAAACTAGTCCCTCGTTTCTGCAAGGAAGCAGCTATTATCTTTGGCTTGTTGGAGACCACGCCAGTTACCAACTCATAAAGACAGAATTAGCTGAGTTTACTATCGAAGGGGAGAAAAGCAGAAGGCATGCAGGTAGCAGCAAAGATACAACATTATAGTGGACTTTTCTATTTTTATGGAATTAAAGCTGGGGTTGTTATATATTATCCTAAATTTAGTGAACAGCCAGCCACTATCCAATCTGGGTTATCAGTACATTGAGCTGACTCTCACGTCCTTTTCTTTCATAATTCTTTATCAGGGTTATTCTAATGCACTGTTCTTCCTAGTTCTTTATCAGCGTTTCCTGCAGTTGCCTCTGACAATGCATCTACTTAGCAGTACAAATGTACATTATCCAACATTCTCTCCTAAGATCAGATCAAGTTCAGTTCTCTACCTCATCCTGAACCCCCCCACACACACCCAGCCTCAGCTGGCATCTGCAATCCCTACAGAGCACCAGACTCTACTGGTTAATTCCCCATTTCTCCTTCCGATGCGCATGTGTTTCAGTTTGCAACTCTGGCTTAAATGAAGGTTTTTCGCTGAGAGAATGTGTCAGGAAATACACTGCTTCCCAAAGTGTGGCCTTCAAACCTTTAGAATCACAAAGGGGAGGCCCAAGAACCATCATTTATGATGTCTGAAGTTCGAGACGTAGAGGTCAGAGCCAAATATCCTTCTATTGACACACTACTTAACATGAAAAGAAATGAACAGAATTCTGACTGCTGACAAGGCAAACCCAACATACTAATCATAAACTGAACTTTTGAAAGGAAAACAAAATTTTTTTATTTTAATCTATATATGCAAAAAGTGTTATCACCAGAGAAGTAGCATGCCAATAATTGGGAAATCCATCCAATTTAGACTCTTTGTGACTGTCTCCACTCTGTGGACTCCCCCCAGTAAACCCCAGGCTAACCCCCCCCCACCCACCCCCCCCGAGTTGGAGGGATGGGAGGCAGCGGGCTTCTGCGGGAAGAAGTATCACAGCTGCTCTTAGAGGCTCTCTGCTGAGCCTTCGTGGCCACTGGTTTTCAGAGATTTATGCTCCTTTTTTTGCTGTGCTCAGTAACTTCCTAAATGGGATGTAGCCTCTTTAATTTAAGAAATACAAGAAGGACATTTTACTTAAGTGTGTCACTCATTGTTTCATCTGTGAAATCAAAATAGCCGTCCTGACATCTGTAGGAGGATCTTGAGAATCCTTCACACTCATGGCAGTACTTTCCTATTGCTGGTCTCTTCAACTCAGGCATTTACACTTTCTCTCTCTTGCTTTGGCCTGCTCTTTCCATCCTCAGTATGACTTCTCTGCCTCAGCATGACCCAAAAGGAAACTCTGGACTATCACATCCACCCTGGCAAAGTGGTTGGTTTTCTGAACTTTTCCTGCATCCATACTCCACATACTCTTTGTATGAGTTATCTATTACCGAATAACACACTTAGTGGTTTAAAACAGCATTTATGTCACACTGTTTCTGTGGGTAAGGAACTGTCTGTGATTAGGCCGATATTCTTTGGCTCAGGGACTTCATGATGCTGAAATCCAGCTGCTGGCCAAGCCTGTGGTCTCATCTGAGGGCTCGCCTGGAGACAGTCTGCTTCCGTGATCACTCACCTGGCTACTGGCTGGCCATATGCCTTTGCTGACTGCTGGCCAGAGGCATCAAGCCCTTGCCACCTGGGCCCCTCCTTGGGCAGTGTATAACAAGGCAGCTGATTTCTCTCAGTATTACGTTCCTTAGAAGCCCATCAAAGGTCCCACACACAGTCAAAAGAGAGGGTTACACAAGACAGGAATACTAGGAGGTAGGGGGTCATTGGTGAGTGACTTAGAAGCTTCCCTCCATACTCACTTAAATAAAAAATTAATTTTGATAATTTCTGAGTGTGGGGTCCCATTCCACCCACCAAAAAAAATTCAATGATTCTGTTTGAATTCTATGGACTTCATTAATTGGAAATAATCTTTGGAGTCTTAAATGAAAAACCATGCTAAAAATATACATGAGCTGCATTGCTTGAGACACTCATACAAAATTCTTGTACTGTATTTGCATAACTAGTTGTGTAAAATATTTCTCTATCTAGAAAAGAAAGAGGAAGAAGAGGATGAGAAAGAAGAATTTGAAGAGGAGAGGAGCCATGAGGAAAAAACAAGCGTGAAAGTCCATGCCATGGTCTCTGTGTTCCAGTTTATTATGAAACAAAGTTACATCTGTGCGCTCATTTCCATGATGGTATGTACAAGAGGCCACAGCACGGGTGCTGAGAAATGTGTGCCTGGCCCGCTGGCCGGGAGCCTCGCTGACCTCTCAGGAGCAGCAGGAAGGTCTTAATCTCCTCACTGTGTTGGCAGAGAGCATTTGGTTCTATTAATGTTTCATGGGATTTTTATATTATAGATTTCAAAATCATATCCTCTTCCACTCAGCCTCCTTTTAAATATTAATACATTTCTCCCAAATTACCCTAGCAAGTCAGACCGTCCCTAGTTTCAAAGGACATTGTGTGTAGTTTTCCTCAGTGATAGTAAAGGTGTCCAAAATGACCATAGATCGCTTTTATTTCTTTCAGACAGTAAGAATTGCCTTCACATCTCGTCTACGATTGGAGTGAGGCTCTTTCTGTATCTCATCTGCAATAAACTTTTACCAACATGAATGTCAAGCAACCAGAGTTCCCAGAGTTCCCAGAGTTCCCCAGGGCTTTTCCTGTTAGGAGCACTCAGTGTAGGCATGTTTCTACTCACCTCTCGGGGCACCCTTCATCTCTTGTTTCACAGCATCGAACACAGTCTTCTGGCCGATACGTAGATGATAACAGAAAGCCTCATTCCTATACTCCCTGAAAACAAACTCTCATGGGAAATCTAATTTGTTTTTGAGAAACCTAACACTTATTTAACACAAAACTCTTCCAAAGTATTGTGTGTGGATGATAAGAAATGAAAGTAATCTATAAAGCTGGGGAGAAGGGGCACCTAAACACTGTTTCCTCAGTCCAGATGTTCCCCACTCCAGCTTCTAGTAAGAGCCACTGGGATACCTGAAAGAGGGGTGGGAAACAGAACGCTCCACAAAATTAAAGATGGCGCTTCTGGAACGTGCAAATTCTATTCTCTACATAACATGAATTCTGTCATCTTTTGGGTCCTTTTTGATATTTTTCTAATTTTCAATCTCTACAGAAAAAATAACAATTTTAAAATATCAAACATATAAGTGCAACTTACAAATCTGATGCTTAACTCAAAAGAGCATAAACTCCCCCCCCCCCCCCTTTGGGCCCTCTCCTTTCTAAAGATAAGCCAGTTAACTTTGGTACCTTTCTGTAAAGAAATAGAGCTTTAACATTTTTGAATACACATTTTGTAGGGGGAAAAATCTATTCTAAAAACAACAAAAGAGAGCAGATCCTTCATTTAGGGACATGCCCTTTTCTGTTGCCATTTCTGTTGTGTTAGTGGAACCACAGTATGAATGTTTTTAAAATGCCTGCCTTCCATGGAAGCTCCCTGCTGCACAGGCTTTTAATCACAGACAGAAAGGGAAGTCCAGAGGAGCTGACTCTGTTAGAACAATATATGATTTATTCAAGAATACTAAGTGCGTTTATACTAACCTCTCCGGAAACCCAGGCACTGAATGTAGGAAGAAGCAACATACTGCAGAGTCTGCTTCCCAGCTAACACAACTGAGAGCATAGGTGACTTTGGCTTTAAAAGGGAAGAAGTTTTTTTTTTTAAATCCACATCACTGCCAAAACCGGTTTGGCTCAGTGGATTGAGCGTCGGCCTGCGGACTGAAAGGTCCTGGGTTCTATTCCGGTCAAGGGCATGTACCTTGATTGCAGACACATCCCCAGTAGGGGGTGTGCAAAAGGCAGCTGATCGATGTTTCTCTCTCATCGATGTTTCTAACTCTCTATCCTTCTGTCTTCCTCTCTATAAAAAAAATCAATAAAATATATATATATTTTTTAAAATCCACATCACTTGTTTTTCTCCTTTTTCACTCTCACCTTCCAAACAAGAATAGTGTGCAGGGGGAAAATCTGCTGGGATTATAATCTCTGTGAAGCTTATTTTCCTGGGTCACTCACACAAAAATGGTAGTCACATCTGCCTCTCATACTGGGATAAATGCATTAAATACAGTATTTAATGCAAATATATTAAATGTTACCTGAATTTTGATAAGACAAGAAATAAATGTTTCTGAAAATAAGTCAGACTTGATCATAGTTGTCAGTCACTAACATAATCTTTAAAAAAGGAATTTTAATTTCAGTTTATACCTATATATTTTAGCCAACAATTTAAGATAATTTGCCATTTCAAAAGCTGCTACCTGTGCTTTAGGACAAATTTGCAAATCACTGAGAGGAAATATTTGTTTGGTCCAGGCAGACTTTCTTTATCTTAATACCTACTTTCTGGAAGCAAAACAGACTTATAAAACACTTCAGACTTTATAACTAACTCTTGATAATTAGTGCTATTCAGGAAGATGATAGTACCAGACATATCTAGAAATTGTTTTAAAAGGTCTATAAAATTTTTTGAATCAGAGATTATGGTTTACCATGAGAGCAGTGTGATCTGAGTCCATTGTAGAGGACTTTGAAATTCACCAGGCAGATTGGGTGTCTAGGAAAGGAATTCTATCAATTAATACTATTTGTGAGCCTGATTTACTCATTGTTCTGGTAGCTGCCCTTTGAGATACATTTCTGATTCTTTGAAAGTTTAGTGTGCATGGAAGGTGTATCATTTGTCCAAGCAGTGTGAGGGCTCTTAGTACTACTCCTTATAGAACAGAAGCTGAGGCTGGTATTTAAATTAACTTGGCTTTATTGTTTAGGGTGTGCAGAAAGCTGACATACAGCTTCCTCATGGGCATTTTCTAATTTCTGTCATTGCATTTTCTTGGGTATCTGAGAGTGATCTGTGAAGTGCAACAAGTATGCTTACCCTGGTGGTTCCAACAGCTTCCATTTCTGAACCCAGCTCTGGGCCAAGCGGGGAGAAAGTATTTACAGTTGCTTTTAATACTGCAAAGGAGGGTAAAGATGAAAACCTTTGGGGCTGGAGGGAAAAGAACCTGGAATGAAGACCCCCTTGCCTTTAAATCTATTCCCTATAGGAGTGTCAAAAGCAATGTTCTTCTCAGGAGAATCAGTCTTTCTCTTCTCTTCCCTCTCTGTGCCACAGGCTGGGATCTCTCTCCATGATTTCAGCACAACTCTCTCCTCTTCCCAGTTTGAATGTTACTTACTTTCTCTTCATAGATGACTTTTAACTTACCAGAGTAGATGACTCTATGCTGTATTGACCATTGCTTTTCCTCCCTGTTCCCCTGTCAAGGCTTGGAGCATCACCTATCACAGCTGGCTGACTTTCGTGCTGTTGATTTGGTCATGCACTCTTTGGATGATTCGCAACAGAAGAAAATATGCCATGATCAGCTCTCCTTTCATGGTTGTCTATGCAAATCTATTGCTGATATTACAATATATATGGAGTTTTGAACTTCCAGAAATTAAAAAGGTCCCAGGATTTTTGGAAAAGAAAGATCCAGGAGAACTTGCCTCCAAGGTAAGTGACTAAGAAACCAAGAACATAAAACATTATAACCACAATAAGAATAATAATCATATCTAAGCAAAAACTTATGAAAATCGGTTCCAAATATTCATTGCTTTACCAAAAATGAATAGATATGAAACTATAATAATCCAAACACAAACAAAAAATATTACATCATGCTTTTAGAACTTATTTAAAAGTGACAATGCTTTCCACTCAAAGAATAAATATACTCAAAGTTATTTTTAGTATAAATTATAATTTAGTAAATGATTTTCAATGGGTGTGCTGCAACTGGGACACTTGTGTACTGCAAAATATTTTAAAACATGCAAGACCTGACTATTGCAGGGGCACTGACCTCTTTTCTTTTAGACTGTCAAAGAAAAAAATAATAGCAATCAAAACAACAATAAACCATCTGGTATGAATGAATAAAAAATACACCTATTTTTTTGTTAGGTTGGCAAAAACATATATATTTTTGTGTGCCTCAGAACTTTAGTAACTACTTTATCTGTACTATAAGATTAAAAATATTGAAAATTGCTGGTATAGTAGAAATGAGATGAGGAAAATAGGGAAATAAAATGTAATATAAATATAAGGATTAGAGGACTTTGATAATTGATTTGCAAAACAGGCTGAACCTATTGCTGTTACAGGTAATTATTGATTATTAGTTAAAATATTTTTCTCTAATTATGACCTTAAAAAGATTTTTAGCATCAAAAATTAAATATGGCATGCTTTTCTTTTTTTTTTGCTGATTATATGTAATATTCCTTCATCTATAGTTAGAAAGTTCATTATCTTTTACTACCCATTTATTTTTATGGCCAATTTGAAGATTAGGTGCCACATTCTAAACATACATCCCCTTTGTGTTGATGACTTTGTGTTAACACAGTAAAAGCAATCATGTGTAATTATGAATGAGCCTTGAAACCCTTCTTTAGGCAGAGAATTACTCTCTGAAAGAGACATTTATTTACATTACATGAAATTCACCTTTTTTATGTTACTAGGCACATCATAAAAGCAATCAGACATAAGTCATGTAATGGGCAGATAGGTTATTAATAATGGGTCAGATGTAAATGTATTTTATCTTTATAGATAATTTGGCCAAGGGTGATATCAAACTATATTTTCTCAATAAAACTGGGAATATGTAGTCTAAAAAATTCAATACCAACAACTTGTTCTCAAATCCTCATAGCAGTGTCATTTATAATAGCCACACAAAAATAGTCACAACTTAAATATTCACCAACTGATGAATGGATAGATAAAATGCTGTCTATTCATACATTTGAATATTATTTGGTAATAAAATGGAATGAAGTATGAATACGTGCTATAACATGGATAAGCCTTGAAAACATTATGAAGTAAGAAAAGCTACTTACAAAAGAATGCACATGTAATTCCATTTATATAAAACCTTCATATTAGGCAATATATAGAAGACAGAAAGTAAACTAGTGGTGGGCTAGAGCTGAGGGGGAAGACAAAGGGATAATTGCTACAGGGCTTCTTTTGGGGGTGATGGAATATTCTAAAATTTGTTGCAGTGATGGTTGTACAACTCAATATACTAAAACCCATTGAATTGTATACTTTAAATGGGTGAATTGTATGGCATGTGAATTATCTATATATATATATATATATAAAAAGCTAATATACTAAGTGTCCAACCATTCAACTGTTTGACCAGTAGCTATGATGCACACTGACCATAGGGGGTAGATGTTCAACACACAGGCATGGAAACATATAACAGACTGATGAATATCAGAGGGAAGAAGGGAAAGGAGAGGGCAGGAAGAGATTAACTAAAGATCTTATATGCATGCTAGAGGCCAGGTGCATGGATTTGTGCACCAGTGGGGTCCCTTGGACTGGCCTATGCCCTCTCACAATCCAGGCCCCCTCGGGGGATGTTGAAGAGTCAATTTTGACCAAACCTGCAGGCCAGGCAGAGGGATTCACTAGTGCACGAATTTCTGCAACAGGCCTCTAGTATCTCAATAAAACTAGCACAAAAACTATGATGTACCAGCCTCTCTATTTCCTGGAGAATGAAGACCTTAAAGTCATAAGTTTTTCTTTCCTAGCTCTCAAGAAAATATTAATTTATGAATATTAACGCACACATACTTAGAATAATTCTTCCTTCAGCTTTGTGAGATGACTGGGAATATTAAGGATATTTTCTAGGATGAAAATGTTGTTTTTCCAATCTGCAGAATTCTTTAAAATAAAGAAGTCAATGAGTTTTGCAGAAGTATGTCTTCCTATTAGAATAGTGCTGATGCCACAGACAGTACAGGAAACGAAGGATTAGCACCTTAAGAGGACCAATTGCCAAAGTTGACTTTGTGTCTAGAAGAAAATAACACAGACTGTCCGGTGTATCTTCCCCATGCTGAATGTGATCTGGAACTCAACACATATGCTAGCGTCCTCAGGAAAGGAGACCTAAAAGCCAGGGACTTTCCAACGGAAGTCAAGCTGGTGCTTGACACTGTCTCAAGGAGAAATGTTTATTGAGCAAGCTCCCACTGAAATGTGGAGAACATGTTGCATTTGTAGAACTCTATTTACACCCAGAATGGTGGCTTAATTCTTGTTTTGCTAATTCTCTATTTTCAGATACTTTTCACCATTACTTTTTGGCTACTACTGAGGCAACACCTCACAGAGCAAAAAGCTCTTCGAGAAAAGGAAGCTCTTTTATCTGAGGTCAAAATTGAAACTCAGGAAATTGAAGAAAAAGGTAAGTTAGTGTTGTTTTGGAGATTTTTAAGTCAGTGTGTGACTGGAGATTTTTGTGCTCAGCAGAATTACAGAGAAAGACCCCCTATGCTTCAGACTAGGTGGAAGGTGAACATGCACTTAGAGTGATAAATAGCAGTATTGAACGACGACGTGAGATTTAAATGACATGTGAGATTCACAGGAGCTTTTGAAAATATTGTATCATTTGATCCCCACAAAAGTGATTCCCACTTAAAGGGAGAAGGAAGAAGGGACTGATTTCTCTAAGGTAATACTGTAAGAGCCACCAAACAATCAGAATTCAAAATTGAAATAGTAGTTTTAATTTGTGTTCTTGTTGTCTATTTAATTTTCTAAAACCTGCTGTACTTAAAGCGATCATGGATATTGCAAATGAAATAGGTATTCTAAAAGATTAGTATAAAATATTACCAAACTTATTTCTTTTAAAATGTATCACAGAAGGGTTATAAAATTTGACTGATTAGTTACAAATGCTGCCTGGTTCACTAAAACAGTCTAAAACCATTCAAATCACATTGTAACACACAAAATACATGCTTCCATGTCCCACATCTGGCACCTGTTCAAAGGTTTTGGTCAGGGAACCAGCTAGGTGTAATGACACAGTCTTTTATTTTGAAGATGATGAAGAAGAAACACAAGTGGAAGGAGATGCTGAAGAGAGGGAGGAAGAAGAGGAAGAAATGGAAGAGAAGCAAGAGAGTAAGAAAGAAGAGGAGGAGGAGGAGGTGGAAGAAGATGATGACCAGGACATCATGAAAGTCCTTGGCAATTTGGTGGTGGCCATGTTCATTAAGTACTGGATCTACGTCTGCGGAGGGATGTTCTTCTTCGTCAGCTTCGAGGGTAAAATCGTGATGTACAAAATCATCTACATGGTGCTGTTTCTGTTCTGTGTGGCCTTGTACCAGGTGGGTCATCGGTTGTTGTTTAGTTTTTAATTCTCACACCCACCCCAGGACTATAGGTGTGCTTCCTATGATTGCATTGAGTTACTATAATAATAATCCCGGGAACAACAACAACAACAACAACAACAACAACATAATAATAATCCCGGGAACAAATATCATTTAAGTGATATGCAATTCAAACATGACATATTAAGAACTCTACAATGGGAAGTGACTTCATTTTGTTCATTATTTTAAAATTTTAAGTTCTTAAAAAAGCAACTAAAAATAGTTCATGAGCTTTTCAAAAAAATGTTTGATTAAAAAAAGGAGCCTATAAAATTAGGTTAATTTTAGTAGTCATTTAAGAACAGTGACTGAGTAATCTAAAATACTGTATGATTCTCAATGCACTTGTCTGGAATCAGAAAACTGTGTGTGTATACACCTCTCTTGTAATGTGTCAACTGCTTACGCATTTCATTAATTAGAAGTTATAGAATATTATACTTAATTATTCTCTACAAATTCAGTTTTAACTGATGATAAAAGTTTTAATTCAATGATAGAAACAAGTGCAGCAGTAAAATATTCTTGCATGCAGCCATTAAAACATATGAAGCAACTGTAATAAACAAGAGTATATTACATGTGGAGATAAAAATACATCAACTGAAATAAGTCAAGTTTTGAAATACTAGGAAAAATTCAGGAAGGTGTTCTCCAATAAACATCCTTGGGTTTGTAGTAAAGAACAATGTCTTCTCTCCATGGTGGTTTCACATTTTTAATCATATACTGCCTGCCACCTTGATGTCAAAATTGAGGCAGCTTTCTTTGAGCAATAAACAAAGTGATGGTAGCATCTACTATACTGTTCCTTGAATGTCCTATAGACCAGAGCTTATGCTAAGAGCCTTACAAACATTATTTTACTCTCTTAACAACTCTCAGAGTGGTTACTTACCGAGGAGGAATGAGAAGCTTAGTATGTCTCAGCAACTTGCCCAAAGACATAGTTAATAACTTCAGGTAGTACCGAGATTCCAATCCAGATCCATTGGACTCTATGAGGAACAGAGCTTCAAAAATTCAATAAAGTCAAATAGGCTTTGTTTTCAAGTATTTGTAAATATCATCACCTGCCTCAGTTGAATAAATCAGACATTTTTTGAGTTTTTATATAACCAGTTTTTGTTTGTTTGTTTTTCAATGACTGATTCACAGGTGCACTATGAATGGTGGAGAAGAATTCTAAAATATTTTTGGATGTCTGTGGTTATTTACACTATGCTGGTGCTTATCTTTATATACACATATCAGTTTGAAAACTTCCCAAGTCTGTGGCAAAATATGACTGGATTGAAGAGAGAAAAGTAAGAAATTTTGGTGTATGAAGGAATGTAATAATGACAAGCGGGATGATGACTTGAGTGCCTATTGTTCAAAACATTTTATGGAAGATTTAGTAAAACCTGGTGTAGTTAATGTCTATAAGTTCCTTCAGTACAGGATTTACGTCTTATTCCTTTGTGTCCTCTCCATCTAATCCTGATGTTGGCACATAATAAGGACTCTGTGAATATGGACTGAAAAGGGAATTGACTGGAAGTGAATTTTCAGCTCTATTTTAATAAAATTACATTTTCTAAAATCAGCTTTATGTGAAACACACCTGTTTAGTACTTAAACAGTCATGTTTTCTGGTTTCCAAATGGGAACTCAGCTCTTCAGCTCGTCAGTAGATCATGGACTCACCATATAAAGCAGCAGCCTCTCCTCACTCATGCAGCTTGTACCGTGATTATAAAGAGCAGGTGATGGCACAGGGGAAAAATTATTTAAGTGCTTACAGTCTAGTGATTATGAAATGATTTTTCTTGTGCATTAATAGATGGTACTCTATCTTTTTCTAGTTTGCTTCTTTAAATAACTGAAATTAGTTTAGAAATCCAACCAGAATTGGGCATAGAGTAAATATACTTCGGTAGCAAAGAGAAGAGATGAAAAGGATCACCAAGCAGCTAGATAACATATATTTAATATTTTTAATATATTTTATTGATTTTTTTACTGAGAGGAAGGGAGAGGGATAAAGAGCTAGAAGCATTGATGAGAGAGAATCATCGATCAGCTGTCTCTTGCACACTCCCTACCAGGGATGTGCCCGCAACCAAGTACATTCCCTTGACTGGAATCGAACCTGGGACCTTTCAGGTTTCACTGAGCCAAACTGGTTTTGGCACATATTTAATAGTTATTCAACAAATATTTATTGAATGCCCTCCATGTGTCAGACACTGTTCTGTGCCTGGGAATACAACAGGAAGCAAAACAGGCAGAATCTAAGCCTTTTGCAGTTTATACTCTAGGAGAGGAGACAAACCAAAGAGAGACTTAATGTATAAATTAATTGTAAATTGCAACAAGTCTGTGAAGGAAACAAAAACAGGCTGAGGTAGTGAATAATGAGAGATTCCAAATGTAAATGAAGTGGTCAGGGCAGGCTTCACTGAGGAGGTGTCACTTAAGTCCCACCTGAAAGATAAGAAGGAGCTTGTCCTTAGGGGGGAAAAAATGTGTGAGTTGAGATCTGAAATGCTCAAGAGCATCCCAGGCAAAGAGAAGAGCAAAGCAAAAGGCTGGCCAGAAGCTGGCACACATGAGGAACTGAAAGAAGGCCCTCCTGCCAGGAGCAAGGGGGTGAAGAATGGAAGGAGAAGAGGTGGGAGGGTTCCACCAGGCACCCAGGTCGAGCATGGCTTATTGGTCATACTGGTTGGCATTTCATTCTTGGTGCAATATTAAAAAGCCTTTGAAGCACCTTGGATTAGCTGAGAAAAAGTGATGCGTCAGGAGGCACAAGTAGAAATAAGACTGCTTGGTGAGCAATAGCAGTGAACACGAAGGTGGCTTCACCCAGAATAGGTGGCAGGAGAGATGGACAGCAGAAGTGCGGGTTCAGGAGATGCCCAGGCAGCAGTGAAGGCAAAGTGAACAAATGAGAGTTGAAGACAAAAAAAAAAGAAAAGAATCAAGGAAGACTTCCTGACTTGGAAGTTGCCACGGATTAGACTGTTATACCAGAGGAGACTCGAGTGGTGAGAAGGAGGTGGAGAACAGCTTGGCTGAGGAAAACAGGGAAATCAAGAATACTGTTTTCAGAACACAAATTACGAAATAACTATGAACAACCAACTTCCAATAGACATTTCGGTAGAAGAGTGAGAGTCCACAGGAAAAGCCTGCGTTTTAAATGCATATTTGAGTCGTGGATATAAAGATGGTATTTAAATCCCAGGAGGAGATGAGATTTTCTAGGGAAACTAAGCTTCAGAGGGACTTGACACTGAGTCCTGGGGCATTTCAGCATCTGGAGGTTCAGTGGAATACAGGAGGTGGTGACATAAGAGTGTGACAGTGTGGGTGCATGAAGACTGGGACTGTTTCTATTATAGAAGGAATAGGGGCAAAATTAAACAAAGACAGGGAAGCAGCCACTGAATTTGACAATACCGGGGTTGTTATTGTCCACTGTGAAAGCAGGTAAATTGGACTGCTGGACACCTGACAAAGGTGTCCTTTACAGTGAAGGAATTGTGTCTTCATTGCCTAACAAAGGGTCTTATCTCTCTCTCTCTCTCTCTCTCTCTCTCTCTCTCTCTCTCTCTCTCTCTCTCTCTCTCTCTCTCTCTCTCTCTCTCTCTCTCTCTCTCCCTTCCCCCCCAATCAGGCTTGAGGATCTCGGCTTAGAACAGTTCAGCCTGGCTGAACTATTCACTCGCATATTCATCCCAACCTCCTTTCTGCTGGTGTGCATTTTACACCTTCACTATTTTCATGACCGGTTCCTGGAACTCACAGACCTGAATTCCATTCCCAGCAAGGAAGACAGCCCCATCTACAGGTGAGTGAGAAGAAGCCAATAATCTAATTTAGAGTTTCAACCTTGAACTTCCCATGAGTATCAACCTGTAAGTGAGGGGGGGGGGGGGATATTTGATGACACTTTTTGAAACAATTGGTAATGATTTATGACATTAATAAAAAGTGACCTTGGTAGTTATTGAGTAGATTCAGAGTACCTGTGTAGACTAAAATAGTTTAGAGTTGGTGATGTATATTGTGTGCCTGTCTAATTCAAAGGAGGTTTCTATTGTGCTGCAAACCAGTAAGGAAGTCATTGTTAGTGAGAGTTTTCCAAAAGATGATTGGGCAGAATTTTTCTTCTGTTCTGGAAATGAACCTTCGCTAACAGGATAGAATCTACAAGCTACAATAACGCTTGCACCAACTTAAGGAACACAGTAATTTGATTATTCCCTGTTTGTAACCAGAATAACATTTAAGAAGATAACGTGAAGACAACATCAGCATTCTGTTGTTATCTTTGGAACAATAAATATAAAGGGATTGCAAGTAACAGAGGGGATATTGCTCTCCCTGCCATGTGCTTTGAAACCCTATTGGGTTATCACAAATTCCCCAACCTGTTGTATCACAGGAAAATTGCCACCATTCTTCTATGAATGTCAGTACTGATTTTCTTCTCTGCCTCATAGTTAGCCTATGATTCAGTTTTTGGAAAAACGCTTGTTCAGTAGCTAAAGAAGCCAAGGGCTGTATTAAGGATATAGATGCCACAGTTGAAAATCCCCCTTAACTCTTTTCAAGGGAAAGAATGAGTACCTCAAAAGAAGATGAAGTAGTATTTCATCATGCACCGTTTATGAAGTACCAAGCTTTCAATGTTCTGCTCTAGGAGGAGCTGGAATTATGGATAACTCAAAAACACTATTATTTGATGATGAAAAACATTTTATAATTGTTTTCTCTTATGACCAGCAGATTCATTTTCCTTGTGTTTTGTTGAACCTGAGCTTACATTTAGTGTTCATCCTGAGCATACTCCAGTGAGCAGGGGGGCGGGGCCAACACTAAGAAGCTAGGGCCAAGGACCAACAGCCATTGCAGCTGGCAGTGGCAGCAGCAGTGGGGTGATGGGGGTGCCTTCCCCTGATCTGCCCAGTTGCCTCTTCCACAGGGAACAGGCCTCAGGGGATGTCATCAGTAGGACATTCCCTGAGGGCTCCTGGCCTGTGAGAAGGGGCAGGCTGGGCTGAAGGACCCCACACCTAAAACTACTGGGCCTCTAGTAGTTTTATAGAAGATAGTACATCTCAGAAAAGATTTTACCAGCCTAAGGAATCACAATTTTTGAATTAGAGGGTATGTGAAAACTGAATTGCCTTCGAGTATATAGAATATGATTTAATCCTGAAGGTTCTGGGGAAGAACTACAGCCTCATGTCAACGCATTTTCCATGTTTCCTCAGCTGCTACATTTACAGCCCTTACTCTCTACACCATAGTAAGAGAAGAAAGATTGCAATGATCTGGAGCAGTGTGAGGTCATTACTTGCCCTCCTCACAGCTTTGGTTTATCACTAAGCACTCCCTTAACAGTTAATTTTCCTGTGAAATTTACAGGGTAAGGAGAGAGTATATAATGGCAGCTATCTGAAGAGCTTAGGTACATGGGATTTTATTTTTAGTTCAGTGTTGGGGGTGGTGGTGGAGGGAAGCCTTCTGGAACCTTAAGGAATTTGAAGGACTTACTCCAGGTTAGTATTTTTGGACTTCATATAAGAGTTTAATATAAAAGTTCCCAAATCTTAACTTCAAACATATGCTCTATAGCCCATCTTTTAGCAACTCTTTCCTGTTGTAATATTTTTCTTACTTACAATGTTCACCTCACAGTATTTTTGTTATTACTATTATTGTTATTATTGTCTCCGGAGTCCTAATCATTGACTACATTAAATTTGAAATGCTGAAGAAGAAACATTTTCACATCCTAGCTGGTTTTGCTCAGTGGGTAGAGTATCGAACTTACAGATTGAAGGGTCCCTGGTTCAATTCTGATCAAGTGCACATGCCTGGATTTTGGGCTTGATCTCCAGTGTGGGGCATACAATAGGCAGCCAATCTATGATTCTCTCTTATCATTTATGTGTCTATCTCTCATTCCTTCTCCCTTTCTCTCTGAAATCAATAAAAATATAATTTTTAAAAAAGAAAAAGAAATATTTTCAGAACTTGAATTAACCATCATGCTTTGCTTTCTCTCTTCCATCTCCTTCATAGATACTTTAAGAAAGAGGGCCTGCAAACTGGGAATAATCAAATTATTGTGTTCCTTAAATTGGTGCAAGCACTATTGTTTCTGTAAATATCCAACTGCCCTTGTCCTATTTTTTCCATTGCGTGTTTGCGCTATGTGCATTGAACACATAGGTAGTGTAGGGATATGTCACATGTCTGGAGCAAAATTTATTGTGCTTAGCTGTACCAAATTAGTAAAGTTAGCCTTATGAAAAGGTTTTATGAAATATATAAGATAATATTATTATGTCTAACTTAGTATTCTTAGGACTATCATTTCATGCATATGTTGATAAAAATATATACCATACCACAATTATAATTTTGATATAATATATACTTAATAATAATGTACTAAATATTCATTACTTATTAAAATATCCATCACTGCAATTTGTCTTAAATTTGAAGGTATTGTGATGCATATATAAATAAAATGACTTTTCTTAAGCTTCTCTTTTAGAAAACCCTAGAGAACAATATGATGAATGTGGTTACCTAATAGGATTTTTTTTTTATTCTGGGAAAGGAGTAAGAATTAATCCTTGAGATTGTATTTTATTGATGGGTATACTCTAAAAATGTAAACATTACAAATTTTTAATAAGGTGTATAAGATGGGAGGGGATGAGAAAAATGGAGAGACTTGTTATATTTTTCCTGAATATGTCTAATTTCATGTTGCTATTGGATGTTGCTATCTGTTTTTGGTGCATGAAATGTGTGTTGATGACATACCTGATGATGGAAAGTGTACAGGACACAATCTGCTTTATTCGTCTCTGTCTAACAATCTCCTTTCTCTCTCCACCCTGTCTCTCTATTGCCACCGCATGCAACCTTGTGCTTCCACCTCTCACCTCGTAGCCATGCCAAAGTCAATGGGCGTGTATATCTAATAATAAATAGGTGGGTACTTCATGTTTTCTCCCTTGTTTTTGTTAAGAAGGGTCTCTTGGTATGTTAAACACCTAACTATTTTGTAATTGAAAAATTATGTCATCAGATAGTGGACAGAGGTCTTCAGGTATGCTCGTGGATGTATTTTGCAAATCAAACCATTTGGTATTTATACCAAATGGTGCCGCCAAGTGGATTCGGAGGAGGTTGAAGAGGGTCTTCAGCTGGTGCTCAGCCTTTGGACTTGGTTCAAATTTCTTGGTAGAATTAGCTCAAGGCTGGCCTGGGAGCTCATCTTTCTCTTCAACACATAATTGAGAGCTCAGCTCAAGAACCACCTCCTCCACAGACTCGCCCATAAGTGCCAGCTTTCCTGCTAAAAGTAACTGGCCTTCCTCTGAATTCCCATTGCCCTTTCTTATGCTACCTCCCAACACTTGCCTCCCAGCCCTCTAGCTGCCTGCTTGTCTTAGCTCCCTGGCCAGAGATGTCAGCTCCTCAGGCCTGGAGGCCCTGTATAAATCACTAAGGTATCCACATATCACCTACCTTGGGGACTTACCCATTAGTTGACCCTCAGTAGGTAGTTACTAAATGAAGTGAAAATAGTTGCAACAGTGCATGGTGAGAAGCTCTACATACTGAAGAATGATATTTTATATCACCAGATTTCACAATATATTTACATAACCCAAAAGGCACAGAGACAGACACTGAGCCAGGACCCTATCTTAGATGCATGTCACCTAGCTGAGGAGATAAAAATATGCAAGTGACCACACATAAAAAAGAATAGCATTGATAGTAGTGTGTATATATTTGTTCTCAAGTGCCCCAACAGTTCAGAGTAAAGATTATTTGGCATCTCATTTACTAAAACTATTCTTATTTTATAAACTAGGTCAATTAAAATATCCACTCCCGTAATTTCGTCATTAGTAATAAAGCCAATAATTTAAGTAATAGAAACACTTGCAATAAACCCAATTAACATGCTTCTTTGAAAGAGTTGGTTTTTTATTCTATTCACTTTTCTCTTAGGTAAAATCCTGAGGCTGACAACCAAATAGCAAACCTTTGGAGGTAGAACTTTTAAAAGGAAATGTGAAAAATTAGTGCATCCTTGTGCAGATTGCAAAAGAAGGAGGAATGAGGACTGGCTGGTTGCTTTCAGAAGTCTGTTAGTTGACCATGTGAGGGAGTAAAGTGAACCTCCGATTTTTAGCTGATAGGTACAGAAGTAAAATACAGACTCTAGCTAGAAATCTTGAGCAATTATTTAAATTTCAACACTCAAAACATGAGGGATTATTATTGCCTTTTATCTTCATGTTTCTCATAAAGTGTTTACCACTTGCATTATGAGGAGATGGTGGGGACACCAAAGAAGACAGGAGTTGGCTTATGGGTTGGTTAGGCAGAGCCTGATGCAAGTTGTGGTCCTGACTGTGGTCCAGACTTACCTCTTGAGAGAAACGTAATGCCTGTTACCCCAAGGCCCCTGAATTCACTCAGGAGTCCCAGAATGATCAAGATTAAAAAATAATACAAAATGATTAAAAACTCAAAGTATTCCAACATTGGCACTATCCTCTTCCTAGTGGAATCGCTCACTGTTGTCTGAATGTTAGCATGTTACTAAAGGCCAGAGCTATGCCCAGAGGAAAACATTACCAAACAAACTCGTCTCTCCCTTGATAACATGTGCTTCGAGGTGTGTTTTTTTAAATTAAGTTTATTGGGGTGACATTGGTTAATAGGATCAGATAGGTTTCAGGTGTAGATTTCTATGTTACAAGATCTATATACAGCACTGTGTGCCCACACCCAAAGTCAGATCATCTCCCGTCTCCATATATTAGGAACAAGTGCTTCTGAAAGGCTGTATGTGTGTTCAATTTTGAAGAAAGTCTACTTTGATTAGAACGATAAGGTGAATGCTTTTATTAAGTAAAGAAGCTTTTATTTCCCCCATAATTTATTTATTTATTTATAAGTTCCCAATGAAAGTGGTTTAGTTGCATTCAATCAACTTCTGGGTTGATTAAAATGTAGACACTGCCTTATAAGGTAGGAGGCAAGGCAAAGTGTTGAGGAGAATAGGTGATTAATAACATTTCAATAATATAAATAATTGTGGGGAAAATCCAACTGCATTAGTAATCACTATGTATTAGAATGCTTTAGTGGGTGCATTTACTAAAACTATTCTTATTTTATAAACTAGGGTATTTCTCCTTCAAATACAGAAAAGGTAGCCATTTACTCCCCATCCTGCCTAGTAGATTAGTTTGGAGGAATTAGTGCCACACATGTTTAAGATGTGGTATTAAATTTACAAGTCATTTGCTCCTCTATGAATGTAGTCTTCAAAAAGTATTTATAGTTTCTAGAAAAGAATCTTAAACATTTAAAATTCTACTTTAAATGTTATTTATAAACACTATAGGTTTGCAAGAAATCTTTTTTCTAGTAGTCTAATGAATGGGGTGAGTGCAGTTTGCATTACCAAATATTCCAAATCAAAATAGTTATAAATAAATGGAATATAGATGGATATTTTACAAAGGTAAATGGGAACTAGCTTAATATGTGGCTTTTCAAAGTCAGTTTCTCATACAGAATTAGGCCTTTTTAATTCTCCATATAACACAATCTGTTTCTGCTATTTCAAATAAGACTGCCTCACCGTAGCTGGTTTCACTTAGTGGATAGAGCTTGGCCCGAAGATGCTCTAGCTGGTTTGATCAGTGGATAGAGCTAAGCCTGTAGACTGAAGGGTTCTGGGTTTGATTCCGGTCAAGGGCATGTACTTTTGTTGTAGGTTCCCCTACCCTTGTCAGGGTGTGTGCAAGAGGCAACCAATTGATTTGTCTCTCTCACATTGATGTTTCTTTCTGTCTCTTTCTCTCCCTTTTATCCTCTCTAAAAATCATGGGGAAAATATCCTCCAGTGAGGAACAACAAAAAAATGCCCCTCCAGTGCATAGAATTTGGTCACCAAACAGTCAATGAATCATATTGTGTGCCAAGCACAGTGCTGTATTTTGCAAGGGATATGAGTAAAGTAAGACTGGATTTCTCACCTCCAGAGGAGAGTCCTCAGAATCATAATTAGAATAAAATGATGTTGATATAAATAGAGAAACACACACACATAAAGGGCTGTGGAATCATGAAGGAAAGAGAGGGTGAATAAACAGATAAATATCACCTGTTTTGTTAGAATGCAAAAGAATAGTCAGGGAGAGAACTTGTATTTTATTTAAGAAATAGCAAGAGGATTAATGCTCAGAGTCTGAATCATAATAAAAGCAAGGCAACAAAACTATAGGCACAGTTAAAGAAAATGCAGAGAGGAAAATGAGCTCCTGTGAGAAAAGGCATGAGAAAAAATGGTTTGATGGAGGTAGGAGGGAGGGGGCTTCACATGTCTATTTGGAGGCCTAAAGTAAAAACTCTTCATATGATGATTCAGTGATTCACACTTGATAATCAGTAAAAAAAAAAAAAAAATTACCAGTACTTTAAGTTCCTTAGCCAAACATTTCAGGGAATGCTGGTCCTAAAATATATTTTTAAAACTATATTTTATTAATTTTTTCAGAGAGGAAGTGAGAGGAATAGAGAGTTAGAAACATCGATGAGAGAGAAACATCGACCAGCTGCCTCCTGCACTGGGGATGTGCCTGCAACTAAGGTACATGCCCTTGACCAAAATCGAACCTGGGATCCTTGAGTCTGCAGGCCAACGCTCTAACGACTGAGTCAAACCAGTCAGGGCTAGAGTGTGATTTTTAATGTAGCTTGAAAAGTCAGGGTCCTTTCTTTTTAATTTGCTTGGAGGAAAGGTCTAAATTAAGGTATATATTCCTTCCTGGAGCATCAGGAAAGAAAACTGCTTTTTGTTTGTTTGCTTATTTGTTTATTTTTATTTTTATTTATTTTTTAATATATATTTTATTGAGTTTTTACAGAGAGGAAGAGAGAGGGATAGAGAGTTAGAAACATTGATGAGAGAGAATCATTGATCAGCTGCGTCTTGCACACGCCCCACCGGGGATGTGCCTGCAACCAAGGTACATGCCCTTGACCGGAATCGAACCCGGGACCTTTCAGTCCGCAGGCCAACGCTCTATCCACTGAGCCAATCCAGTTCCAGCTGTTTGTTTATTTTTAGTCTTTTAGTCAATAACTCCACTCAACATACCCTGTGTGGAAGGGCACTTTGGGGCCTTGTTGCCTGAGGAGTTTTGTTACGTAGCCACCATAGCAGGTGCAGAAACATCCTCATCTCTGTGCTTTACTCCATAAATAACACGGATTATTAGAAAGCTCTTTGTCAGTATCAAGCCATGGCAGTGTTGATGGAGACAGAAACACACTGAGATGGCCATACTTCCACAGTAAAAGCTAGCAAATCCCTGCTGTGAAGAAAATGTTTATCTTCTCACTTACAAAGGCACACCCTTGGCAGTGCTGAAGAGAACAGATACATACTGACAACTGCAGCACCTGACTGCTTTTGCCTGTAGCACCCTCTGCTCTGTACAGTGCTGACAAAGCGGGAACAGCATTGTGCTCTCTGGAAAGTAATGCTCATTGTTGGTGTGCAACATTGCTACTGCAGTTTCAAGGCTGAGGGACTTTTCCCAAACATGGTAGGGTCCATTGGCTAGCTTTAGAATGTCCACTTGACTCCTTCCACCAGGGCTGAAACATCCTTAGAATGTTATTTCTTCATGCAATTAACAATTTATGGCATCATTTAATTTACCTTCTTGACACTCTGTTAAAAGTAATTACTTTTGCCCTGGCCGGCATGGCTCAGTTGGTTGGGTTGCCGATTTTGATTCCCAGTCAGGGCAGCTGATTGATGTTTAATTCTCACATCGATGTTTCTCTCCCTCTCCCTTCTTCATTCTCTAAATATCAATAAAAATGTTTTTTAAGTAATTGCTTTTGATTGATAATCTCTCTGAAAGTTGAAGGACAGTGTAGATTCATTACAATAGTTATCCAACATCATTGGTGTGTTTCAAATGTAAAACCAACAATTTGTAAGTAAGCTTCGATTGTATTTTAGAGGAAATACATTAAATTCCAGGAGGGTTGAATAATTTACTCAGAGCCCACAACTATACAGGTAGAATAACGTTATTAATCGTTCATCCAGTTACAACGAAGCTGATATGTATAGATTAATTATGACAAATGGACAAGACCACCAGGATCTCCAGTAGACCTGTTCCTAATGCCTACTTTATTACGCACAAATGTTCCTTCAGTCATTCATTTGAATATGAATAAAAAAATCAAGAGACAGAGCGTACTTGTTCTTATCCACTGTGAAACCAGCTGCAATGCCCTGGCTGCCATCCCCGCTCTGTGAGGCTGCGCCACCCTCATGCTCACTCTGGCACTCCCCTGCCCTCAGCTCAAGGCTAGCACAGCAGCTCACATTCGTGCCCATGAACGGGGATATCATGCAGACACCCTTCTGGAAGCATTTAGCGCCCACGGCATATGCTTGCAATGATGGCAGAATGGGATGAGTCTATGCCAATGTTGATGGAAAGCACACATTAGTTAAGAATTTTTTTAAAAAAACCCGTATAAAAATGTGAATGACTTGATTCTCGCGGGATGGTTTGCTGCGTTACTAAAGAAGCATGATATGATTGGCCTCAGTAGCTTATATAGCCTTTCCCTGACCACCCGCAGGCCTGCCCACTCTCAAACCAGTCTCCAAGCCCAGGGCCCCCAGCACATGCACACTGCTGCCGCCACCCTGGCATGCATTTGCGTTTGCACTTCCCGCAGCCGCACATAGTGGATGATATGTAGCATGATGTGTGATCTCTGACAGTCCTTATAACTCTTCTGTTCTCATCTCCTTTTTTTTTTTCCTTTCTATTTCAATTACTTTGAGCAGCATCAAGAAAAAATTACCAATCCACCAAAATGCGTAAGTCCCCCTGTGAAGCCATGAAATGCTTGCTCTACATGACACCATTTCATGCTTCTACATCCTAAACTCTGACCATTTTCTCCTCCGGGAAAAATGTCAAGTTTAGGTGTCGAGAGCTCTCGTGACTTGACTAATCATTACAACCTGAATTGGAAGCGATAACAAAACCTAAGTGAGCTTACAGTTTGGTTTTAGAAAAAGCTTTAAAAAAAAAAAAATTTAAAAAGTGACAAGAGGCTAACCACCCCACCTGGCAAGGCCTGTGCACACGCACTGACGTTCATTTTTGTTCCTCCTCCTGAAACACGCCCCTCACTCACTCGGCTGTCTCCCAGCGTCCTTGCCCCTCCTGACTCTGCTGCTCTCTGCCAACAGGCTGGCCCACCCTGAAGGAAGCCTGCCAGACCTCGCCATGCTGAACCTGACCACCAGCCCGGAGAAGCCAGAGGAGAAGCAGGTGGTTGAGTTTGGTGAGGAGAAACCAGAGGGATGCTCTGAAAAAGTGGAGAAGGGTGAGCTTGGGAAAGACAGCAGCGAGGAGGAGGAGGAAGAGGAGGAGGAAGAAGATGAAGAGGAGGAAGAGACATCAGGTAACTTACTACCAGGAGCTGCTCAGGAAATGGTGACAGACAGATCAGTGAATGCAGCACAGACTTCACCAAACAGATCCATATTGGATCGATTCAGTAAAACAAAAATTGCCCTAGTGAAATGTTTCTGTTGCATTTGCACAAAGCAGAAAGAAAAAAATGATGAATTTGATGAAAAGCTATGCTTAACATGAGCCTGGCCGCATTGTGTGAGCTAGGCTGGGTCACGCTGATGCTTAGCGTTCACCTGCTGTTGCCAGGGGAGCAGGCTCTTCCTGCCTCCGGCAACAGGCTGCCTGGCTGCTCCTGCCGGCCACCGAGAGCTTTACCCACTCTCTAGTCAAGCCCCTGGAAGGAGCATGGCACCTCTAGAAGCATGACTTTGGCAATAAGAATGTCATTTAGATGAAGTTCATGTGACTTAATATTCCCAGAAAATTGGGGAATCATAGTACAGCTTTAAGAGATAATCAGGTCAAGATTCTTCGTCACATTAATTAAATTAAAAGGGAGATCAAAGTAACCTTGTCCTTGGACATGCTGTCTAAGTCATCATCACCACGTGTGAGTCTTAGACTACCCGTCACCAGATTTTGGAAATTTCAGAGTTCATCCACTACTATTATTTTGCATCTTCTTATTCCAAACGGAAAGTTCCAAGATATGCTTTAAACACCAATGCCCACCCCCCTCAAAACACACACACACACACAAAACAAACACGTTCACTTTTTTTATATTCTTGTGTGAATTCCTGTTTTGCAGATTTAAGGAACAAATGGCACCTGGTGATTGACCGCCTCACAGTGCTCTTCCTCAAGTTCCTGGAGTACTTCCACAAGCTGCAGGTGTTCATGTGGTGGATTTTGGAGTTGCATATCATCAAAATTGTTTCATCATACATTATCTGGGTCTCTGTGAAAGAGGCAAGTGAACATTTATTGCAGCGTCAAATCAAACAATGGGGCCTTATTTTTCTGCTCCAACTCTCTATTATTTTTTGGAAATGTAATTCCCAAAACATTAGAACATTAAGACCTGAGATAGGCACATACACTTTATTTTACAGAAAATGGAAGGACAATTGTCCCAAAGGAAGGGGGAACAAAATAGGAGAAAAGGGGTCCTGGCTTAGTTACTAAATGGCTTTGACATATTATAAAGGTGGCTTGTTTTCATTAATTAAAGTGTGTGATAACAAGCTACCTTTCTTTACTATAAGTGAGAAAATCTATCTCCCCAAATTCTCTTTGAGAAATAAACAATAGTTTATGTTACCAAAGAGTAAACTTGGATTCCAAAGATTGATAAAATTATGAATAGAGTTCATCTTATTTATTATTGGACTAGAGGCCCAGTGTACCAAATTCATGCACAGGTAGGGTCCTAGGCCTGGCAGTGATTAGGGCCGATTGGGGCTTACCTCTCCTGGCTGCTGGCTGCTGGCTGGGGCCTTTCTTCATTCTACACAGCCTCCTGATAGTCAGTGCACATCATAGTGAGTGGTCGAACTCCCAAGGGGACAATTTTGCATATTAGCTTTTTATATATATAGATCTTTTAAGACAAGACAGTAATAACACTTACTATTCGTAGCTCATTACTTTTGATTAATACAAAATATATCCTTTCTCAAAAATTGCTGATCAGTAAATGGCAAAATGAGAACCAATTCAGCATCCCCAGTTAAATCTTTAAGAGGTGTGACCACATTCTTTGAATTCAAACTATCCTCAGCCAAGGCTATCAGCCAGGGAGCTTGTTTTCACAAATGTTCATGGTCATTCTACCACTAACATTAAACCTTTCCAATGTTATCATTATGGGCATCCAAGAGAGGAGAGGACTCTGAGAAAGAATTTGTTATAGAAACCTGTCTCATATCAACATTCCTTACTGAGGACCGATTCCATTTCGGAATGACCTAATTTAAAAATATATGTACCATTCTCTTCCCCTTTTATACATAACTGTCTTTTCATTTCTAAGAATCCTAGAGTGCTATATGAGATCAAGTTATTCTTTGAGGAAAGGGACCATATATTTTTTCTAGTATCCTTAGTAATTCCCAATGGGTCTGGCCAATTGTAGAAGCACAATGAATGTTTACTGACTGAAGGAAGGAAGTAAAGAACTTTGCAAGCTTGAGATTCTTCCTAAATGTCAGATGATGTTTCATTATTATTATTTTTTATTATTACTTTCAGTCTCACTAAGCATGCATTTAGCCTTTCTTAAATGCTTATAATAAATTACAATAAATTGAATGCTTACCCTGTGCTAAATGCTGGTATAAAGGCATTAAAAACACTCTGGTCTCAGCTTGCAGTCTAATGGTAATTGCTGGTAAATAAAACCAAAGTCACATTTACTGTTGGGTTACAGATGTCCTTTAGAAGCTCTGGACACACAGGGAGGGAGACGGTACACAAAAGGTTGCATTGAAGTTGTGGGAACTCTGAGGGAGGGATGGGTAAACACAGGGCCAGGAACCACAGTTCTAGGAGGCTCCTCTCTCAAGGCAGTGGCTTCAAGCTTCATAAGTTTATGTTCAGATAAAATGACAATTTGTGTAAAAGTGTTTTGTTGGAAAGGCATTATGGAATAAAATTACTGTCCAAAATTCTTTGATAATGAAAAGCACCTGGACATTTGTTCTATAGGATTATCAGTCATTTCCCTAGGAATTCTGACCACTGAACATGACCTCACTCTTGCCTGTCTCCAGAACACCTTCACTGGATATCTCTAACACTGAGCTCATTGCCTCTATCTGTATCAGTCCTTTTTTTCAATTGCTCTAACAGATTCCTAGCTCTGCTCTAATCCTTCCTCCTAATACGCATTCTGCCATGCAGTCAGAATCTTTTTTTTTTTTTTTTTAGCATGATCATGTTCATCTTCTACTTGGAAACTTCTAACAGCTCTCTTCATTCTCCCAATAACACGATATAACATTGAACTGGTCCTACACCACTTCGCCATTTCCTTTCCCAGACACCCAATCTGCCTGGTGAATATCAAAGTCCTCTACAATGGACTCAGATCACACTGCTCTCATAGTAAACCATGTGCTCCTCCAAAGCAAGATGTCCACCCCATGCTTTCTCTTGCCTATAAAGCCTTGGACCAGTGATTCCTCTGCCAGACTAACTCCAGCTTGACCGCAGATCCTCTGGGCAATTTTCCCCAATGCTGGGCTAGATGATCAGCTGTGTGTGCCACACAACTTGACTCACCCCAGCAGGGCTCTTCCTCTGTCATGTTGTCATAGGCTGCTTACCCAGTTCTCATTTGCATGACCCCATGTGTTTCTTGAAGATAGGGATCCACACAGGATATGTTACCTTGAACCTAGTTAGGACTTAATAAAAGATAACATTTTTCTTTTCCTTCTCTCTAAAATTTTATTGTACTATATTTATACTTAATGCCTTAAATACCTAATAAAAAATAACAAAGAGACTTAATTTTATAATATCCTTACTAGGATTTACTTTTTAATGTACTACTTGTTGGTAACTGAGGAGGAGGAGTGACCTAGCTAGTCAAAATATTTTGTTAAATGTTAACATTTATTATGTTGGCGAATGCCTTACATTTACAGGGCACTTCAACATACAGTATTTCTTTCATCCTCAATTAACTCTGTAAGGCAGCTCTTACTACCCTAAGATGTCAGCACTTAATTTTAAGCAGTTCCTTGCTCTGGACAGTGTCTAGTAGTTAAGTGGGGTAGTATATTATAAATTGCAGACTTAAATACTGCCCTGGAGTCTCCGTGTTTCTTGCTGTCTAGATTTGTGAGCCAAACAGGAACCATACCCCCCTAGCCCATAGCACTTAGCACTTGTAGTACATGTTCAAGTTTGCCAATTGGCGGTTGCGGTAATTTTTACCCGGTAATATTAAGTATTCCTAGAGAATTGTTTTAATAATATTCAGATATTATTCTAATAATACCCAGAATAAATAAATATTTTCCATAGCTGAATAAGATGGTGGTGCTTCCATACCATTCAGTGAATGATTAGCTATGGAGAACTCTTAGTCATGAGTGCATATCTCACCTAATCATTACTCACATTCTTAGACCAAGTTGAAGTTATTGCCTTCCCTCTTTTTAAAAATATATTTATTGATTTTTAGAGAGAGTGAGGAAGGAGAGAGAGAGAGAAATATTGATTTGTTGTTTCACTCATTTATATATTTATTGGTTGACTCTTGTATGTCCCTTGATCTAGGATCAAATCTGAGACATTGGCATATCAGGGATGATACCCTGCCAGGACCTTGCCTTTTCTCTGTACACCTGGCTCTCACTTCAGATTCTATCTCAGTAGTGGCACTGTTACTCTATCAAAGCCAGAAAACTGGGAGGTATTCCTTACACTTTCTCCCTGATCTACCAGCACCCCACCTTCAAGCCAATGAATCATTAAGTCTACCGATTTCACTTCCCATCTCAAATCCATGAGTCCTCCCCATCTATGCTCCACTATCTGAGTTTGGACCCTTGTCATTGTTCTCCTGGCCTATTATAGTGCATATGACTGGTCTCCTTTCCTCTGGTGCAGTGGTCGGCAAATTGTGGCTCTGTTGACTAATGATTTTGCTGATCACTGCTCTGGGATAACCCCATTGATGCACCTCTGTCCTTCAGTTACATGTATCTAGAAAAAATGCTAACCTTTCCTTAAGATTTCCCTGCGTAGAGCCCTGCAGACTCACTATTTTCTACCTAAGGGATTCATGGGCCACAGCATAGTTTTAAAAGAGTCCGTCAGAACGTAGCTCTCAGCCACATCTCCAGTCTCATACTGCAGTTCACTGCTATCAACTCTGGAACTCCCAGTTGTTTATGGTCACCTATTGCCACCACACTCCTTTATGCTTTCCTGCCTTTGCTCACACACCCTTTACCTCGAATGCACTTCTCACCTTTTTTGTCTTGGCTAACGTTATGCACCCCTCAAGGATCAGCTCAGCATCATTCTTTCCAGGAAATGTTTCCTGAGGCTCCAGATGGGGCCAGGGACCCCTTCTGAGTATTCTCACAGAGCCTGTTTGGATCTACAGTTTATTACTGCTACGTTATATTGACATCATCTGGTTATATATCTGTCTGCCATACAAGACATATATCTTAGTATCTAGGGCAATGCTCAGGACTCAGTCAACTTCTGCTGAACTGAGCTGAGCTGAATAAATCAAATTGCCATGCTTTGTAGATGTTATGCCATGTTATGTATTTTTGTCCCCATTTCTGATTTTATGTTTTCAGGTGTCTGTGTTCAACTATGTATTTTTGATTTCTTGGGCTTTTGCTCTGCCATACACCAAGCTACGCCGTCTGGCTTCAAGTGTCTGCACTGTCTGGACATGTGTGATCATCGTCTGCAAAATGTTGTACCAGCTGCAAACCATTAAGCCTGAGAATTTTTCTGTTAACTGTTCCTTGGTGAGCCTCAAAGTCGGGAATCTTTTTGGCCTTTAGGGAAATAAGGTGGAGATTGGGGAACCTACACCCCCAAGCACAATCTTTCTGGCCATTAAATCACCTCAGCAGGCTGAATCCATTCTGGCCTAGAATGCTGGGCCCAAGTCTCTGTTCCTGATGAGATTTCCCATTTCAAATGGGTCTTTGACCCTCATGTTCTTTTGCTCAAAACTGAAGAATAACCTAAATTCTCCTTATCTGTGGAACTAATTCCTTTTCTCTTCTTTTTAGCCAAATGCGAATGAAACAGACATACCCCTCAACCAGTTGAATAAGTCTCTACTCTACAACACTCCTGTGGATCCAACAGAGTGGGTGGGCCTGAGGAAGTCTTCGCCATTGCTTGTCTACCTGAGGGTAAAGGCTTGTTGTGCTGAGTTGGTGCCTCTGTGTACTTATGTTCTAGAATCCTTTCCCTTGAAATCCCTAATATCACAAGGATAGGAACCTCATCTTCTGTGGCCTTGAGGATCACCTTTTAGACAAATGACTCAATATTAAAATCAGCACCGTTTTGTGCTGAAAAGGGATTTATCAAGTAGTTTGTGGTTATTTGAATAAAGTGTGACAGATATAGTCACTGGAACATTATAGAACTACTAAAGGACTGAGGGAGATTAATGTCAGACATTAAAAGATGTTCAAAATCTATTAAGTTTTTAAAAAATGTTAGAGTATCTTACATAGTATAATCTCTTTTAGATATAAAGAAAATGTTGAGTAAAATATAGCAAATGGTCAGCAATGATTGTTTCTGAGAAGTAGGTATAGCATTACAAGAATTTTTTGCTGTATAAATTCTGTTTCTCTACAGTTTTTAATAAAGGGTATATATTACACATAGGGGTAATCAAATAAAGAGCATATTTTTGAAAAAGAAACTTTGCAAGCAGTTATAAGAAATGTAATAAAAGTAATATCCTTCATATTTTTTACATTTTCCTTTGATGGATAATCTGAGTGATCTTAATAATATTATGCTGAGAAGGTATTTAAAAATGAAACATTTATATACACAACACCTGGAATTTTAAAATATACCAAGGATCCCATGTCTCTTTGACTCTGGCAGATATCATATGGCAGATAACATTTGTAATGTTTATAAATAGTATTGGCCACATCTGTCATGTAATATGCAGATGATATCTAACATAAAGAGCTGTTTTATGGATAAAACAAATTGATATTTGAAAGAAGTGATTAGAATAGTATCTGGCACATATAGTTCCATCAATGTGAACTATTTTATTATTATTATTATCATCACTATTATTATTGTTACTATTTTATCTTCATGTTTCTCAATACTGCTCTCTCTAGCTAGATTTCAGAGGTATAATATTAAAAAATTTCCCCTCTCATGCTTATCGCACTCCTCCAGCTTAGTGTGTTTCCCAGGACGTCCTTATAGGACACTGTAGAAGTATTTGGCACTTCTAGGTGCCAATAAAGCGGACCCAACTTCCCAAGGTAATTAGATACTGCTTCCTGGGAGAGGTTTGTACTTTTTCAGGAACAAGCTGTTGTCCAGAGAGTCTAGATTGTATTGTGATGTTAATTAACCTGATTTGCATAATGACACTAACTCTACCTTGTTACCAGAAAGCAGGGAAAATGAACTTTGAATTCAAGACTAGTTATTATAGAGATGGGATTTTATAAAGCATTATACTATTAAACATCAAAAATGGAATCAAATTATTTATTGTGAGGATTGTTTTAAATTACCAAGTAACAAAGCCTTTGGCTTCCCACAGCTGTGTTTTCTTGCTTTGTAGAATAATCTGCTGATGCTGGCCATTCTGGCCTTTGAGGTCACTGTTTACCGCCATCAGGAGTACTACCGTGGACGAAACAACCTCACGGCCCCTGTATCTAAAACCATCTTTCATGACATTACAAGACACCATCTGGATGATGGAATTATTAACTGTGCCAAATATTTCATAAATTACTTCTTCTATAAGTTTGGTCTGGAGGTGAGTTTCCTTGCGGGTGTGTTTTCTATTTTCTGTGACAATCCCAATAGCTGCTTTTGGGCAGTTAGGCTACTGAAGTTTCATCCTGCACCTCCAGGCCATGATTACAGATCCTGGGGATCAGTAGGAGGAGATGCTACTGAAGGGCTTACCTGGCCTGATGGAAAGTTTTCCCACACCAAGTGCCAATGGCACCCTTGCAACAGTGACCTCTGCCTCTCTGGATTTCTGTGTCCTGCAGACACATGGATGCCTGTCACTCGTCATTTTAACTGGTTCCTTATAAACTGAAGATGTTATAATTTTTTTCTGTTTCCTGCATTTGAAAATGTAACTTTAGCCAAAATGAACCCTTTGACCTGAAATGGTGGTGGTAGTGCCTGTTCCTCAGTAGAATGAATGTGAAACAGTGACTTTCATGAAGAGACCATAGCTGTAGTTCTCTTCATGGTTGAAGTGGTTCTTGTACATAGTGAATTAGCCAGTGTTTCCCTTGGAAGTAAACTGTACAGTATTTGTGTCTAATCTGTACAGTGTCTCCATCTTCACCCTTAAAGACATGTCACAAGACAAGACCTGGTGAACATGTGCAGAGAAACCTACCTCAGGAAGGCAGGTGTCTGCCCCTACAAAGGGCTGATAGCTGACACCTCTCCCTTTCCCTCTAAACCCTATTGTTTTGTCTCTTGTTTCCTTACACAGACCTGTTTCCTACTGTCAGTTAACGTGATCGGTCAGCGAATGGATTTCTATGCCATGATTCACGCCTGCTGGCTGATCGCCGTCTTGTATCGACGCAGAAGAAAAGCCATTGCGGAGATCTGGCCCAAGTACTGCTGCTTCCTGGCCTGCATCATCACGTTCCAGTACTTCATCTGCATCGGCGTCCCCCCTGCGCCCTGCAGAGGTGCGTGGCCTCCCAGTAGCAGCTGCTCTTACCATCCACCCTTACGTTGGGCACGGTGGGCAAAGGGCAGCAAAGAGGCTTATTGATTTTACTCCTCACCACCTCCCTCCCTGCAGATTACCCATGGAGATTCAAGGGTTCCAACTTCAATGACAACATCATAAAGTGGCTGTACTTCCCAGACTTCATTGTGCGGCCCAACCCCGTGTTTCTTGTCTGTAAGTGTTGCAGCCGTGGGGCCAGAGCACTGGTATTTGGTTTTATATTTGCTAATCCATCTGCATGCATTAGCATTAGTGCCTTTGCTTCTTCCACTACTCTTTATAATCATGTAAAGGGCTTGTCTTGATGCATTAATATCACAGGTCATTAATGGATTCTACTTGCCCTATAAACATTTGCAAAATTAATAAATAAACGTTGAAATACCATATTCACTTTCATAACTTACCTTCCAACACACACACACACACACACACACACACACACACACACACACACTGTGCCCCCAACACATCAACACATGCCCCTGCACACCCATCTTCTAGAAAGTAGAGTGAGGATGGAGGCCTTATACTTTGTGAATCCGTTTTTTCTAGCTGCCACCACAAACCAAATCTGAAGATAAGACTGTGCTAGCCAGGAAAATGCTACTCAAATTGCCAAGGCTCCTGAGCTGGGCCCCAGCCCCAAGTCCTGTCAAGGGCAGACTGATAATCCAAAGGTCAAGGTTATCCACTCCTATCCAGGGAGTGCTGGATCCAGTGGAAAACCAAAGAGCAACTTAGCTACCTAGACACAAGCAAATTTAGTTTAAAGAACAACAAGACAATTTAGTCTGGAGGCTGGCTGCCTGGCTGGAGTGAGGGCTTCTTCTGGGCTGTTGGCCATGAGGACCACTCCATCACATGTCTCCACTCTCACAAATCGACTCATTATTGTCAACTGCTGTCACCCAGCCTTCGCTACAGTATGTGCTCTGGATAGAGTCTTTGATCACAAATGTAAAAGGGAATGGAAATGATAGAGAAAATCAGAAATGTCTGCTTCCACCATATGCAAAAAGATTCAGATGGGGAAAATGCTCAAATGGCCTCCTCAACACATTGGTGGGAGATAAGTGCAAATAAAGAGAGTCTTGAAGGCCAGTGATTGGCACCTGATGTTTTTACTCAGCAACATGCAGACACAATCCTAGGACTCTCTCACTTCATGCCTCTGGAATGTCTGTGGTTCCTCTTGCAATGCCCATGGTAAGGAAGGTGGGACTTAGCCCCAACATTGGAATCAGGTTTAGGAACACAACCCCCTTGAGAGTTAAAGAGCAGCTCGTGCTGTATGGGGACTGTTACCTGCATCTGCAAACCCAGGTTTAATGATTTTACCTCTGCCTTGCCAGATGACTTCATGCTGCTTCTGTGTGCCTCCTTACAATGGCAGATTTTTGAGGATGAAAATAAGGCTGCAGTACGAATCATGGCAGGGGACAATGTGGAGATTTGCATGAGCCTTGATGCGGCCTCCTTCAGCCAATATAACCCAGTCCCAGATTTCATTCACTGCAGGTAACGACAGCTGCATGGTTCAAAGCCACTTTGATGCATGCCCTTCAATTCAAGTATATACCTCTCTCTCTCTCTCTCTCTCTCTCTCTCTCTCTCTCTCTCTCTGTCTCTGTCTCTGTCTCTGTCTCTGTCTCTGTCATTCTTGTACACATGAGAGGTTGCTTGTACACATAAAGCCAATAAGCATGTGGCAGAGGGGTTCAGTAGCTAAAGGTGAACTTCTGAGTCAGATATATAATATGGTTTTTTACCCTCATTAAAGTAGAATCTCCCAACCTAATACGTTTATTTGTTTTTGTTGTTGTCCTTTGATGGTTTGGTTTTATTTTCCAGATCATACTTAGATATGTCCAAAGTGATCATCTTTAGCTACCTCTTCTGGTTCGTCCTCACCATCATCTTCATCACCGGGACAACACGGATCAGCATCTTTTGCATGGGCTACTTGGTGGCCTGCTTCTATTTCCTGCTCTTTGGGGGTGATTTGCTATTGAAACCTATCAAGAGCATCCTGCGTTATTGGGACTGGCTGATTGCTTACAACGTCTTTGTGATTACAATGAAAAACATACTGTCAGTAAGTGCCTCTCACTGTGTAACACATTTGTGGTTTCAGTGTAAGAGTAAATTCAGTGGTTATTAAAAACCCATCATCCATCACCCTGCTCTCTTAAAAGCCCCAAATGAGCTGCTGCAAATTCAGAATTCAAATGACCATTTATTTCTATTTGTTTTACCACATTAAGCAGAATCTTTTTTTTCTTTTTTCCACTATCTGAAGGTCACATGATGAGAGAATATGTATTCATCGGAATAAACTCTAAAACATATTTTATTAATTAAAATCCCATCTCTTCTGAGGACTAATTTATCATCATTCTTACTATAGTGCAAAATGGCCCTTTAAAGCTGGCTAAAAGCAACTCTCTCTTATCTAGAAAGTGTTATTAAATAAAAAGCATAGTTTTCTATGATACTGTGTGGGAGGGGAATGAAATGGAATAGACTATTGAAAGCCTGAATGTTTTATGTACACATAAATGTGGGTGGATACAGAAGCATCACAGTGTCTTAGCTGCCTCTAAGCACAGGCATTCTGAGCACAGGCATTTTGACCCAGGCCCAGCTAAGGCAACAAAGGATTGAGGCAGAAACCACCTCTTTCTTCCTCAAAGTTTGGCTGCTCTGCTCTCAAAGCTTCATATTCCAGAGCATAGGTTTCTCCCTGACCTGATTGATAACTCAAACTGCCCCCTTGTAATCCCAGAGTCACATAAAATCTTTCAGGACACAGTTATTTGTTAGTTCAGCAGATTAAACAATAATCTTTCATGAACTGAAGGAGTTAATACATCTCTAGTAGGCCCTAACTTAAGTAGGCCCTAACTTAAAGTTAATCCTAGTACATGCTACTTCCAGGCTATACCTGATAATGCATTAAAAGAATGGTGATGTAATGACTTCCTGCTTCTCCCCCTCCTCGCTACTTAAAGATGAGCTCACCAGGCAGGCAATTTAATTCTGAAAGCATTTGATTTGGGGAAGGAGAGAGGGGTCAATGGCTCATCCATTGCTTTGTTTAGAGGTCTTGGAAAGTCAAGTTTGTGTAACCATGAATATGTATTTGAATAATTTATTTTGTCTACAGTCCATTGAAATGTTAATTTTCTAATTGATACTAAAAGTGACTTTTATTTATTAATTTTACCGCACCAGTATTGATGTACATTTGGAGTAGTTTTGAAAGTTATAGGAGAGGGTATGAGGTAGGGCAAAAGAACACCATTTCATTCTAAAGCCAATCTGACGGTGAAGGATCCATTACTTGAAGCTGATACCTACAACCTTTCTTGGAAAATCTGTCTACAAAGTTCATTCATTCATTCTGTAAACCTAAATTGTACTTCTTTTTGCTAAGCACTGTTTTATATCTTGAAGAGCTAAAGATATACAGCACTCAAATTTTATCAAGGAACTCACTTTTGAAAGGAAAGATCTACCTTTTTTATAATTGTATGATCTTTTGATGCTAATTATCACAAGGGTTCAGGAAAATAAAACAAAAAAAGGAGTATGTAATATATTGCCTAGATAAGTTGGGAACAGACTTCTTATAGGTGATGCCATTTGAACCCACCAGAGGAGACCTGAGAGATAGATTGAAGGTGCCCAGGTAGACAAAGCAGCTAGAATATTCCCAACTTGGGAAGCGTGGTTGTGTAGGACTGAAATATGAATTACCCCAACCATGTACTGATGCTGGGTAACTGCTGATTTGGGAGCAAATTCTAATTATATTCTCCCATCCCCAAGAAATCTGCATAATTCAGCCATCACTTTTATGTGTTGGATTACAATAATTCATGTTTAATACATGATAAGAAAGCATTGTTATAAGACAGCCACATTCAAATAAACAAAAACAAAAAAGATTCCTTTACCCAGAGAATTGGCAAGGAGGAGGAGCAGGAGGAGGAAGAGGAGGAGGAGGAGGAGGAGGAGGAGGAGGAGGAGGAGAGGAGGAGGAGGAGGAGAGGAGGAGGAGGAGGAGAGGAGGAGGAGGAGGAGGAGGAGGAGGAGGAGGAGGAGGAGGAGGAGGAACCTCTGCTCCTATTCTAAGAACTATATATCATGCAGCTTATGTTTATGATAATGTCTTGGCAAATAGCATAGGTTTCCTATGTCTGACAGGCCAGGAAATAATGACCAAATTCAAAGTCCTAGAGTTCAATGCTTACCCATTCACTATCACAGACTTCTGCTTGTTTCTTTGATAATCCAAGAATTTTCTCTTTAAAGGAAAGGTGCTTCCAAGTGTAACAACATCACATTAAAGCTGCGTCCTTTTCTCATTGGGTCTAATTTTCCCTGGGAAATGATGGTGCTCTGGAAGCACTGATAGCACTACCCAGTGGTAACTATAATTTTACATGTCAGGGCCTCCCACAGTCATTGGCACTGAGGCTTGGTGAATTCCTGCACACGTTAGGACCACAAGACACCGAGCTTTTTTTTTTTTCTGGGTACTGAGTTTCAGAATTTGCCTTTTCCATTTGTTTTGCAGATAGGAGCATGTGGATACATTGACAAATTGGTTAAAAATAGTTGCTGGTTGATCCAAGCTTTCAGCCTGGCCTGCACAGTCAAAGGCTATAAAATGCGTAAGTATGAGAAGCATATTTGGGAATGGAAGAACAAAGAGGGAAGGACAGCTGTATTGTTATAATTTAACATTGGGTCAAAACATGTAAACAGAGAGAGAGAGAGAGAGAGAGAGAGAGAGAGAGAGAGAGAGAGAGAGAGAGAGAGAGAGAGAGATGGAGTTCAATTTAATCTCTACATGGAGATTATAAGATTGCACTACAGAGAGAGAGAGAGAGAGAGAGAGAGAGAGAGAGAGAGAGAGAGAGAGAGAGAGAGAGAGAGAGAAATGGATTCAGGCTAGGTGTTTCCTGCAGTATCTCCCAGAACTTTTTTGAATTGTGATCAGAAAGAGTTTCAGATGCCCACTCAGACCTGTGGTTGTGTGCAGTTAGAATCTTCGGTCATCAATGTAGTGCTGACTTCCATGTTCTTCTCTCCTCTGGAAACTCAGAGAACCTCAAACCCAGGAAATAAGTAGGAAGAGCTGGAGGAATTCTGGAGTTATACTTTCGCCAAGACAGAGCCAGAAATCCCATTTCCGTCTCTCTGCCTCTTGCATCAGAACCCAGGGCAGCACCACACACAATCCTCCCTGGTGCCTAGAACGAGGTCGACTTGAACATGATGCTCCCCCACTGTGTGGAGGATGAAGGGTCATGGGAGATTTGCTTTGATTTAGGATCAGATGTGCTGTTGAGACTTCTTCTAATAAGCCCCATTGTGCTGCCTACATCTGGCTAGAGCCCATTTCCAGGAAAGGTGTTTTATTTTGTACCAGAGCATTGCCTCTGGCATTGAGACATGCAGTCATTATTTCCTTTTTGGCCTTTGTTGGGGGTTGGGGAAAGAGGAGTCCCTCTCTCCCTAAAAGTGGGGAACACTCAGGAGTCTTCCTTAGCAAAGAGCCCCTCCTGTGCTTTACATTGTCAAGAGTTCGCTTTGCGGTCAGCCTTAGGGATCAATGTTTCTATTGGATTTTAAGGGCATGGCCTTGCTCTTCAATAAATCAGCTCTTAAGTGAGTGGATGGATCAGAATGTTGCTTTCATGCCTGTGATTTCCCAGGCCTGATCGCACCACAGGTTTTATAAAATAACAACAACAAAAGTGGATGTTAATTTTAATTATTTTAATTTTTTTTTTTTTTTTTTTTGCCTCAGCTGATGCTACTTCCTCATGTAAACTACCCAGTGGTGAAGCAGGAATCATTTGGGACAGTATATGTTTTGCCTTCCTCCTGCTGCAGAGAAGAGTTTTTATGAGTTACTATTTCCTACACGTTGTGGCGGATATAAAAGCTTCACAGATCCTGGCATCGAGGTAGGGCAGACTTCTTAGTTTCCACTCTTCTTCCAGTTTTTGCCCCTGATCTTGTAGGTATAGGGGGAGAGACTAGGAAAAGGACTAAGTATTAAAAGGAGTGCCATCAAGATGGCTAGATGTGTGACCCTTAGGCTGCTGTACCCATATCAGAGACACTAGCCAATTAAACAGCGTAATCAGTGACCTTGACAGGTGAAAATCAGAACCAGACACTGGTGAGCCAAGATTGGAAGTAAAGGCTTGGAGGCAGGGGACTTGACTTGGGGAGATAAACACACAACACAATGTACAGATGATGTGTTGTAGAATTGTGTGTCTGAAACCTGTATAATTTTACTCATCAGCATCACCTCAGTAAACACATTCTTTAAAAAGCAAAGACTTGGAGATAGTGATGTAAGATCTTTGATGATCCCGGGGCAGTGATATAAGGCTGTACGTAGGAAAATGTGGGGTCCATGGGTTCTTTTGCTAAGATCTGAGAATGTTTGCATGCCTATAAGCAGGTTTCAGTAACAGTGTGAAGGTTGAAAGTGAAGGAAGAGAAGGAGAAAAAGGAAGGATGGAGTCCCTCAGGCTGCAGGTGGGGAAGGGACCTGAGCACAAGGCAGGCCTCAGGCAAGAGAATATCACCTCTTCCTCTGTCACTGAGAATGGGTATCCACAGGATAAGGTGGCGGGAAGCTAAGCAAATACTTGCTTGGAACTTATGTTCTCTCTGGGAAGTAGGAAGCTAGGTGTTTACTTAGGAGTGAAGAGCCGTTGACAGAATTCAGGACTTGAGAAAAGAGTAAGAAGTGTGAAATGCCCACTGGAAAGGAGCAGACAAGCTTCCAGAGAGTGTGGTGCAGTGGTTCGTCAGCCAGCCATGGGTTTCTGCACCTCTGATGATAGCCCGTCCAAGCCCAGGGCTGGCACATCACTGAGATTCTGCAGACCTGCCATTTGCCAAGCGATTGTGAGCTGTGATGATGGGACAGAGATGTTGGATGTTGAGAGAGATGGATGAGATCTATGGGGACCCTTGAGTTGGCTTGAAATGTGAGAAAAAGCAGAGGGGAGGGGAAGGATAGAAAGAATAGAATCAAAGAGGCAAGAGACTGAAAACCCCATTGAGGGGTTTGCAATTCACATTTGCACTTTCCCTTATGTATTGAGTAGAAAACCAATCTGAACTCACTCTTGCACAAGTCCCTTAGTGGGACAACTATGTAGAAGAAGGTCAGGGGAGTAACCTGAAGTATAACGTTACGAGGGACAGGTTTGAAACGGCTCATGGCTTTTCAGGTCTTAAGCTATACAAACCATTTTAGTTTCACTGATCTCTCAAGGGTGTGAGCAGCCACTCTTTCGTGGGGGAGGTTGTGCCATGTCTGTCTGCTTGGAAAAGGCCAGGAAACTTCAGTCTACAGTCCAACAAGAAATGTTTTCAAACCCTTATCGTTATTTTAGGGGGAGGTGAGTAACAACAGTAGGAATACTAATTTGTTCTGTTTCCAATTTTCCTTTAGAGGGGCTGAACTTTTCCAAGCCACAATTGTAAAGGCTGTGAAAGCAAGAATTGAGGAAGAGAAAAAGTCAATGGATCAGCTGAAGAGGCAGTAAGGATGCTTTATTTTCCTCTCCTCTGTTTCTGTTAGTTTGGGTTGGTATGATCCCATTCAGACACTCTCAGCTCTGTCTCTGGAAGCCTCAACCCCCTGAAAAATTGGTTCATAACTTCCCAGGTATTCACTGGCATGCCTGGTAGGCTGACCATGGAAGTCATTTAACAGAAAGTGGCTACAATGCGGTAGAAAGGGAGCCGGCTTGGGTAAGGCCAATGTCAAGGCTTAGTTTGGTTGCTTCTTTTTTTTTTTTTTTTCTTTTTAATTATATTTTATTGACTTTTTTACAGAGAGGAAGAGAGAGGGGTAGGGGTAGAGAGTTAGAAATATAGATGAGAGAGAAACATCGACCAGCTGCCTTTTGCACACCCCCCACTGGGGATATGCCCGCAACCAAGGTACATGCCCTTGACCGGAATCGAACCTGGGACCTTTCAGTCCACAGACCTGAGCCAAATCGGTTTCGGCCAGTTGCTTCTTTTGATAACTTGAGGGAGTCATTCACATTCTCTGGATTTAAATGTTCTGCTTTAAATTAGGGATGACAGTTCTCCCTGAGGTTTTTAGAAAGATTAAACAAGGTAATCAATGAGACAGCAGCCTTCACAGTGCCTGGCACTTGGAGTAAATGATCATTACATCTGTGGGTTAAGGGAATAAATGCAGAGTTCTGGCTCTGGAAGGACCTTAAGAGATTATATAATCAGTCTCTTTAGGAAGAAACTGATGACCCACAGTATTAGATCATTTAAAATTCACAACTAACTAGAGGCAGCACTAGAAATGCAACCCACACTTCCCTATATTCAGTTCAAGATCTTTTCCAACAGAGAATCCTGGAGAAGTTGAGTTGAGTTCATGGATTGACTTCACCCAAGAGATTTGGGAATTTTGAATTCGGGGGGCGGGGGGTGTGTGTTTATTTTTAGCACATTGTAAAGAATTTTCTTAGAGTGGGATTTCCAGCAATGAATGGAACTTCATGGGTTTGGGGGGCAGGTTTAAGAGCTGATGGCCTAGAATTCAGCTCACAATAAAAATTCTCTGAGTTTGCTTAAACTAGTTCATTTCATTCTGACTTCATTTTTACTCATGCAAAAATATTTGCTAGTACAAATTACACTTATCCCATGGCATGGTTGTTTTTTTGCACTCACATATATGAACTATATACTGTGATATAGTGTAACTGTCACTATTGTTGTTTCTAAATACCTAAATCAGGTCTAGATAAATAACAAATTTGGAATGTGTTCCCATAATAAGGCCTGTTACTGTAATTCACTTCACTGAATCTTTTCATTGACTTAAGTGATAGAAGGTCAGAATATAACAGAATGAAGGCTGTGATCATGGCAAAAGACAAACTGAACATGTTTTAGCTGCACAAAGCAGAAATGGTTCTTAAATCTGTTCTTGAGCAATATATCCAGAATTTTAAGAAACTGAATTAAACAATGAAACATTTTAGGAGAGCAGATCTAGGAAACAGAATTCAACATTGCTGTTTCTAAATAAACTTCCTAAATAAGCAGACAAAATAAAGGTACTAAGTCAATAATTAAAGATGCAATAAAACATTTGTCCAGAACCAATAAGAGATTAGATTTGAAATAGAGAAGAGGCATATGATCTAACAAAATACTTACTAACATCTTATGAGCGACTTGCTATTTACAACAGTTCTCACATTCACATATTTTTGTCATTTGATGTTCACAACAACCATGTAAAATAGATAGATATTATTTAAAAATGCAAAACCTGAAAGAATAAAGGACTTTATATTTCACTAGAGGCCTGGTGCATGGATTTGTGCACCAGTGTGATCCCTCAGCCTGGCCTGCACCCTCTCGCAATCTGGGACCCCTCAGGGGATATCAGAGAGCTGGTTTTGGCCCAGTCCCCTAGGTCAGGATGAGAAACCCCACTGGTGCATGATCGGGGTTAGGGAGAGACTATGGGAGGGCTCCAAGGGGTATCTGGCCTGTCTCATCCAGTCCAGATTGGCCATACCCCAGCAGCAAACTAACCAACCAGTCAGAGCATATGCCCCTGGTAATCAGTGAGTGTCATAGTGACTGGTCAAATGGTTGAACAAATAGTCAGACACTTAGCATATTAGGCTTTTATTATATAGTACTAGAGGCCCAGAGCATGAAATTCATGCACAGGGGTGAGTGGGGAGTCCCCTCAGCCCAGCCTGCACCCTCTCCAATTCAGGACATCCCTCTCACAATCTGGGACCACTGGCTCCTAACTGCTCACCTGCCTGCCTACCTGACTGCCCCCAACTGCCCCCTTGCCAGCCTGACCACTCCTAATTGACCCACCTGTCAGCCTGGTCACCTCCAACTGCCCCCCTGCTGGCCTGGTCATCCCCAACTGCCCCTGCCAGCCTGATTGCCCCCAACTACCCTCCATCCCACTGACCTAGTCACCCCCAACTGTCCCCCTGCCATCCTGGATGCCCCACACAGCCTGCTGTTCAGTCATTTGGTTGTCCCTCACTAACCCCCCTGCCAGCCTGGTCGCCCCACACAGCCTGCTGTTCGGTGATCCATCTGGTTGTTTCAGTTGTGACAGCCCCTGGTTTTTTATATATTAGGATAGGATAATATGCTGTATGCAGACAGCTATGTTACAGTGTATAAGTAGACATAAAGTATTGCATATCAAACGTTAGCATAATTGTTATCAGTCATATTATTAAGGCTTGCATGTGTGTAGAAAAATTAACATAAGCGTATTTTAAAAATGGAGATACTTGTTTCTAATAAGAAACTATTCACAAGTCCAAAATATCGACTACTTTGTTCATGCGTTTAGCTACATACATAAAAGTGTAAGCCCAAAGTGTGACCATAGGATAACTGCGGATGTGTTCTTGGCACTGCTGCTGCTCTTGCATCTTTCAGGATGGATCGCATTAAGGCCAGGCAACAGAAATACAAAAAGGGTAAGGAGAGGATGCTGAGCTTGACCCAGGAGTCAGGGGAAGGCCAAGACATCCAAAAACTCTCTGAAGAGGATGACGAAAGTATGTTGAAACATTTCCTTCTTGCCCAAGTACCTTGACATTGAATAATAGCATGTATTGGGTAGGGCTGCAAAATAACGTTAATTTTCATCTTGCCAATATTATCAATGTATTTTTTTAACTTAGCAATTTTTACATTCCCGTTGTGAATGAGATACCTTTAATTGTCTTATGAAGTACACATTTAATGAATCCATGACTTTACAAGTCTTCTTTTCACCAAGACAACTTAAATCAGTATGTAACCTGCCTTCTGTTTCATAGATGTGTTTCTGAAGGAAGTGGGCATAAATTTGCTTAATTTATTCCTTTAGGGAAGATATGTCAGACATGCAATCTACTATAATCTTTGATTTCTATGAATATTATATGAAAACTAAGCATATATGCATATTTTATGTCGTGTCTAAATAATGGTAGTTAAAATATCATTTAATGATATTTATATTTAAATGTATTCATGATACCTTATGATAAATATATTATACCCAATAAAGTCTAAAAGGTTTTCTTATAAATGTTTTTATGCTTTTTTATTTAGAGGGAATGAAGAAATAATGCATGATAGTATCCATTAATCACCAGTAAACATATTTTTTCAACCATATATTCAAATAATCACAAGAAAAATGTCTGGCTATAGGAACATATGGTTTTAACAAATTATTTGCCACTGCATTGTGTTATACATTTTGGGTGATGCTTTTTCTGTTGATTCGAAAGAAAATTTAGTGTGAAATGCATTTTTGACAAATAGTACCTTTTTAAATATTTTTTTTCTGTTACTAGAAAGAAAAATGGAATTGTGGCATAATGTTTATAGAACACAGCATTTACCTTGTAAAATCAATTGCTAATACATGTAAATTATTCAGATTCCATATCGTTCCTTTTCCTGACCTCTCGTGTACTTTTGCAACTTATCTAGATTTTGACAATTGAGTTGTTAAAGCGTGGTTTTCAAAATTTGTTTTCTCACTTTATAAGAATTAATATTTGGACATATTTTATTTTAGGAGAAGCAGACAAACAGAAAGCCAAGGGCAAAAAAAAGCAGTGGTGGCGGCCTTGGGTTGATCATGCTTCCAGTAGGTTTTCTCGATCCTCTTACAATTTCGTCAATTCTAACCCTTATATCCTTGACCAGAATTCAGGCGTCCCCATGGCCTGTGTGTTTTAATGCATGGTTTGATCCTTGTGACTTGATAAGGGGTCAGAATATAAAAAAAAATTGTGATAGGAATGGCTCTCTGAGCCTGAATACAAAATCTTCAGAGAAATTAGTGATTACACGCTGGCTGAAGAAAGCCAAGCCTGATCACCATTTATGGGCTCAGAAAGGACAGAATCTTGACTGCTGTGTTATCCACTTCTGAGGTCTAGAGTCCTCCTGATGTGTATTTGTTTTGTGGCTTAAAACCCTTAATAAAAATAAGTTTCTGCCCTGACTGGTTTGGCTCAGTAGCTAGAGCGTCGGCCTGCAGACTAAAGGGTCCCAGGTTCAATTCCAGTCAGGGGCAATGTACCTTGGTGTGGGCACATCCCCAGTAGCAGGTGTGCAGGAGGCAACTGATCGCTGTTTCTCTCTCATCGATGTTTCTAATTCTATCCCTCTCCCTTCCTCTCAGTAAAAAAATCACTAAAATTTTTTAAAATTAAGTTTCTGTGCCTCCTGGGACCCTGATTTAAGGACAATATTATGTTCACAGTGTCTGTGACCCTCTTGTAAGACACTAGGCAGATGCTAATGAGCCTCCCATACCCTCATTCCCAGAGCTTAGACTTTATTTGCATGTGAGGAATTTTTATACTTGGTTAAATATAAAAATGAGAACAACTTAAAATGAATTTACTTTTTAGTTCTGCCTCCTCCCTAGTTTTAAAAAGGCTCCAAGTGTGTGGCCTCAGATCACCTACAGCTCAGCCAAAACCAGTTAAGAGCAGTCAGAAAACAGTTTTGAAAAGCAGTACTTGATAGTCACATGGAATTAGTGCTTTTCCGTCCCGAGCATAAAAAAATAATGAGGAATTATGGTACTCTGTGGCTGTATTTGTTCTGCTTGGCAAAAGAACTATCAATCATCCATTATTGGCCAATGGTATTTTAATGGAATGATCCCTTTGAATCCAGCCCTCCTTAAATGTATTAGAATATTAAATAATTATTAATTATTTTGAAAATTATAATATCTTCAGTCCTTTATGTCTTGTTCTGTGTTTTAATAACTGTAGCTAATATAATCAGACAAGGAATATCACCAAGGCCCATAACAACACATGATGATTGGAGGGACTCTATGAGTGGGATATGTAGAATCACTAAAAAATCAAATTGATCAGAATCTTTTCCCATACTTAATTCCTAGTGTCATCTAAGACACCGGTATTAGCTTCTCTGATTCTAGAAATATTTTTTAAATGAGTAAACCAATATAATAAAGTAGTATTCAAAATTTGCTCAGTATATGTGGATGTAATTAAATTTAATCCCAAATATTGAATTTTAGCATCGTGGCAGAAAAAAAAATTCATCTGTTGTAAAGAGTTTTATTTTATTTGCTGCCCAAGTCAAAAGACAAAATTCAAGGTGAAATTCTCTGTGTCTCTAATTTACTGCCCATTGACATGTTAGTCATGCTGATAATCTAACAATGCATTGCACTGTATGCCCATTTCTATCAAGTCACAAGTAAACTATGCCTATCTTTCTGTTTGTAAAGGGTTCTTTGCTAGTTTAAAGAGACCTATCCATTTCAAAATTATGTCATACTAAATGTTTTGTTTTTTCAGATGGGGTAAATTCCCATTACAATCATTGTGGTTATGTTTCCTTTCTCATCTAAATATTGCATTTTGGAAGGATTTGGATATGGTCTTTGATAATGATCTTACAAGTTGGGAATAATTTAAAGAACTTCCTATGAAGGGTATGGTCTTTAGACTTTTCTGATTCATTTCACCCTCATTATATCAAGTTCTTAAAGACTGGTATTAAAGTAAATGTGCCTCGTTACAATACCTTATGATGCAATAATGCATGAATGTGTGCTATTCATAGGTTGGAAAATGTATTTTCTTTACAAGCTTTTGAGGAAAGGAAAGGAATGAACATGTGATTTATTTTATAGATTATAACATGCTCCAAAATGTATCTTCAGATCTGGAAGCACTTTCTTAAAAGCTATTTTATTTCTCTAAAAGTCATGGGTTTCCACATAGATATTCTTAGTAGTGTCAAGCATAAAAATAAATGTAGTTGAAATACCCTTATGTAAATCCATTGGCAGTGTAATAATAATGTTGCTGTGTTGTTCATATTTTTGGTAAGCATTCAAGATCTTAGCATAGATTTCAGGTGACAAATCTCCAACTTCCTTACCTATGTGCACACATGCAATTGCATCATTGCTATTCAATGATACCTTCCATTTCAGTGTAGTGTGTCTTTTCGTCACTTTAAAACTAGGTCAATGCCAAGCCTCATTTTATATTTAAATATCTGAAATAAAGGGCCCATTTTTGGAAGCTGGGATTTTAAAATTTATTTTCATGCTTAGTTGTTCAGTAATAACATCGGCATTCGTAATACATATATAGACGCAGGCTGGAGGCAGGATCTCTATCCGAACTAACAAAGTCATATATTATAGAAGAGCTCGACTCATTATTAACAGATAGCACAGAAGAAAATATTCTCTGTTATTTTCCTGGTTTTATGTCAATAACATTTTGTAAAGAATAGAAAATATTTAACACTTTTCTTTTTGTAATGTGTTTATTCTACCTCTCACATACCAATTGGCAGTTTATCAAATTACAAAATCAATGCTATGACTACTTGAGGTGAAAACAGCTTGGGCTCACAGTGTCCTCATGGCTAAAAGTTATAGAAGGTATGATTGAATACAATTTAAGCTACTGTTGATTTTAGAGACTATAATGAGGGTAAAATGCTCAATCTGATACTCTGTTTTTTAACCAAATGACCATTTGATGTACAGTCCATGTAACTTTTCCTGCAAATCTCTGAGCTTACATGAAGGCATTACTTTAATGGTCTTCTCACTGTCAAACGTAATGCTGTAACTTTGGTTTGTTCTTGCTTACTCTTACCTTATGTTATATTGCATTTATTTCCTCAGGCCTGGACCCAGTACTCTGGGCCTGGTTATTTCTTCACAATAAAAATAACAAATCACAGTGCTTCTGTTCAAGGATATAAGGCCCAATTCATTCCCTCTGCGTCTTCATGGATGGAGGCCTCAGATATGTCTGAAATCATGGGCAAAATTACTTACCTTTTGACCATGTTAGTGATATTCAAGCAACTAATTTTAAACAAGCCAAGGTTTTCCATTACCTTGCAATGTTTAAGTCCAAAATGTAACTGGACACATCATGTTATGTTATCCAAAAGGAAACTCAGCATTTGAAACATGAACATAACTTGAAAGTATTTAATGTTTTCCTGCAATGTTGGTACAGTTCTTGTAGCATCGAAAATATATATGCTGGGTCTCTTTTCTCTGATAAATTTAAAATAATGATCAAACTGATAAAAATGTGATCCTCAAATTTCTATAAATCTCTGGACATTTTAGCTCTCTCTAATCCTAACTCTTAGCACAGCAATACGTTCTTTCAGGGAAAGTATTAAGCAAGGCAAGGATGATCTATACTGTTTGTGCTTGGTGTCTTATGCTCAGTACAGGTCTCCTCAGATTTCAGTAAGTGACTGGGGAGTTCCTGGTTGACCAGAAGTCTAACAGCACTAAACGATATGGACCATGTCTGCCGTGCCCCAGTCTGTCCCATTCTCCGTGTAGAAAAAGCCACAGTGTTCATGGTAGCATTATTGTGGTTCTGTTCCTTTTTTTTTTTTTTTTTTTAATGTTGCCCATCCATTTCTTCCTCATAGCAATGTGTTATCTTTTTAAAAATCAACTCTTTCAAATGTCTTGCCATATTTGTGTCTCTTTCATGACGTGTGGGAAAGCCAGGTCTGCACAGTATAAAGTGAAGTAGAAGATTGGTGACATGAATTATTGGTCCTGAATCTTTCTGATTGGTTTTCTACAACAGTTTGGACCCATTCAGACAACACCAAGCCTTCCACTTTACTTCAGCCTTGTCTAAAGGACCAGAATTGCTGAATTGCAAAATAGTTTTCAGTTATTTTGGTCATCTTGGTAACAAAACTGGTTGCTACAGAGTTGATCTGATACATTTGTATTATATTTACAATGAGGAAGAAAGAAAATACCAGATCAACCCAGTAGTGGCCAATTCTCTTACATGGCACAGACAAGGCCTTCATGCTCTGCAGACCCAGTCATGCCAACAACACATAGCATAGCCCAGAATGAATCCTCTTCATCTCTTGTTTTCTTTTCCCTCTCTATCAATGTCTCTCACTGTGGTCCTTTTATGGGCAATTTATGTGTATGTTTGGGGGGGCATTTCATTAATAATCCCCTGACTATCTTGTATCTCTTTCAAGAAGTAAGTAAATATTTTGTTTTGCTTAGTGGTCAGGAGTGGAGACTATTATTTGTTTGAAACGGATAGTGAAGAGGAGGAAGAGGAAGAATTAAAAAAGGAAGATGAAGAACCTCCAAGAAAGTCAGCTTTCCAGGTAATTATGGGATTTGGGAAATCATGGTGTTTGCTAATTGAGTTATTGTTGTTTGTTTGACAGATGGTGCTTAAAAGCCTAGACTTCTACCATATTCATAGGAAGTGTTAGAGTCCCCAGAAGCTTCTGACCTACATCTGAAATTGTTTATTCCGCATTAAACTAATGCTGCTTGCTCTCAGCATTGCCATAGTTTCTACTACACAAGAACACTGTTCCAGTCAGGTCTTCATTCACTGATATCCAACATGTTTCTGATGCTACCAACAAAAACATTCAACTTCCTTAGGTGAACTTTATTTTTCTGTCACAAGTGGGAGGTGAAGAAGCTGAATTAGCTTTGGTGAATTAGCTCTCTGTCCTTGCTTTGGATTATTTGAGTGGACTTATATTTCGATATGTAGAATAGTTGATCATGTTTTGTTTTAAAACAAATGGTCACTTAAATATTGCTTTGTTTTGAAAGTCAGTTTTATTTGTATTGCTAAAGATTTGAAAAGATATTGAAGCAATAAAAATATCTAGTACAGCTCTGATTTTTCCCATTTAACTGCCTTTTTCTCCCCAGAACTTACTGTACCATTCTCAGTTGTATAACTCATTAGCCTAAATATAATGTACTCAGTGAATGTATCATCAGTGCTACCTAAACATGATGATTTGTCAGAAGAGTTACAAATGGAACAAAAGCTTGATATATATTTATATGTATATAGGTTGTATATAGATTTTAGGCAAGAGCCACATGTTAGAAGTTAATATTCATTGGTTATACTACAGGCACCTAGAATTACACATTGTGTCCTTGAAAAGGCTAATGTTAGTTTGCTGGCCAGGTCTTCTCAAGCTGGCAGGTCACATCCACCCATTTTCCTAATGACACTGAAGAGCTAAGTTATTCATGGAGACACCTTGCTCTGATGCTTTCGCACTGGCCCCATTGCTAATCTCATGTGTTTCCAGGTGACCGTGTTTGTGTGCATGTATGCAGCTAACTTGTCAAATACTAACAACTTGACTTGCTTATTTTTGATCTAATGACTCTTGTTCTAACTCATCATGCAGCAAAGGAGAGACCGGGGTCGTCTTTACTATTTTCACAGATTATGCGTAACGTTTGACTGTCTTCTTTCTTTCTAACATAAGCACATTTTATTCTAGCTTCAATGACGGGCACATTTGAACCTAGTTGATGTAATTGTAGAGACAAACTCATGCTGACATCATCTATTAAATTATTAATTTTTGCTTTTTTTCTACTAATTACTCTTGCTTTGTCCTTCTTTGTAGAGAGCTATTGGGAAGTTTGCATCAGCCATTTTAGCCTTGCCAAAGTCTGTCATTAAACTTCCCAAAACTATTCTTCAGTATTTAATCAGAGCTGCAAAGGTATTTGATGTTTTACTGGTGTGTGGTGTGTGATCCTCTGCTCTGTAGATCTTTAGACAAGCAGACCCTTGTTGCTACATCTGCGTTTTCCCTGTCCTATAAATCGAGCAATGAAGGAATTCTAAGAATTTAAAATGTTAGACAAAGCTTTCCACTAAGAGTTCTGAGAAGCCAAATTTCATATTATTTGATTCTTGTTTTTCCATTGACACCAGAGCCTATCGAAAAATAGGAAGAGAAAATGCAGATATACATCTATTTCTGTCCTTTTTGTAGTTTTGTCTAAGTCACATCTCACTTGAAAGGGGTCCTATCTGGTTGCATGCATCAGTTACGATGTGTGAGAAGTATAATTTTTCTCAGAAAGCTGGTTAAATTACAAGGAAGCGAATAAAAGATTCAGCTTGTTCCATCTCCTTCCTGGCTTCCTGTCAGTTCTCCATCTTCTTAAATTGGACATCATTTTCCATTTCTCATTGGGAATTCAGCACATCTCCTCCCTACACGGAGCTGCCATGTGCAATCTGTGCAGCTGCTCCCTCCCAGGTACTGAGCTGAATAACTGTTCATGTCCAGTTACCTGTGCTGAATACGAGCAGTTATTACTTCATCAACTGAAAATCATAGGCAGTGAATTACTCTTATTGTACTTGAAAGAAAGCTGTTTCTCATGACTTAATCTGAGGCAAGCACTAAAACCCTTAGCTCTTCATGCTCCTCAGTGTTAAGCAAATGGTTTGGATAATGGCCAACACAGGTGTTTCTCACAGTTTACTTATTTAAATGCAGGTTATTTAATTCAGCAGGTCCTGAGGGGAGGACTGAAACTCTGTATTTCTCTCAAACTCCTGGATGAAACGCAAGCAGCTGGACCACCTTGAGTAGCAGTATTTGCTCTAGGTCCCTGCCTATTAGTTTAATATTCACTACTGTCACTTCCCCAGGATTCTTTCTTCTCTCTTCTATGAGTCTCTCCATCCATGTAAAACAATTTCTGTAAATAATTACAATGTAACTATCTTACTATTTTTAAAAAAATCTTATTATTTAAAAAATACCTTCTTACAGACAACATAAAGAAAGTCCTGGACCACACTTGAATTAAAGGACAGTTTATGAAATTTAACCAGTTTCAGTTAAGGATCTTTTATGTCAGTGAAGTCTTCTCCTGTTTTAAAGATTAAATTATTTTTATATAATTAAGTGTTCTATAAAATGAATTCCATTTTCCTTAATAATATATGATTTTAAAAAAAATTTTTTAAGTAAGATAAAGTTGGGAATACAGTCGCAGTGCAGTTTGGAGAAGCCAGATGTTAATAAATACATGTCCATGCACTTTTTACTTATGGTGAGTGGTACTCGGGTATGGTTCCCTAGGGAGCCCCATCACATGGATGGTAGCTACAGCCACCAAGTAAGAATTGAGAAGTTTCAGTAAGAAAGTTCCATTTCTTATCTCAGTAAGAAATGGGATGTTTCCTCCTCCACCTTCATTATCAACTTTTTCCTGACACAGTTCAACTTAAGTGAAACTGACCCTCTGTCAGATGTGCCTGGGACTCTAATATGTTTGTATTTCTATCAGCATCAAGAGAATTTACCTACAAATAAGGAGCATCAATGGTTCTTTCCCCCTCCCTTCTTCACTCATATTTGCATTATCTAAATTCTTATTACTACAAAAAAGAACCGATAGACTTAATCATTTAGGTGTCATATGTAGAACCAGGAGTTTCCTTTAAATAGCCAAATTTCAGTGGTCCTCACCATTTCCCTAAGACCTCTTCAATCTAATCAAAGCACCTCCTCTTCTTCTCACCCTCCAGCCCAAAGGTTTCATTTTCTTCAGAGGAGAAAAATGTTTCCAACTGTGCACTTATTACATTCATAAATCCTGAATTTTATTTTTTTTTATTTTTGAGATCCTTGCATTCTCTAGAAACAGGATTCTAATAACTTTTTAAAATAAAATATAATTTGCTCGTAAGCTTGAAATTTTATTTACATTTAGCAGAATAGGTTTTTTAAAAAGAATCTGTTTTGCGGAAGCAAGTTTGTTTAAGGAGATATTCTTGCTATTCTCCCCAATTAACATGCTCAATAAACATCCACCATAAATTCTTTTATTTGATCCTTATTCTTCAAATTTCAGTTTATTCTTTTTTAAAAATATTTGAGGCATATTCTTTTTCTTTGCCTCCTGGGTTTTTTATTCAGAAATAAAAAACAATAATATATTTACATTAATTGCCCTTAAGATTCAGATTTCTACCAGTGAGAAGTAATGTTCTTAATAACCTATGACCTTTACATTTCCATATGTGGAAACATTGAATCCCTCTTAAATGTTATATATATATATATATATATATATATATATATATATATATATATATTGTTGATAGTACTACAGATATATCTTAAATTTTACTGGCAACCCAATACCCATGGTTTCATTAAACAGTGCTTTTCAAATATCCCAGAAATCTGAACATTACAATCAATAAACTGAAAGTGCCTGGCTCTACAAGCGACCCTGCAAAATATTCCTTTAACTCTCTGATGAGAACAGAAAACCCAGCTTCCCTGAGACCCAGGGGTGTCTGAGGGTGCATGAGGCGCATGCCTGCCTGGCTTCGTGGTTCTAGGTGGCTGACTCTGTATATCAAGGTTTCCTTTTTGTTCCTTCTGCATGACTCTCGGCGGGCGGGCTGTTCATCATGGGTTATAATAATATACTATTGCAACTATTTTCAGCTCTTGAATGAAAAAGACTAAAGGCAACCAAAAGCTCAAGTTTTCCTTCCATACCATCTGCAATAACTTCTTAATCTTAATATCACAGTATTTTTCCTCTCCAAATACTAATCAATTTGCAAAGCCCTTTCTCAAGTTGCTGGCAATAGCTGTTATTCACAAGGGAAGGTATCAAATGTGCAAAACTGTTTCCCAACATAGGCCAGTAGAAGATGCTATTTTGCTTTTTTACTCAGAGTTTATTTATGATGGGAGAGCATTGTACTATTGATACTTAGTGAGACCTCCAGTTTATTCCATTGTGGGTAATGGGAAAGATCAATAGTTAAGAATCACAAATGTGGTAATAATGGTGAGCTGGGGAAAATGCTGGTTTGTATGTACCCAAAGTTTCTCATGATTGTCTGTGATGCCAAATGAAATATATTCCTACAAATCTGTCTCCATCTATTATTTCATGATAATGAAAGTAGCAAGGTCAGCTCAGCATATGAAAGAATACGGGGGGGGGGGGGGGAGAAGAAAGGATATTGGAGATGGTATTTAGTTTGTGTTGGGATAAAAAAAAAATGTTTCCAAAAGTCAGGAAGTTTGGTGTTGGTCTCTTTTCTTTTAATTGAATTATTAAAAAGCCAGAAAATAATTGAACTTTCTCCCTTCAGTTTGTTTATCAAGCCTGGATTACTGATCCTAAAACAGCACTCCGACAGAGGCGTAGAGAGAAAAAAATGTCTGCAAGAGAAGAACAGAAAAGAAAGAGGAAAGGATCTGGGGAGGGTGAGTGTCCTGGAGTGCAGCTTCAGCCACACTCTCCATTTCTGTGGTCTTGACTACAACAGAGGAACTGCAAAGGACAGAATCTTTGGAGGAATCAAATTCTTAAATTCCAAAGAGTGCAAAGATTTTCACTTGTTCTTAATTGCTTGTGTCTGACATTTGGAAGAAATGAAAACATGAAGTTAAGATGCATTTATAAAATGGGGGAGGGAGGCAAAATAAACCCAAAGGAAGTCTGTAGAAAGGAAAAAAAATCATTTTGAGAGCTTAAGTTATAGAAAATAAATATAAAACAAGACCTCGCCAATAAGTTAAAAGCTGTTCTTGGGAAAAAGTAATAATAAAGGTGAACCAAAAATGGAACATAACTACCAGTGCCATATTCAACATTAAACTGCTGCATTTGAAGGCATATGAAAGAAACATGTTTCTAAGCGGGGAGAGAGGATTTCAAACCACAACAAAACACACCAGTAGCAAAGGTAAAATGCAGTGGAGGCACTCTGGAAAAACACTTTCATTATATAAATCAGGCTGAAGATAAGCATTTTAATATAATAAGAGTTTCAAAATAGCAATAAAAGTTCAACCCAGTAGATCAACAAATATGAAAACAATTCACAAATCATAAAGGGGAAATGGTGCTTTAAAAGGAGCTCGTCTTCACTAGTAACATGAGAAACATAAACTAAGTGTTTTGATATTTTGGGTTCTTACCTATGGGATTGGCAAGAACCTAAACATCTGATAACACTGGGACTAGTGGGAAGTTAAATGCTTTTGTAAAGTTGTCCATCCACTTTGAAGACAGTCCTACTAGACATCAGTCCCACTTCCAGGTGTGTGGCGTAACCTGAAGCAGGGTTTGCACATGTGCACAAGGACACCTGTCTAAGAGTATTCCTCAAACATTATTGGTTAATAACAAACATTTAGAAACATCTTAAATGCCCACATAAAGAAGGAAACCCAAGTAAATTATGTTATCATTTTATAATGGGACACTCTTCAGCAGTTTAAGAAATGAGATGGGTTACTTTGAACTGATTTGGAGAGCAGTTCCTGACAAATATTGTTAAATGAAAAGCATTATGTTGCAAATGGCATACAGATCATGCAACCAATTATGAAGCAAAGGAAACCTCAACATAATATTTTGCATTTTAATTATATTTTGCATATAATAGTGTATAAATGCAAGAGGAAGATCAGGAAAAAACAGTTAGGAAATTAACAACTGCTTGCTTCTGGGGGACGGGTGGAGAGACTGAGATTAAGTGGTGTGATTAAAGGAAATTTTAGACTGACCTAAATTCTTAATTTTTTGTGGCTTTACAGAGAAAATATATACATAAATTCTTTGTGAAATTAAACATATATTTAAAAATAAAGAAAAACAACCATAATTTTTAATGCAACTCTAAATAGAAACACCTCTCCTTTTTTTTTTTTTTAAACTATTCTGCCCCCTGCTACCTCATGGTAGCTTTCATTTTATTTTACTTTCTTAGTTTAATAAGACAAAATTAAGGCCGAGCTGATGTAACAAGATATCAGTCAAGAAATAAATGCGTAGTCTGCCCTGGATACCTATCCACTGAGCTACCAAATCTTCACAACATGCTGTGTTCCCTCCCCTCCTTTCCCATGGGCCTGCACGTATGTGTGCAGGCATGGTTTCCTTTGTTTTTGAAAAGTGAGTTCATGCTATACAAACTGCTCTTCCATGTTCATTCGTAATGTATTGTGACCATCTCTTCAATTAAGTATTCACAAATCCATATCCTCCTTTTATAATAGCTGTAGCATATTCTGTGATATGGATATACATAATTTATTCCACTATTACATCACTAATGGACAAAGGTTTGCTTCCAGATTTCTGCAGCCATAAACAGTGCTATCATAGACATCCCTGAGCAAAGCTCTGTATACAGTCGGACGTGTCTGTGTATTTAAATGGATAGCAGAAGGTCAGGAAGAACATGCACTTTCCACAGAACACATTAGCCAAAGTGGTATTACTGCGTTAGATGATGTGTCTTTTTTTTTTTTTTGCTTTAATAGGTATTTTCCGAAACCGGTTCAGTAATTTACTCCCGTGAGCGGAAGCGTGCACTTCCCCCTTGCTTTATCCCCACGATGTATTTCTCTTTCTATTTTTTTTGTCTTTCTCTGGGATGATGAAAGGCTTTCATTTTTATTTGAATTTTCCTAGCTAATAAGACTGACTATACTTTATTTTCGTGATATCCATGTGTTGTTTTTTTTCTGGATGATATGAATTCTTACAACTTTTCCCCAGAAACTCTTAAAATAGACAAGAAATCTGAAATTTAATGTTTAAGTTTTATTTTATTCCCAGAAGAGTGGATTGGCATTTAATAGACCCTAACTGAACCTAACTCTTGTTAATTGAACATGCTCGACAGGTCCTGTGGAGTGGGAAGACCAAGAGGATGAGCCAGTTAAAAAGAAATCCGATGGACCAGGTAATACAATAGAGACACCTACGACCAGGGAGAAATGTGAAACTGTTACTTGCCCAATGAAATTGCCTACAAATAATTAATCAAATACTGTCTGTGGACTATGACTAAATAATCGGTGTCTTTTGGAATCTCATCTCTTGTGAAATTGCAAAGTGAGTCCTAAAAGTAGATCTGCTTCTTGAGCTGTTGGATTAATCACAGTCAGTTTGTAAATTCTTTTATCCAAGTACCCACGAAAGGTGGTGTTGGGGAGCAAATGACAAATGCCCCACAGAAACCATCAGACTAGAGGAACAAAAAATATTGGCAATTAGTTTTAAAGACTATACAAAGAAGGAGTTAAGAGGTAAGGAGAATTGGGGAGAGGAGGGGTACTCTGGAAACTTGGGCCAACTCCTCATTTTATGGGGGAAAACCAAGTCCTAATGAGGTTGCCCAGGATTTCAGAGTTACAGTCAAGGACAGAATCCCTGCCTTCTTACTCCCAGCCCCATCATGGTATTATTCGGGTTTTGCATAGAGTGGGACTGGGAGGGAGATTTCTCCATGCAGAACAAACAAAACAAAACAAAACAAGATTCTCCAAATGAAACAAACTCAAATGCCTCTTTAGTTGTATAAAAATGCTGTTTCCTATGTGCATTATCGGCAGGCAAGTACTCTGGATAAATACATCCAAGGATGCCATCTGCTGGCTCAAAATGAGACTTCTCAAAGGCACTCTAATTACTAGTAATAATACCCTCTGTGGCACAATTCTTAAACCTGGCCTCCATTTCCAGATCATTTTATTCACACGTATGTGAACCCAGATCTTCTGTTATTGGCACAAAGCCTTATACCATAATAATAGCTAACCTCTTAGATTTCACACCTTTGCCAGGCACTTTTCTGAGAGATTTAGACAAATTGATTTGTTTAAGCCTGGCAAAGATCCTCTTCCCCATTTAACTCAGTTTCTTAACTGAGGCAGAGAAAGAGTAACTACTTTTCAAAGGCTACATAGCCACGAAAATTTGAACCCAACGAGTCTGAATCCAGAGTTTGTGCTCTTAATGTCTATGTCCTATTGCCTCAATCATTACAAAAAAGTATCGCTAGGACCGGTTTGGCTCAGTGGATAGATCGTCGGCCTGTGAACTGAAAGGTCCCGGGTTCGATTCCAGTCAAGGGCATGTACCTTGGTTGCGGGCACATCCCCAGTGGGGGGGGGCATGCAAGAGGCAGCTGGTCAATGTTTCTCTCTCATCAACGTTTCTAATTCTCTGTCCCTCTCAATTCCTCTCTATGTAAAATCAATAAAATATATTTTTTAAAAAAGTATCAATAAAAATCCCAATTTCATGTTAGTTAGTGATTACCTAAGTTTATAAAGTGCATGTTATACAGGTCTCCAACACAGTGATTTTAGTTTTAACATCAAGACCACCATTAGCAAAACTGTGAAATAATTATATTTATCTTTACCACCTCTAGGAAAATAACTGTGAATATGAGAAAAAAAAATAAGATGTCAAAAATATAAGATGTTGCTAACGTTTCTTAATAGTTGTAACTAACTTCAAGTCTTCCCGCCTCCACGGGTCAAATGTCTAGAGGTCCTATCCACACTCCTGCGGGAACTGCACTTCTTGTTCAAGATCAAAACAGAAACAGGAGTGTGGGGTGAAAAGAGAAGTGTCCGTGTCCCCAGGGTTCCAGGCCTCTCTGGCTCAGATTGCTCTTCTGTGGAATCTGTACCAACTCCACTCCATTCAGCTTCACTCAGCACCTGCTGCCTCCTGGCCTTCTTTCTTTAATTGAAACTATTCTCTCGTGTCCCTACTTCCTAAAGTGTACCCCATGTGAAGATGTTAGGTGTGACACGATTTTGCCGAGGTTTGGGGGGAGAGTGGGAGGAAGTGGCAGCATGCATAGCAGGACACTATTTCCAAGGGGAAGTTAGTGATCACTGTTCCCATCCGGGCAGATCTCTCACCAGCTGATGTCTCTGGGGCCTGGCTTCCCAACCACCTGTGACTCAGGCCCCTTCCCTCCAGGCTCTTCTCATTTAATCATCCCCCATATCTTTTTCCAGTTTCCTTCTTAGCGACCAGCTGGCTGCTCCAAGGTTCTTGTTATTCCAGCAGGTAGAACTGTTAAACTCTCCTTGTCTCCCTTGCCCATCTCCGCTCGTCAGGGGGCCATCCCACATAGAGCTAAGCTGCTTGTGATGTTTTTCTTTTGAGAAGAGCAAATGTTTACCCAGGAGAAAATCTGCCTTCCTCCTAGGCCACTCAATTCACAAATAATTTTTATTTTTTACCATTACAAAGTTAAACTCTGATTCACATTGTGGTGTAGGAATTAAAATACAGGGAGAAGATTTGAGTCACACAGTGGTTATATCTGATCATACTAGATTCCAGGTCAGGAAACTATACCTGCCACCTGTGTTTATAAGGCTTGTTAGCTAAGGATGATCTTTATATTTTTAATGGTTGAAAAAATATTAAAAAGAGGTGTATTTTATGATATATGAACATTATAATACTAAGATTTCAGTATCTGCACATATAGTTTCATTGGAAACCCATTCATTCCCATTCATAGACAATTCACTCATTGTCGATAGCTGCTTACACAGGACAGCAGCAGAGTGATTCATTGAAATACAGACAGTATGGCCTGGAAAGCAAAAAATATTTACTCTCGGGCCCTGTTCAGAGAAAAGTTGGTTGGCCCCTGCACAAGATCGTAACAGCTAGGCTAGAATCATTAATTGTAAATTCGTTAAGGTTTTACTATGACCCTTAAATCTGGTTTTAGTTATTTATTTGGTGGGTGAAGAGTGAGATACAAGTTGGATTTTTACTGGTGGGGTTTGTTTTCAATAAACAGTAAGACAATTCTTAACTCATTCTTATGTTCACTAAGTGTCTGCTTTATTGTAATCAAGGTTTTGAAATCGTTAAAATAAAAAATAAAATAAAAACCTAAAAATTTTAAATGCCAAGTTAAAAGAAAGGCACACATTGATCAAAATTTGGTAGCATGTCTTTAAGGATTCCTTATATGCTAGTTGACAACTTATTGGCTTACAGGAACAAATTAACAAGATGGTTCATATAGAATCATTCCTCTTTTATTTTGATTCAGACCTAAAATAAAATTAGATCACAGCTATGAAGTCTCTTCAAACCTGATCATGATCAAGAAGTTCATGTTGGCTTCTCCGAGGGCTGGCGAGGGGCGTGTTGCATGGAGACATGCTTGGGGCACAGGTGCACCTGGAGCAGAGCTTATCCCATTGGGCAGCTCTCCCAGGCGCCCCCAGCACAGCACAGATAAGGAAGAGAACCCAATTCCATCAGGAATTTCACAGCTTCTGCTGGTTTCCAGAGGGTGGATCCCATGTGCCTTGTTGTGTGTGGTTAGCACAGCTCAGTAGAATTAAGAATAGCGATATTTCAGTGGTGTACACATATACTCTTAGTATGCATACTGAGTTCTACAGAATTGTTTTAAATAATTTAACTGAATGCAACTGCAATACAAAGCATCAAATTCTTACTGAATCAACAGAATTGTTTCCAACAACTATTAAGAAAAGAAGAAACTGCCAAAACCGGTTTGGCTCAGCGGACAGAGTCTCGGCCTGCGGACTGAAGGGTCCCGGGTTCGATTCCGGTCAAGGGCATGTACCTTGGTTGCGGGCACATCCCAGTAGGAGTGTGCAAGAGGCAGCTGGTCGATGATTCTCTCTCATCGATGTTTCTAACTCTCTGCTCTGTCCCTCCCCCTCTCTGTAAAAAAATCAATTTTATATATATATATATATATATATATATATATATATATATATATATATATATATTTTTTTTTTTTAAAGAAAAGAAGAAACTTATAGAAAAAGAATTACAAGACCCAGTTACCTGGGAAAACACATACTGTTTGTATCCCTGTGTCAGTAACATAACTATCTTGGAAGGCAATCTCTACTTTAAACCAAAAGTGTAGGAATCTATCCTGGCAGATAGATTGACCAAAGGTTAACAATTCCATCCTCGCTTGGTTTGCACGATGGTGGCTTCCTAAGCTGCAGTGGTCCCCACCCCCCCGTCATGCCCAGTCCGTGCCCAGTCCAGGCCCATTCTGCATGAGGCAGGGAGGCTCCGGCAGGTCTGCATTTGGTAAAACACCGCTGTGTTCCCACGGTAAAAATGGCATTTGTTCCTTTGAAATTGTGTTTCTTTTTCTTCCTCCTAGATAACATCATCAAGAGGATATTTAATATTCTGAAATTTACCTGGGTGCTCTTTCTGGCCACCGTGGACAGTTTCACCACTTGGCTCAACTCCATTTCAAGGGAGCATATTGACATATCCACAGTGTTGAGAATTGAAAGATGCATGCTGACCAGAGAAATTAAAAAGGTAACACTCTTGGAATAATTCTCTTTGCTTCTTTCCACATTATATAGTTTGTGAAAGTCAATATCCAGAACTCTAAGTAGCAAAAGACAAAATCCTTTCTTTCCAGACTGTCTCTACAGAACCCCTTTATTTTCCTGTCTATTTAGATCTGTGCCATGCTCAGAATTAAAATCAGATGCACACACACACACACACACACACACACACACACACACTCACACACACACACACCAGTCCTGGGATAGTGGCCAATTAATTCATCCTATCTCCTTGCCTATCTGAGTTTGCAGGTGCACAGACTCTACTGTGTCTCATAAAGGATTATGTTGTTTGGTCTGAGAATTTTGATCTGAAACTTCTCAGAGGAAAAATTAGGATATGTGCAGAATAACAAAAATATAGTCATATAAGATTTATATACTTCATATTTTAAAATAATAGCTCATTTCTGGATACATTACTATTCCATACATATGTATACATAGCTACAGACTTACATATAAGAAGGGATTCCTTTTTAAAACAATTTAAAAAAATAACTGACATACAATATCATATTAGTTTCATGTGTACAGCATAATGATTCAATATTTCCATATATTATGAAATGATCACCACAATGAGTCTATGTAACTTTTATTACACATGTTGCAATTTTTTTCCCTGTAGATTTTTAACATCTACTTTTTTTAAGCAAATTTCAAATAAAGTAGTTCCCCCTTATCCATGGTTTCACTTTCTGTGGGTTATCCTTGGTCAACCACAGTCCAAACATTATCAAATGGGAATTCCAGAAATTAACCCTCATAAGTTTTAAATTGCACACTGTGCTGAGTATTGTGATGAAATCTCATCCCATCCTTCTCCATCCCTCCCAGGATGTGAACCATCCCTTTGTCTAGCATCTCCCCTCTGAGGACACTCCCGCCGGTTAGTCACTCAGTAGCCAGCTGGCTTATGAGATCCACTGTGGTGGTATCACAGTGCTTACATCCAAGTAACCCTTATTTTACTTAAAAAAATGGCCCAAAGTGCGAGAATAGTGATGCTGGACATGAAGGTATGCCAAAGACAAGCCATAAAGCTTACTGTCAGTGAAAAGGAGAAAGTTACTGATTTAATAAGGAAAGTGAAAAACAATATATTAAAGTTGCTAAGACCCATAGTGAGAAAGAATCTTCTATTGGTGAAATGGTGAAGAGAAAAACTCTGTCCTAGTTTGCTGAAAGACAGTGAAAGAGGTCATCTTCCCCTCTTATTACATTATCATTGTTTTAATGTATTGTTTGTTATTGCTATTCATTTCTTTGGTGTGCCTACTTTATAAATTAAACTTTATCACAGGTGTGTGTGTACAGAAAAAAAAAACATAGTACAGGTAGGGCTCAGTACTACCCATGGTTTCAGTCACGCTCTGAGGGTCTTAAAATGCATCCCTCGTGGGTGAGGAAGGACTCCCGCACACAATACAATATTGTTAACTATAGAGACCCCGCTGTGCATTACATCCCCATGACTTACTTATTTTTCAACTGGAAGTTTATACCTTTTGACCATCTTCATCCATAAACAAGAGGGGTTTCTTGTGTAGCATTGTCCAATAACATTGGGTACCATTCATGAGTTGACATCAGTCCCCAGCTTCACCAGCTTTGTGTTCATCTACTCCAGGTGTGCTTGATAGCTGAGAATTGTCAGTGTTGATAAATGCCCTGTGGCTGCAGAGGCAAGTAAGAACTGTGGCAATGTCTCCTTCGCTGCAGGGCAACGTTCCCACTCGGGAAAGCATCCACATGTACTATCAGAACCACATCATGAACCTCTCCAGAGAGTCTGGACTGGACACCATTGACGAACGTCCTGGTGCTGCGTCAGGTGCACAGACAGCCCGCAGAATGGATAGCACAGATTCACATGACAGTATCTCCAGGTATTTCATGTTCTAAACAGTGGGTTTGGTTTTGGCAAAAGTACAAGAGGTGGGCTTCATCAGTGTGAGAAATGAATGTATGAGATGAAAGTTCATCAGAACTTAACATGGATCCCCACCCTCCTCAGGTTATCTCCATTGTCCTCCCCTAGACTGAGCCAGGTAAAATCAGATACCAACAAAAAACTAGGAGAGATACCTGTATGATTCCTAGGCACAGGATAGTGGTTTCCAAGCTGGAGGCAAGTAAGAATGAACCTTCCCAATGACAAAATGACTTATGTGTGTCAAGGGCTGCATCTTTAACTCTATTTTAATTTTTTTAAATGTATTTTATTGATTTTTTTGCAGAGAGGAAGGGAAAGAGAAAGAGAGTTAGAAATATCGATCAGCTGCCTCCTGCACATCTCCCTCTGGGAATATGCCTGCAACCAAGGTACATGCCTTTGACCGGAATCGAACCTGGGACCTTTCAGTCTGCAGGCCGACACTCTGTCCACTGAGCCAATAGGGCTTAATCTTTATTTTAAAATGCCACTCCATAAAGTATCTTCTATACTAGAATCTTCTACCATCTGTTGTTATCTTTGATATCTTTTTCTTTCAGAATTATCTCTTTGTGACTCATAATAAAAGTCCAAAAAGTGATTCTGTCAGCTCCCATCTTCCCTGAGTTCTGTGATCACACACATTGTCACATAACATGCATTGGCCATGGGCCAGCACCAAGTCTGTGTATAGGTTACCTCATAATGTTATGAGATGCAAAATATTATCATCCCCATATTGCAGAAGACAAGAGAGGTTAAGTAACTTACCCAAAGTCACACAGCTCAAAAGTATGTATAAGCAGACTCAGGACCCAAAACCATCTAGTTCAGCTCAGAGCCCATCCTCACAACCACCATACAGTATGCTGCCTCTCACTGCCTCCTCCACACTCCAGGCTGACTTTGAAAACTGACCTGTCTTTCTTACTGCCTATCTCAGAAAAGCCTATGAATGATTTGCACCACAGTGTTCTAGTTAGCTGCTGTCAACTGTACAGATCCAGCTCTCGCGCTAAAGCGCAAGTCCTGTCCTAGGAGGAAAATGACATGCCTGAGATAATTAGCTAGACCAGTGGTCGGCAAACCACAGCTTGCGAGCCACATGCGGCTCTTTGGCCCCTTGAGTGTGGCTCTTCCACAAAATACCAGGGCCTGGGAGAATCTATTTTGAAGAAGGGGCATTAGTTTAAGTTTAAAAAATTTGGTTCTCCAAAGAAATTTCAACCATTGTACTGTTGATATTTGGCTCTGTTGACTCATGAGTTTGCCGCCCACTGAGCTAGACTGAATGAATTATACCTTGTGTCCATCTTCAAATGTATCACTGAGAACATTCGCATCTTCATTGTTTTTATTAAATAGGTTAAAAAAGCACCTATACCATGCCAGGCCCTTTGCTTGATTCTGGGATAGACACATAAAGATTGAGTTGTCTCTAACTGATTGGAGCCTGGGAAGAAAGACTCACCTACAGAATCATTTGTGGAATTCTCGGTTAGAATTCTTGCTGTATAAGGACATCAGAGATGGGCTGTATTCCCACAGCTGGTTTAGAAACCTCTGGGTCACTCCCAGTCACTGTCAGATGCGATGCTGAGCAAGGCACCAAGCTCTACTGGACTATTTGTCCTTCACAAATTCTACATTTGTTACAAAACGAAAGAGGGGAAGGAACGAAGGCTATTTTATCCATACCGAAATACCAAACCTGAAATAGGTAACTAGAAGTTGAAATTGCAACCTCAATGGGGAGAAGTCAGTAAAAATATATTTATTTTGAAATGCTGTTTTTAGCTGTGGCTGAATTGCTGTACTTTAACTTCTCCACTTGTGCCTCTCTTTATTCTAATCATTTGATGGGGATCCAAAGCAATTTGGCAGGGAAAGATATAAAAAAAATAAAAAATAAAACACCAACAAAACCCTCAAGTTTTTAAATAGTACATGTGTTGCTCTGGCCAGAAGGCTCGGTGGCACACCAAACGGTTGCGGATTTGATCCCTGGTCCGGGCACGCCCAGGAGGCAATCGATAGTTGTTTCTCTCAGATCAATGTTTCTCTGTGTATGTGTGTCTTTCTCTCATTCTCTTTCTCCATCTTTCTCTCTCTAAAATCAATAAAAATGTATCCTTGGGTATAGAGAAAAAATAGTATACATGTTCAAATCTCATTTTTATTTAAAAAAACATATTACTCATACATATATTGGTTTAAATTTGATTTTTTGTACCAAAAAATCCTTATGGATATAACCTCTCCAGTCCTCTGAAAATAGGTATTGATTCTTTTACAATCCTTTGAGGAATATCTAAGTTCCAAAATAATAGATATATTTCAGCCATTATAAATTTTTGTGAACAGATAAAAACACTTAGGGTCAGAAACTCTTTTTTTTTTTTTTTAATATATTTTATTGATTTTTTACAGAGGGGAAGAGAGAGGGATAGAGAGTTAGAAACATCGATGAGAGAGAGTCACCGACCAGCTGCCTCTTGCACACCCCCTACTGGGGATGTGCCCGCAACCAAGGTACATGCCCTTGACTGGAATCGAACCTGGGATCTTTCAGTCCGCAGGCCGATGTTCAATCCACTGAGCCAAACCGGTCTCGGCAGGGACAGAAACTCTTAAGCATTTCAAGGTCAAAGCATTTATTTGCTAATTGAGATGCTGTTTAAAATGCTTTTAGTTCCTAGAATAAAATAATTCATTGTTATAACATTGTGCATGGTAATAAAACTTAATTTTTCGTTCTATTTCTACCCACTCATACACACATTTCTCAGTAATTAATTTCTGAAACCATGGGTGACATCAGTTGCAAAGTGAAAATAGTGTTCTTGCATGGCGAGTGCTGACAGTGCCTCCTGAGTGTCTACCTGAGAGCGTGCCACAATCAGCATTGGTGAAAGGAAGCTTCATTCTCCTTTGACAGACGCCATTGAGACAAAAAGTCATTGTGGTTTGTTTCTTTTTGCAGCCCATAAAGACTGTCCTATTTGGAAGCTACCAACCTTGTTAAATGTGTTCTTGTAACAATTTTTTTTTTTTGCACAGAAATACAAATTTTTTTTCCAGAAAGTTTCAAGGGTTTTAGAAGCCTCCTGAATATTACACATGAACATGACTGGAGAATAATTGCTCCAGAACCAAATTCTGAATCATACTAATCAAAAAGAGCAAAGAGAACATTGGAAAGTGAACTGAAAATAAATTATCCATAAAATAAACATACATAATTTCTACATTAGTAACTTCTAATTGCACAATATATGCAATTAAAAATTAACTAAAATTATAAAAATAGAAGAAAAAAGAACGATTTCAAATACAATCAAACAACTCCCCTTACACCTAACCCATATTTGTTAAAATTACAAATATAAAACTTATGTCCATAATCAAAAATTTTGAGGTAGAAGATACTTAAAGCCACGAGTCGCTTTTTAACAAAGACAAAATATCCCCCAAATTTTAAAATGGCCAACCCATCAACAAATTTACTATTAAAAAGCAGTACCTCTAAAATTAATTTTTACTTTTTCTTCCCCAACCTAAAGAAAGGGGAGATACAATAGTGTGTATGATGCCATTATGTCTGTTGGGAGGAAACGGAATTCACCTATTTGCCCTCTTATGAATGGCTGAGCTGCATTCCTAGTTTCTTTGCTTTAAGAAACCTTCAAATCTTTAGGCATTTGTCTATGCCAGAGTCTAGAGTAGGCCATGCTGATTGTTGGAAGGGCAGTACTCTTCCCTGGAAGGCTTTCTGAGGGTAGAAGTTTGCTCTCAATGCCTGTGTGATGGGCAGGGTCTCGGAACTCACATGCTCAGTGTGGCCCTGACCCCTTTGCAGAAGCCCCCGCCTGGGTGGACCCTCCCACCTGCCACAGCTTCCGCTCCAGCATCCATGTCACCATCTGTCGTTCTGGGCTAACAGTAAAGGAGGTTGGGATGGGAACCTACCGAACGATTTTGTATTCCCTTTGACTTTATTAAAATAGTTATGATTTCCATCACATCCAGATGTAAAATAGCAATTATTTTAACCATAGTTGTTGTATCAAATCAGATATCATCTGCCTTCCCAGAAAGTGCATTGGCTTAAATTCTTGTGGGAAACATTAGTGACGTCCCAGGGATCATTCCTGGATGTGAAGGGACTGATGATCATTTGAGGAATGTCCCCTAGAGGTTGCTGTGTGACCCTGCAAGGTGACAACCATCCATGTAGGCTTGTTTTCTGGGCCTGTTTTTATAAAGCTCCTCCCTTTCCCTCTTACATTTAAAAAAGTCCTGGATTGGGCCACAAATCAGTCTCACTCCGAATAACCCGATTGCATGGGGTCTGAAGGTGGATGGGTGGGACAACAGAACTCAGTGCAGGAATTAGCAAGGTAAGTAGGGATTAGAGCAGTGGTTCCCATGCAGAAAGTCTGAGCAGTGCTGCAGGAGAGGGAGCATCATGTCCCTCTGCCTGCAGACAACAAAAAGGCCATGGGGCTGTACCTCTACAAATATGAAGGGAAACACAGAGATGCAAAGATCAGGTCCCTCTTCTCAGAAATGATAAAATGGGGACCCCAGAAAGGGGAACTGACTCATCTAACACTGAACAGCCAGTTAATGTCCATGTGGAGACTCAAGTCCAATCCTCCCTGTGTTTGTCCTCATGTTTCTAATTTTCCTTGCTGTCATCTCCTCGTTTTGTGAAGGACATGGTGACATCTAAAGGAATGATGTCTTTTTTTTTTAAAGCCCGTCTCTGTGTCCTTATTAGAGACCATTGGATTGCTAACAGGCTCGCCTCTCTCACTGTCCTCACCCTCTCCTGGCCATGTAGCTGTGACATGCATAGCAGGATAACCCCACTGGAGCCCTCGTGGGGTTATGCTAGAGCACCTGGAACCTGACAAGCCCTTTAACTGGTTCCATGAGTGAGTGACTCAGATTCCTCCACAGTCCCCAGAGATTGTTACATCCTGAATGGTGTCCATTTCTGCCTCACAACCACTGCCTGAGGGCATCGGCTGTGCAGGTTGGGTATATAGTAGGCCTCCTCGTGCAGTCACCTGGTAAAGATAGATGTTCAGCTTAACAGTGTCAGCTGGGGAATCAGCCATCCTGTACCACAAAGGCCTGCCCTCCCGGCTCAGCCAAGTGGTTAGCATTCAAATTGGAAGACCCATATTCCAGTAACCACCCCATAGGCTCTTTGGGGTTAAGCTATATGTCTGAACTGAAATCGTGTCTATGTCATAACTCTATTTGCTTCTTCTTTAGTAGCATCACTCAGTAGCATCTCAGTCCTGAGTCTGCCATCATTCCCTCCCCAGTTGTTGCTTCACTGGGGAACAGGAGGTTAGGATTGAGGCCAGTGGGTTCTCACCCTAATGATATCCATCATTATCTAACAGTCATGCAGAAGGAAACATTCATGAGGCAAAATGAAAAGTTAACAGACAAAACGACCCTGCCGTTGCTAGACTTCCTCTGTTGTTTTCTTTGTACCATTTTATTTCTTTTTTTTTAATGTTGGTTTATATCTAGTTGCATATCAAACCAGCATCTCTTCTACATGCAAGGCATCTAGTTCGGCTTCACTGAATATCACTCAGGAAATGGGGTGGAATATTCAGCTTGTTGCATCGTCCCTGAGCTTCCCTCTCTCATTTGGAAACTGTTAAAAAAAAGAAAAAAAAGAAATATTTTATGTAAATTTTACGTGAGCAGATATTTCTGCTTAAGCGATTTGGTTACAAAATACTGTCAAGGAACTCAAGTAGCTCCAAATAAAGCATGTGTCTCAATTTAAGAAACAAAACAAACAACAACAAAAACACAACAAACAAAAAAACACCTCAGTTGCAAAGTTATAATGCTATGATTTCTCTGTGAGGGGAGTGTCGGGACTTATGATTATTCTGTTTCCATGTCCCAGCCAGAGAGTGACATTTCATATTCACCAATATATTTTAACCAACGTATTTTGTTAAATCCAGTACTATTGTGTTTTATTGTCCTGCCAAACAGGTCCTTCCCTGCCCTTGAGCCCTGCTGTGGTGGTCATCATTGCCATGGTGTTGGTGTCGTGTGTGGTCTGCTGCATGGCAGTGTGTCGGTCAATTGATCCAATATGTGAACTGATTTTCCACTGGGGTTTTAACACTGTGTCTCTGTAACTGTTTGCGCTGCTAGCTGCTACACTGAAGCAACCATGCTGTTCTCAAGGCAGTCTACCCTTGATGATTTAGATGGACCAGAAACTGTTCCTAAAACAAGTGAGCGTGCTCGACCTAGGCTCCGTAAAATGCTCAGCTTGGATATGTCCTCCTCATCAGCTGACAGTGGCAGTTTAGTATCAAGGTGCTTAACTTGTGCATGCTTTGTTCTCTGATTTTATACACCCTCCCCAACCCCCGTCTCATTGCAAATATAAGTTTGTGTGGTGGATGTTTTCTTTTTCTTTTTAAGAATTTGCATGAATAGCCAAAGCATAACCACCACCTTTCTGGGATATACCTAGTTATTCCCAGGACAGCATTCTAGGAAACTGACTGCTCTTTAGTTTTTGTCTGTTAGGAGTTTCTTAAAAACGCTTATTATAAACATTGTCCTCCACTTTGTAAGTATTGTACACTTTTCACTTTCGAAGCAATAAGCATGTTTCCCCGTTGGTTGAGAGCTCATGTAGGCAGACCTCACAGGGGGAAATGAGATTTTTCTCATGGTTTCATCAAACGATACATGCAGTAGGAAAAATTATGAAAATTTCCCACATATGATCCTTTCTATACAGAATAAATCTGCCCACATTTTATATGCATAACTGACATAAAAAGTCAGAATAGATTTATCATTGATTTTTTTTTTTAAAAGAAGAGCATGATGCAATAGATGTAATAGTTCACATTTGCAGACTGTGACTTGTTTTGTTTATAAAAGATGACTTTGGGCTTAAGTTCCTCCTATCATCAAATAAAAATCTTTTAGAAATTAAGTGAAATCCAAAAATTTATTTGAGTTGCCTTTGAATGGTCAGCAGGACACAGGAGCATCAGCTGTGTTGTGCTTATCCTGACACCAAAATAACCCAAACCGAAACGAATTTCAGTTTTGGCAAATCAGAGGGCCCGTTAGCCTCTTTTTTGCTGGCAGCTGTGTATCCTAATAGAGTGTTGCAGCATGCCAGGCCTGACACTGGTGGAATGCTTTGTCATGAGAGGTCCCCTGGCAGACACATGCCATGCTGTCCATTTTGCTGCTTCCTGGAGGTACCAGGATCTGTTGAATCCCTTTGGGGACAGACCAAATAAAAAACCATAGAAAGCAAAGCATTCCTGTCATTGGATCTAGTGTAACTGGAAGTTAGAACGAGAATGGAGCTGACTCCAATGGTCTGAAAATTCCCTGAGGTGATCAGTCAATTTCATGGCCTTCCTAGGAGGCTAATGGAGGTAAGTCTTAGCAAAACTCCAGTTTGGCATGACATTCCAAGAGCCTTCTACGTGAAGTGCATGCAGCTTAGGGCCAAAGCCCTGGGGATACTGAACACCTGAGAAGGTCCCAAGAACTCACGCAAATCTGGTTCTTCAGCCTCAGGACTCAGCCAAGTTTCTCCATTCATTTACTTATTCATGAACATGTCTACACTGGTGTCGATGACAAGAAAAATGGGCATAATCTATGCATTTGAGAATTTCAGTGTTTATTGGACCCTAGTTGCCCACATATGCCATTCAGATAGATAATAGTGCATGCTTCAGAATCTAACAAGTTATAGTTTTGTATCCACAGATTCCATGGATGTGTCTGAGGTAAATAATATTAAAACGCATGCCATGAATTTCACTGGTGGGCCAGCTCTATTTTCATTTCCAACTTTTTCTGCATGGGCCTGCCAGGGAAAGTTAGAGGACAGAACACAAAAAGGAGGAGAGGATGGTGCAAAAGAAATAGACAGGATGCCAAAAAGAGAGAGTGAGACAAGGGTGGAGAGCTGATCGGCAATGAACACTAGAAGGGGGGCTGGCAGAGAACATCAGCGGGAATCGTTGGGACTGACCCTTGAGGGTGGAGCCGGCAGCCCCAGGGAGAGATCACTCTGTGAGGAGATGGTGGGTGTTGCCATGTGCAGGCAAAGAAGTGATCGGGAGGTGGTTAGGAGCTGGAAATGGTGAAAATTCAGTCAAATGTGATAATCACTAACAAGAAAAAGGCAAAGGGTGAGAAATGGGAAGAAGGAACAATTATGAAAGAAGTGGGCCATTTTTAAAAAATAAAGCATGCAGTTGGTTAGCCACTATTTTATTCCTACCATCCTTCTGGATGTGGATGGTCCATTGGCAAGGACTGACAGTAGAGTTTACCTTGGTCAGCACCAGCAGACCCAAACCCGCCACGCTTCTCACCTGCATATGCTTACAGGGTAGAGAAGGAGAGGTATGCTGTGCTGGGTCTCAATTTGGAGGTAAATACTGGAATGCACGGCTGTGAATCCTGAGATCATTTTTAAAACCTCCATGCCCAGGTAGGGTTAGCATCGTGGAAGCCACGTGTCTTGCTCTGGTTTTCCACTGGATGTGTGCACTGCCAGCTCCTGCATCTCAGAGGGCACGGTTTGCAGTCTGCAGACCAGGTGTGACTGTACTGAAGGAACAAAGCAGATGGGACATAGGGAAGGGAAACGTGCCCATCTGCCTGGATGGTCTTATTTGGGAACCCTGAGGAGGTATCTGGAGAGTTGGAGAGGATGCTGAGGAGCTGGGTGCTAAGCCCAGGGTCTGTGCCCATCCCTCTCTCCCGACAGCGAGCCCACGCAGTGCACCATGCTGTATTCGCGCCAGGGGACCACCGAGACCATCGAGGAGGTGGAGGCTGAGCAGGACGAGGTGGAGGCCAGCCAGGACGTGGAGGCCCAGCAGGACAAGGACGTGGGGGTCCAGGACAGCGACGATGATGAGGGCAGTGAGGCCGAGGTGGACTTGGGGCCAGATGGGCATGAGGGGTCTGATGAGGAGGAGGATGAAGAAGAGGAGGAGGAGGAGGAAGAGGAAGTGGAAGAAGAGGCAGAGGAGGCCCAGGACTCTGAGGAGTCCGAGGAGGCCGGCCTCACCCCGGACACTGAGCTACCACGGTCCTTCACGGAGGACGGAGACATGGAGGTCCCGCCGTCCTACAGCAAGGCGGTCAGCTTCGAGCGCCTGTCCTTCGGCTCGCAGGAGGACTCCGCCGGGCCCAGCCGCATGGCTGTCAGCCCTGACGACAGCCGCTCGGAGGACAGGCTGGGGTCCAGCATCCTCCCGTCCCTGACGCACGAGCTGACGGCCAGCGAGCTGCTGCTGAACAAGTAAGAGCCCGCAGGCCATGGGGAGGCATCTGGGGGCCAGGAGCTGGGAGCCAGGCGCTGGGGCTGCACATAGAGGCAATTCTATGTACAAACACCCACCTGCATGTTTACAGCAGACAGATACAGTTCTCATTCCTCCTCAGGCTGCACATACAACACAGGCTTGATACATCTATCCCTAACGGTAAAACTAGCAAGAGCTGACAGTAGACGCTGCTCAGGTGTCCTGTAATATAACATTGCGGGAGAGGAGGGGGGTGAGGGAGGGGGGGGCGGTTCCAAAGGAAATCCGGAGGCAGAGGAAAGGGAAAGGACAGGAAGGCTCTTGCAACATGACAATCAGGCATTTGGAGACATGAAGACAAAAGGATTGTCGTGCTTCTGCTCACAGGATGTTTCACGATGACGAGCTGGAGGAGTCGGAGAAGTTCTACGTGGACCAGCCGCGGTTCTTGCTGCTGTTCTACGCCATGTACAACACGCTGGTGGCCCGCTCAGAGATGGTGTGCTACTTTGTGATCATCCTGAACCACATGGTCTCTGCCTCCGTGATCACCCTCGTGCTCCCCATTCTGATCTTCCTCTGGGCCATGCTGTCTGTGCCAAGGCCCAGCAGACGGTTCTGGATGATGGCCATTGTCTACACAGAGGTAGGCCTGGGGCACCACCTCCTGCAAGCTGCATGGGGCATTTGCGATAGGTGGGCCTGCCCCGACTCCCAGATAGTTGAACACAGAACAATCAGTAAATGTATATTCTTAGGCTGATAAATGAACATACCTAACAGTTACCTCGTCCGGGTAATTATCTATATCTTTTTACACTTTTCACATCACACAGAAATAGGTGCTAATATCATTCCTATTTAATAGATAAGGGACCAACCTTAATAAGGTTAAACAATTGGCCCAAAGTTACCCAGCTAGTGAGTGGCGGGGCTGACTCCTGGAGCCTGGTTGTCTGTCCTGTGATATTAACCACAGAGGTAACAACAGTGCTATGCAGACCCAAGCATATTGCCTGAGCCTGGGACTGTTCCATGAATGGATACTGAATTAAATAATATAGTTCGCCCTTTTAATACAGTGTAATGCAGCAAGAACATATTCCATTTCTAAACTTAGGCCAGTTTCCCTAAATCAAAACACCAAGTTATATAATAACCCACTTAAAAATCTGAATAACAGAAAGGGAGAATTGCCAGCTCATTTCCATCCCAGGTGAGGGGACAAGAGACTACAGAGTTAGACAGGTGCTGTGCCTCACGTGGCCTGATGGGGCGGAGAGAAGTTAGGTATCATGGCAACTTCTCAGAGAAAGAGAACTTAGAACTGAATCTTAAGGGATGAGTATAAAGTCACCAAAAGAAGAAAAGCAAAGGGAGCACCAGTCATCAGAAATAACCCATGCAGACAAATGAAGGTGTAAGAAAACTTGGCACATGCCAAGAATGACAGGTGGCTTACGATGGCTGGAAGGCAGGCTGTGCGTGGAGAGTGCAATAGAAGGAGCATGGGAATGCAACAGGGTTTATGCTCAGGATCTCTTACCCTTTGAGACAGCATGGAGGAACATGGAGAGTATTAGCATAAGTAAAATAAGCCAGTCAGAGAAAGACAATTATGTGGAATCTAATGAACAAAATAAACTGATGAACAAAATAGATCCAGAAACATAGAAGCATGGAACAAACTGTCAGATTTCAGGAGGAAGGCGGAGGTGAGTGGGTGAGAGGAAAGAAATCAACCAAAGAACATGTATACATACATGCATAACCTATGGACATAAACAGTTGGATGGTGAAGGCCTGGGATGGAGAGTAGGCTAGAAAAGGTTAATGAGGGGGATAAAAGGAAACTATGTAATACTTTCAACAATAAAGATAAAAAATAAACAGGGGCATGACTTGATCAGATTTGTGTTTGCAAGTTTTTATACAGAATGAAAGTGGACACATCGAGGCCAGCTAGGACACTATTTTAAATTATGCGTGAAAAGTAATAGAGTTTGAATGCAGTGCCAAAGAGGTTGAAGATAAGTGGGTAAATGTGGTTTCAGTAATTGACTAAAGCTTATTGCCGTGTGAAGAAGGGGAGAGGCAAGAATGACCTCCAGGTTTCTGCTTTGGAATTTGGTACGTGGGGATGTTTGCTAAGATAAGAAACACAGGGCTGTTCTTCACAGAAGCCTGACTGAGAAGACGAGAGAGAGAAAGGTAAAGGAAGACTCTAGGTCCAGAGAGGACTTTTTAAAGTACTTTTATTAATGAATTTTGTATATGGCAATGAATTCCTGATGATATAGACATTAGAGGAATGCTTAAATGAAACCCATCAATTTTCTTATTTGTCCTTCTCTCTCAGCATGCCACTTTTCTACGTTTATCCACTTAGAACAGCACAAGTGGCCAATTAGTTTCATTTACCTTTATATCTTCTTGAGAAGAACTTCCAGTGAGCAATAAAGTAGGGAGAAGAAAGAGATTGGAGTAAAGTGAAAACTGTGTACATCAAACCTGCGTAATATTGTTCATAGAGATTGCAAGTTAAAGCAATACATAAAATATAAAGGCATAAACATTACCCTACTCTTGTGTCCTAATACCATATTTTAGTAGCTGATTATTAGCTATGTATCAAATAAGTCAGTATAAATTAGCCTACTTCTCAAAAATAGGGCAAGTTATTTAAGTAGTGTCATGAGTGACCTGACTGACCCTGATGTATCTACAATCAAAGGCACTCACAAGGGTAAGATTTAGCGCCTGTTCTGGCCATTGGTCTGTAAGAATGATGACGTAATCATTTCACGTAATTGTGTGCATTTTTACCATCAAAACTGTGAAATGAATTTTTCTTAGTTGCTTTATATTGCTGTTTCTCCTAGATAACTATGCTTACATGGATTTTTTAAAAATTTTTATCATCCATGTATAGGTGACAATTGTGATCAAATATTTCTTCCAATTTGGGTTCTTTCCCTGGAATAAGCTTGTGGAATTGAACAAGGACAAACCTTTCTACCCAACTAATATTATAGGCGTGGAAAAGAAAGATGGTTATGTTCTGTATGATCTCATTCAGCTCCTGGCTCTTTTCTTCCACCGATCAATTTTGAAGGTACAGTTTTAACAGTTAACCAGCCCATGTTGATAAGTGTTGTCCCTGTAATATTCCTAGAGACTGTGAACATTAGGACTGGTGATAGTGTTGAAGGGTCAGTGGATGGTGTCCACTTGTATGCTTTAAAACACACACACATACACACACACACACACACCATCATCTTCATTTAGTGGACATTTTCTTCAGTACTCTGTGCTCAATAATGTAACTTATAATAAATCTGGGAGCAGAATAAATGCAGAGTCTGGCTGTCTGAGCGCTCAGGAGGCTGTGAGCTCATTGGGGAATTTTGACTAACAGCAGCAAGTTCATTGTCAGGGTAATTTGTGGTCCAGGTAGCATCATGCTCCAGGAAGGCCTTTGTTCTCTCACCTCCTTTTCCGCTGTCATTTCTCCTCTCTTTATCAGCCCTTTCATCCCAGTTCCCTGAAGCAAAACCCAGGCTCTGCAGAATGCATCATAATCTGTTTCACATGTGGGCCAACATTTTTGAGTTAAGTATTTGCAGCTCTGTTTCTAAGTCAGCCATGGATGATTCAAGGATTCACATCATGTTATGGAGTTGGAGAGGGACAGCATTATTGTTCAAGAACAGATATTTAGTAAACATGGGGCAATGGGGCTAAAATCTCCCACTTACACTTCAAGTTGATACTTGGAGTGCTAGTCTAGTCGTAAGCTCATGGAACAAGTCAAGAGATTGAAATTTTACCTTTTCTCCATCTACCAAACATCAGCTGTCTCCATCTTACTTAACTAGCCAAACTTTTCTCCTCTTACCCACCCATATCCACTCTCTTGGAACCATCATAAAATTATAGGTAATAAGCTTTCTTAGAATCTCTTCCCTGCCTTGGTTTTCCTAATCTTTTTTTAATTACAGCTTTATTGAGGTATAATGGACAAAATTATAAAACATTTAAACTGGACACGTGGTGATTAGATACATGCATACCTTGTGAAAGGATTTTTCCATCTAGGTAATTACACATTCATTACCTCACATATGTATTTTTTTAATGTATTTTATTGATTTTTGTACAGAAAGGAAGGGAGATGGATAGAGAGTCAGAAACATCAATGAGCGAGAAACACCTATCAGCTGCCTCCTGCACACCCCTACTGGGGATGTGCCCACAACCAAGGTACATGCCCTTGACCGGAATTGAACCTGGGATCTTTCAGTCCACAGGCTGATGCTTTATCCACTGAGCCAAATCGGTTTTGGCCTTTTTTTTTTTCTTTTTTTTTTTTGAGAACATTCAAGTTCCATTCTCTCTGCAAATTTCAGTTACATAACAACAGACAATAACACAGGGTTACCAAATACAATCACTCCATTTTGCCTTTGGTTTTCTAATCTAAGGGAATAGTCTGTTCGATGAAATATTATAGGGCAGAACACCAGCTCCCTCACCTGAAACAGCAATCTGAATTGCCCCTTTCCGTGCTTTCTCAGTGCCACGGCTTATGGGATGAAGATGACATTGCGGACAGTGGCACCGATAAGGAAGAGTCAGATGAAGAGCAGTCCCTCAGTCACGGCAGAAGGGACTCCTCTGATTCTCTGAAATCCATCAACCTGGCTGCGTCCACGGAGTCAGTGCACGTGTCCTTCCCTGAGCAGCTGACGGCTGTCCGGAGGAACCGTTCGAACAGCGGCTCCCAGATATCCCACAGATCCAGCTTTTCTTCAAATAGGTCTCAAAGAGGTATCCCTGGGCTGGAAATACTCACTGGGGCTCTCGTTTTACTGGTGCCAGTGTGTCTGGGGCAGGGAGTTCGTTGGGTGCTACCAAGCAGGCAGATACTGTGATGTGAATCGAAAGTGCTTTGAAATCAGATAAGAACTCAAGTGCTGACTCAGCTGTGTGTGTGGCCTGGCACTATCACATCATTGTTCTAAATGTCTAATTCCTTCCGGAACAAGGACTTCAGATAATTGTGGAAAGTGGCCAGCATAGTGCTAGGACCTAGAATGTGTTGGGCATACCACAGTTTTAAAATCAGATCCATAAATTCTGCTGGGTGTGTTCAGAGTGCTGTAAATCACAATTTATTTCAAAAAGATATTTATATTTCATTGATGGGAACTTTCAGCTATACTATCTAATAATTTGCTCATGTATTCATTAACTTCTTACTAAGTAGGGAGTGCAATCAGAAAGTAAATATGCCTTACAGTTGTCACTCTAGGAGTAATTGAGCCTTTGTATTTATATCCTGTCTGAAACTTACCAAACACTTGTGTACAGTCATGCATATATGACTTTTAGATCACCGGTGGACTGCATATATGATGGTGGTCTACCATATAGCCTAAGTGGGTAGGAGGCTGTGCCATCTAGATTTGTGTACACTCTGTGTTGTTCACACAACTACAAAATTGCCTACTGACACGTTTCTCAGAATCACATATCATTAATTGGTGCATGCCTATATTCATCTTCAGAATATACTTTTCAGGCAGATGCTGGAAAGTCCTCATATTAGTTTTACAATTAGAGAAATTAGGACATCAGAAAAGGTCTGGGCCATAGACCCAACCTGAGAAACCTGCAACCTAGCCCCCCAGGTAGTACTGAAAAAGCCGCTCTCCCCATGTGTTTCATCCTGGGACAGAGATCTCATAGCAATCCAGGGATGACTCAGCATTGGGTGTACAAACCCACAGATGCGTTTTACCACCGAAGCAGAGCTGAGGCGGCAGATTCCAAATGCCCAGTCACTGCTCCTACAGGCATGTTTGTTCTTCCCTCTGAGTCAGTTTCAAGCCATCCCTTTGCCATGTGGGCCCCAGGGACTCCTTTGGTGCCTATGTCAACTAGTCTGTGCCTCACAGTGCATCTTGGCTTCCTTTTATTCCTAGGCAGCACAAGCACTCGAAACAGCAGTCAAAAGGGAAGCAGTGTTTTGAGCATCAAGCAAAGAAGCAAAAGGGAACTTTACCTGGAAAAGCTTCAAGAACATTTAATCAGAGCAAAAGCACTTACCATAAAGAAGTAAGTGCATACAAACACTTGGGGTGTGGGTTTTATTTTAGGGCCGGGGGACTTAGGGAAATAATTGATAACAAATGGTTCATATATAGCAGAGGTGAAGAACAAAGAAGTGGTTTCTCATATCACAAATATCCTCTTAAGGAAGAAAAAAAAATGATAATATTTTTAAAAATCACTTTTCAATAAGTGTGATTTATTTTTACATTCATTGCATTTAGAAACACACATTTTCTATTTGAACAGGATAAATAGATAATCTCAGAAGCTCACAGTATGTAATTCCAGACATTCTCATGGAAAGGACTACTGGATAGAGAAGAATTCGTTGTCAAAGCCTGAAAGACCTTAGTCATACATTCTCATTCTAGAGAGGAGAAACAGAGGCACATGGTGGGGAAATGGTTTGTCAATGATAGCCAGTCTCCAACAAAGTGCACAGGTTCTTCCCAAGTGTCAGGGCTGCAGACCAACAGCAGATGAGGAGGCAGCAGGGCTGGTCCTGAATATGGGCTCTCATGCCCGGAGGCCCATCCATACCTGAACATGGCCTTGAACTGGAGGTAAAACCCAGAGCACAGTAAAGATAAGGCAGAGCCAGGAGGACATGGTAACTAAGGACAGAGCTAAGTGAACTAAAGCGCAGGGTACTACCTGGGAACCATGAAAAGAGAGGCCCAGGACCCACATGGGGGAAGGGCAGGGCTGGCTAACCATGGCCAAGCACCTGATCAGCACTTCAGGTATGAGCACCCCGGTGTATTCCCATGTATTTCTCAGTCCAGCCCTATGCCTCAGGTCTTATTACTACCTTCTTTTACAGAAGAAGAAATGAAAACAAGGAGCATTAAGTAGCATGCTCAAGGTCTCATAGGTGCAGACTAAATGAATCAGGTGACAAAGCAGGCACCTAAATTTCAGGGCTTTATAACACTGTATCACAAGAAAAAAGGCATGTGCTCCTACCTTGGCAGTGAACTTGTATGCACTCTGTTCCAGCAGAAGGCCCTCCCTCCCCCCCAGCAGGACTGTCCCAAGGCTGAGAGAGGGAGGTGTAACCCGTTTGGAAAGAGGAATAGAATGACTGTAGAATCTGGTCATTTCTCCACTTGTGCCTCTCCTGAAGCAAAGGGTTGGGGGTCTCTATTTTGCAGGACTCTGCAAATATATGTGCCCATCAGACAGTTCTTCTACAACCTCATCAACCCAGACTACAGTGCCGTGACCGACGTATATGTGCTTATGTTCCTGGCTGACACTGTGGACTTCATCATCATCGTCTTTGGCTTTTGGGCCTTCGGGGTAGGTAAAGGCCACCATGCACCCAATGACTGATAGTGATGTGTCCTGTGAAATGTCACTCAGGCCAGAACCTGTTGTCTCTTTCCCAGAAACACTCAGCAGCGGCAGACATCACGTCTTCTCTGTCTGAGGACCAGGTGCCCGGGCCATTTCTGGTGATGGTCCTCATTCAGTTTGGAACCATGGTGGTGGACCGAGCACTGTACCTCAGAAAGACCGTATTGGGAAAGGTCATTTTTCAGGTCATTCTTGTGTTTGGAATTCACTTCTGGATGTTCTTCATCTTGCCTGGAGTGACTGAGCGGTAAGGACGTTGGAAACTGTTGGTGCTGGTTAAGATGGGTTAGACACTGAGATTTACAAAGAGTAGCCAAAAATTTGATAGGGAAAGGCCTGGTAAGATCCTGGAGACTGCTAATACCAGCTTTCCCTCTATCATCTTGAATCCTAAGCATCTTCTGTGTTAACTTTCAGTTCTCCAAAGATACCACTCCAAAGAAAGCCCTTCCATTCCCTCCCCTTCTCCTCTGCCTCCAACCCACAGTGCCTCTTCTTTGTCACTCTGTAGGTCTCTGTAGTCCATGTGTTACTTTTCCCAGGTCTTCTCACCCCACACCTCAAATTTGGGGCTTAATGCACGAATGAATGAATGAATGTGTCAATCGATAACAGAAAAATAAGGGAGACAGCTATAAATAGGAAGTGTTAGGATATGGTAATAAAGGGTCCACAGAAGGGGAACATGGACTGGTCCATATGATACAGTAAAAATATTTTTAATAATATTATTAAAAGTCTTCATTTTTAACATGAACTTGATCTTATGCACTAGAGTCATTCAGAGTTAAGCCTTAAGAATAGCATGTCAATAAGCATGGCTAATTAGAAGTGTGAATGAAAATGAATTGAACTTTACAAAATTATGGTTGTACATTTTCTTTTCAAGCTTTAATTTTTGGACAGAGTAGCAGCAACATCCACATTGTGAGAAAAATGTTAATAGTAAATATACTTAGCAGTAATTTATTTTATTTATGGCTTAAACAACTGACTGATACACTAATACCTTAGAGGCACCATTCATAGGATCTTTTTATTACCCTACCTTTTGCCTTTGAAGTGATCAACTATACATAGTGAATTCCTTTGAATTGACTGAATTGACTTTAATGCTAGAGGGGCAATTAGGCTTTTGTTAAAATCCTAAACTGGTTTCCTTTTACCAGAAGAGGAGTCCATTCCCTCACTTTTCTGAATGTTTCTGTTTTAGGAAATTCAGCCAAAACCTGGTTGCTCAGCTTTGGTACTTTGTAAAATGTGTTTACTTTGGGTTGTCTGCCTACCAAATCCGTTGTGGCTACCCTACACGAGTGCTTGGAAACTTCCTCACAAAGAGCTACAATTACGTCAACCTCTTCCTGTTTCAAGGGTAAGGACACATGCTGTATTGCCAAAGTCACTCACAAAGGGCCACCAAGTGAAAGGCATTCTGCTTCCTACCTGGGAAAGAATAGGAAGAGGAAGATTGCTGATGTACAGGAAGGAAACTCATACAGTATTTAGCAACAGAACAGATATGCTTTTTGAAATACCTTTCTATGTGCAGCTGCCACACACCTGGCCAGGATGTTGCTCCGGGATCATCCACATGGGTTAATTTTTTATTTCTATATCCTGCATAATTACTGTGATAATATTTTGGGATTCATGATCCTTAAGTATAAATAAATTTCTGGGCACAATGAGACAAAATATTTGGAACCTAGACTATTCCAAAATACCTTTGGAATTTTGCATGCACAGTAAGTCCATGCATTGAATAAGCCATTTATTCCCCCCCTAACATCAGTGGGAATGCCACGTGACTTGCTTATTCCTGGTAGTAAGTTAGCTGCTAAAGGAAGCATATTGCTCGTCCATGTGAGCATTTCATTGGTAGCATCTGCTCTCTGTTTGCTCAGAAATCAGTCATAAAAATCAGGCTGATTACATAAAAGTCAGTCTGCTCTTGGCATGGCTGGCTCCTACTTAGGACCAAACTTGGGGGCTAGGGACTTGGTCATAAAAGTGGTATTGAGCATGCTCAGATGTCAGGAACCTCCAGTGTGGAACAGTGCTTCACTTAGTGGCATCCTGTATGGGGGCTGATATTTCTTCCCCATGTTGAATTAGTGCTCTCTGGGCAAAGCTGTGTAGCCCACAGGAGAATACCAAGCAGTAACCCAAGATGATGTGAGGGCTTTGAAATTAACCCAGACCCTCCAGCCTGGGAGAAGCTGTCAGTCAAGAAACAGGGAGCAGTCCGCAGACTTGAGAGGAGCCCAGGCCAACCCATTCCCAATTGAAATATAAGAGACTGAGCCAGCGTCCTGTTGGCCTTAGTCATCTAGTAAGTCTACTGTGTGCCCCAATGACATGTCCTATTTCCTCTGATGGCTCTCATTTCCCTTATTTTCATTTACAAGGTGTATTAACTTTCCCAGCTCATTCAACAACAAAGCCCTAACAATCAACTCAATAAGCCTGTGTCCAACAGATTATTGTAACATGAATAAATAAATGCTTACAAAATATATTTGCAGATGATATGATTTTATATATAAATATCCTAAAGACTTGCCCCCAAAAACTTGAGAACTAATCAATGAATTCAGTAAAGTTGCAGGATACAAAATCCAACATACAGAAATCAGTTGTGATTCTACCACTAACAATGAAATATCTGAAAAAAAATAGAGAAAAACTTTCATTTGCAATAACATCAAAAACAATAAAATACTTAGAAATAAACTCAACCAAAGAAGTGAAAGATTTGTACAATTTCTTATAAAATAAATTGAAGAAGACACCTTTAAACACTAAAAAAGGATATCCCAGTTTGTTAAGATCATCAGCCAAAAAAGAAAGAAAGAAAAAAGGAATGGAAAATACCAACTCATTTATTAGACTTCTAATGAAAAGCAGTTGCATTCCAAGTTGAACTTTATCATAAGGGTCACCTGGAGAAATTTTTTCTAAGAGCTAAAAGCTAAAGCATTAAGAACTGCATGCATTCCCATTGTTAGCTGGATATTGGGGGCCATCCCAGAACTGTCTCTTTAACAACATGTGGTTTCTGCCAGGTTCCGCCTTGTTCCATTTTTGACTGAGCTAAGGGCTGTGATGGACTGGGTGTGGACAGACACGACCTTGAGCCTCTCCAGCTGGATCTGTGTGGAGGATATCTATGCTCACATATTCATCCTGAAGTGTTGGCGGGAGTCGGAAAAAGTAAGCCAATTAAAATGCCTTATCCCCATTTGTCTCTCTTAGATACAGACTGGTTATAAGATTAATGTGAACCTTTGCAAGTTTTGTGGCCAAATAAATGGAGACAGGGGCAAAAACTACTAGGACTTATAAATATCCTATTGATTTTCACCCCACTAGAGTTGGGAATTTTGGACATACTGCTGTCTTAGCAATAGCATCCAGATGTGTTCTTCTTTTGGCCACCGTATATTGTAGTTATTTTTAAAAGAAGAAATTATATACTGCTGTGTGGCTCAATAATTCTTAAACAACTCATTGGGGAACAGGAGGAAATTTGCTATGGTGGAAAAAAGTGGGGTGAGGTGGCTTGGACCACCTGATGTCCTTTTAGATGAGGGACAGACAATGTTACTGCTTTTTGCAAAGGAAATTGAAATGCAAATACCTCATTATTCTGCCAGGTTGCATATTAAGATTAAAAATAGAATTACAATTATTTATAGGATTCTCAAGCTTAATGCACAAAGCAGGAATCTCTTGCATAATAACAATAGAAATACTCAAGCAACATTAGCTAAGGTGATGTGAAATGTCTTCTTCTTTTTTTTTTTCTCATCTCTTTGAAAAAGTCCCCTCTAGTCTGTGTAATCTCTGTATTCTGCAGTTTCTTCTGGGAATTGTAGTCATGGGGCCATTAGCTTCATAACCTCTGTGTTTGGGCATCTGTGGGAGTGAAGGAGATGGGGCTGGTAATATAATTAAAATTGTGTTAGATTTTTAAGGTACAAGAAAACTGATATAATGACAGAATATGAGAGCCAGTCTGCCAAAGAGACAGTAGAAATCAGGGTGACAAAAAGATCTGGAAATCATGTCATATGAAAACAAGGAGGAAGAACCAAGAATTATTTAGTCTGAAGTTTAAAAATGTGAGGAGGGAGAAACAAACTATTTGAAATATTGGAAAATATATTGCAATTTTGAATTAATTTGTAAGATCCAAGAAAGGTAGACAAAAGCTCCAGTAAGTTTCAATGGAACATAAAGATCTTCCTAAGAATCACAGAAAAGAAACCGAAGACATCTTTAAACATTTAAAAAGGGAATTTCTGTTTATTAAAACCATTAAAAAAAAAAAAGGGGGGGGGGAGGGGGGGAATCTTACCCTTACCCTTTGCAACAGCATGCATGGACTTGGAGAGTATTAGTCAAAGAGAAATAAGCCAGTCAGAGAAGGACAAGTACCATATGACTTCACTCATATGTGGAAAGAACAAAATAAACAAACAAAATAGAAACAGACTCATAGATACAGAGAACAGACTGAGAGCTGTCAGAGGGGAGGAGGACTGGGGGCTGGGTGAAAAAGGTGAAGAGATTAAGCAGAAAAAAAGAGAAAAGTCTCATAGACACAGACAACAGCATGGTGATTACTGTGATTACCAAAGGGAAACTGGGGAGGAGGAGGTAGAAGAGAGTAAAGGGGGATAAATGATGATGAAAAGATTTGACTTGGGGTGGGAAACACACAATACAATATACAGATGATGTATTATAGAAGTGTATACCTGAAACCTATATAATTTTACTAATGTCACCCCAATAAATTAAATTAAAAAAATAAGCCAAAACCGGTTTGGCTCAGTGGATAGAGCTTCAGCCTGCGAACTGAAAGGTCCCACGTTCAATTCTGGTTAAGGACATGTACTGTGGTTGCGGGCACATCCCCTATAGGGGGTGTGCAAGAGGCCGCTGATCAATGATTCTCTCTCATCGATGTTTATAACTCTTTATCCCTCTCTCTTCCTTTCTGTAAAAAAATCAATAAAATATATTTAAAAAACACAAACAAATAAATAAATAAATAAAAGCCACATTTTAATGTAACTCCTTAATTTAAATGTATGCTTCTACCTTATGCTAAATCTCTGGCTATTTAAACCACTCATGGTAAAACATCTGCAGAAACCTGGTTATGTGAGAGGTAAGTATTTAATGTCTAAATGAATCTGACACTAGTTTCTACTTCATCCCATAAGAGACTGAAGCATTACCAGTAACTATCACTTTTCTAATATGAAGCAGAAGAGTACGCTTCTTTTTTTTTTTTTTTTTTTTTTTTGTCTGAAAATAATTTTATTTTCACTTTACATTTGAGTGATAGTTTGGCTGGGTATAGATTTATAATTTGAAATATTTCTCTCAGAACTTTGAAGGATTTGCTCTGGAGAAGTCTGCTGTCACTCTTTTTTAAAATTTTTTAATTTTATTTATTTATTTATTTATTTAATATATTTTATTGATTTTTTTTGCCCCCCTCCCTCCCATACATATCCTCCCTCCCTCCCATACATAACCTCCCTCCCCAGAGTTTTATGTCCATTGGTTGTACTTATATGCATGTATACAAGTCCTTCGGTTGATCTATTATCTTCCCCAGATCTTCCTCCCCTCCCCACTTTAATTTGACAGTCTGCTTGTTGATTTACTGTCTCTATATCTATCTTTTGGTTCATCAGTTTATAATGTTCTTTATTATCCATAAATGAGTGAGGTCATGTGGTATTTCTCTTTCATTGACTGGCTTATTTCACTCAGCATGATGTTCTCCAATTCCATCCAGGTTGCTGCAAATGATGAGAATTCCTTCTTTTTTATGGCAGCATAGTATTCCATTGTGTAGATGTACCAAAGTTTTTTGATCCAATCATCTGCTGATGGGCACCTAGGCTGTTTCCAAATTCTGGCTATTGTAGATTGTGCTGCTATGAACATGGGGGTGCATATATCCTTTCTGATTGATGTTTCTAGTTTCTTGGGATATATTCCTAGGAGTGGGATTACTGGGTCAAATGGGAGTTTCATTTTCAGTTTTTTGAGGAAACTCCACACTGTTCTCCACAGTGGTTGCACCAGTCTGCATTCCCACCAGCAGTGCACGAGGGTTCCCTTTTCTCCACAACCTCGCCAACACCTGTCGTTTGTTGATTTGTTGATGTTGGCCATTCTGACAGGTGTAAGATGGTACCTCATTGTTGTTTTGATTTGCATCTCTCAGATAATTAGTGACTTTGAGCATGTTTTCATGTGCCTTTTGGCCTTCCTTCTGTCTTCTTTTGAAAATATTCTATTTAGGTCCATTGCCCATTTCTTAATTGGATCATTCATCTTCCTTTTATTTAGTTGTATAAGCTGTCTGTAGATATTGGAGATTAAACCTTTACCAGTGGTATTATTTGCAAATATGTTCTCCCACACCGTGGGCTTTCTTGTTTTGTTGATGGTTTCTTTTGCTGTGAAAAAGCTTTTTATTTTGATGTAGTCCCATTTGTTTATTTTCTCTTTAGCTTCCATTGCCCTAGGGGCAGTATCAGTGAAGAAGTTCTTTTGGCATACGTCTGAGATTTTGCTGCCTGTGGATGCTTCTAGTATTTTTATGGTTTCCCATCTGATGTTTAAGTCCTGTATCCATTTTGAGTTTATTTTTGTGTATGGTGTAAGTTGGTGATCTAGTTTCATTCTTTTGCATGTGTCTGTCCAATTTTCCCAACACCATTTATTGAAGAGACTGTCTTGACTCCATTGTATATTCATGCCTCCTTTGTCAAATATTAATTGAGCATAGTGATTTGGGTTAATATCTGGGTTCTCGATTCTATTCCATTGATCTATATATCTGTTCTTGTGCCAGTACCAGGCTGCTTTGAGAACAGTGGCTTTGTAATACAGTTTGAAGTCTGGTATTGAGATCCCTCCTACTTTACTCTTCTTTCTCAGGATTGCTGTGGCTATTCGGGGTCTTTTATTGTTCCAAATGAACTTTTGGAAAGTTCTTTCTAGGTCAGTGAAATATGTCGTTGGTATTTTAATGGGGAGTGCATTGAACCTATAGATTGCTTTAGGAAGTATGGACATTTTGATGATGTTGATTCTACCAATCCATGAACATGGTATGTTCTTCCATCTCTTTACATCTTCCTCTATCTCTTTTTTCAGTGTCGTGTAGTTTTCCGCATATAGGTCCTTTACTTCCTTAGTTAAATTTATTCCTAGGTATCTTAATTTTTTGGTGTGATGTAAATGGAATTGCTTTTTTAGTCTCTGTTTCCATAGTTTCACTGTTGGTGTATAGAAATGCTATGGATTTCTTGGCGTTAATTTTGTATCCTGCTACATGCCAAATTCATTTATTAAGTCAATTAGTTTTTTTAATGGAGTCTTTTGGGGTTTTTATGTACAATATCATGTCATCTGCAAATAAGGATAACTTTACTTCTTCTTTTCCAATTTGGATGCCTTTTATTTTCTCCTCTTGTCTAATTGCAATGGCTAGTACTTCCAGTACTATGTCAAACAGGAGTGGCGAGAGTGGGCATCCCTGTCTTGTTCCTGTTCTTAGAGGGAATGGTTTAGTTTTTGCCCATTGAGTATAATGTTGGCTGTGGGTTTATCATATATAGCTTTTATTATTTGAGGTATGATCCTTGTAAGAGTACACTTCTTTTTAAAGTAACTTTTCTTGGGGATTATTCCATATTGAATGTAATGTGTTCCTGGGGTTTCATGAATGCACTTTATGAAGAAACGACAATAAGTAACCGGAACCGGTTTGGCTCAGTGGATAGAGCATCAGTCTGTGTACTGAAAGGTCCCAGCTTCGATTCCAGTCAAGGGCATGTACATTGGTTGTGGGCACATCCCCGGTGGGGGGTGTGCAAGAGGCAGCTGGTCGATGTTTCTCTCTCATCGATGTTTCTAGCTCTCTGTCCCTCTCCTTCCTTCTCTGTAAAAAAATCAATAAAATATATTTTTTAAAAAAAAAGAAAGAAAGAAATGACAATTTCCTGGGAGGCCCGTGTTGGCATGAGCACACACAATGCAAGCCACTCACTCCTAGTCATGTTTTACTATGATTTCCATGTAGCCACTTCCCCAAACACTTTTTTTTTTTAACATGCTTCTATTAACTTTAGAAAGAGGAAGGGAGAGGGAAAGAGAGATAGAAACATCAATGATGAGAATCACAGGTTGGCTGCCTCCGGCATGCCCCCTACTGGGGATCAGCCAGCAACTTGGCCATGTGTCCTGACGGGGAATCAAACTGTGACCTCCTGGTTCATGGGTGGAGGTTCAACCATTGAGCAACACAGGCTGTGCCAAAACTCTGTAAGAAGCTGTTTGGAAATGCAGTGTGACTGGAACTACAAACTGGAACTCTTGGTGAAGAGTTGGCTCACCTAGGAAAGGGGTGATGGAGCAGCATAGAACAGGAAGGTGACAGTTGCTTTGAAAGTTAAAGGGAAAGAGAGCCTCATAATTAGAGAGAGGCCAAAGGTCTTGGTCCTCTTCTTTCCTGGAAAATGCGTGGAGGGGTGAGTAGAAAAGGGGGAGGAGGTATGGGGATTACTGGGAGCTTTTCGAGGGGAACCTCACAGAGGAACCAGCATGGTCCCACAACAGGCAGAAGAGACTCAAACTGCTCTTGACAGAGAATAGATAAATCTCCTTTAACTCACCAAGTTCTCCACTATGTAATACTAGGGTGCTGTCGGAGTGGGTTAAGTGGCCCATTGTCTAAACTGGCCTCGCTGAGAAAATAATGAAAAAGCAAATCTGTGGTGTTATGAATATGTATTTCCAAAATGTTAAATATTTTAGTTTTTCCTTTAAAATAGAAAATTTTAAACCATAATATCAAATTCCAATGCAACAGTATTAAAATCCTGTCCTTAATATGAACCTCACCCAACTTCACAGCAGTCATTTAGAAGCATCATCTTTCTTACACTGAGTCAATAATGCTTTCCATACTGGCTCTGACCCGCCCTCCAGCCCAGCTCGTGTCCTCATGGTTCCGAGCCCATATTCAGGAGCCCATATTCAGTGTCAAAGCTCCGCGAGCCCTTTGGCAATGAGTGTCCTTTAAAGTCCCCAGAGAGGTCTCTGCAGGCTTCCAGACCTTTCTCTTAGTGTGTAACCCCGAGCTCAGTGCCTACAAGTAGAATGTACATCATTTTTCTTGCCCTAAACGTACTGAAATGAACTCATCCTAATGGAGTGTGAGCCCCAGGTAGGGAAGGGGCGACAGCTGCCAGATGATACATGTAGCCTAAATTCAGGGGTCACCCTGGAAGGAAACTAGGTCACTGAGAAGCAACATTTAAGCAAGGAATATGCATATAGAGCTGGAGCAGTTTTAATATCAGACAACAAAGCAGGCTCCTTCCACCTTGCCCATATCTTCTCAGACAGAGCTTAGTGGGTCTCTTAGCAAAGCAAATGGAAGTGATTCCAGCCCTACCAAGTGCTACACACACACCCGTCACCACCCCCAACCCCACCCTCTCAGCATAGCACCGAGCAGAGGACTGTGCTGATCCTGCAGATCGTGTGGCATGCCTTGAACAACATTGTTTTGACAACACGTGATGAATGAAGTGAAAAATGTTTTTCCACCCAGCAAGAGGGAGAAGGGCTCAGTTAAAAGGCAAAGCTTTTGAATGCTTGGAAATTTAAAGTAAAATGTCTTTCTCCCGCATGATCCCATAAACCCAGAGGCTTTATTCAGCACCACATTTGATCCGTTTGTCCTGAGGTTTAGCACCAACACAACCCACAGAACAATTTTAGGGAGACAGTCACTGAGGTCTTGTTGGTCCCAGGTGGCACCATGGTGGGGCCATGTAGGGAGCTCATCACGTCTTCATGTCACCACCTACCTTGGCTCCCAGGTTGGGACAAGGTTGCTCCCCCACGTCAGAACAAACAGAGCAGAATCGGGACTGAATCGAGTCCCAACCCCATGAGACGAGCACTCGTGCAACCCCCTGCTTCTCCGGGGACAGCAGCCTGAGCCTTGTGTGAACTCCTCTGTTGCAGAGATACCCTCAGCCCCGGGGGCAGAAGAAGAAGAAAGTGGTGAAGTATGGCATGGGAGGCATGATCATCGTTCTGCTCATCTGCATTGTCTGGTTCCCTCTTCTCTTCATGTCTTTGATCAAATCTGTTGCCGGCGTGATCAACCAGCCCCTGGATGTCTCGGTCACAATCACCTTGGGTGGTTACCAGGTAATGGCTGTGCACTTCCTCCTGGTTTCGCTCAAGTACCTTACCTCACACAGTACTCTTTCCTGATACACCCCTACGGGACTTGTAGTTAGAGTTTGCCAATCCACATTCCCTATCTGAAGTTTGACTTCTCAGCAAATCTGTGATGTTGGAAATAAGGGGAAGGAGAGGTCTGTTCTGGGTTGGGGTGCAGGAATAATCCCTTCAGAAAAGAGCTCTTTGGGGCGAGCTGCCCCTGGGTGCTCAGGGGTGGCATCCTATGCGAACCTTTCCCCTTTGACCCAGGAGGCAGAGAAGAGCTTCAGAATATTCACAACACTGTGTGTCTTGTTTTCCAGCCTATTTTCACAATGAGTGCCCAGCAAAGCCAACTGAAAGTTATGGACAAGCTCAAGTTTGATTTCTTTACGAAAGCGTTCTCTAGTGACACTGTAAGTAACTGTATATAATAGACTTCTATGAAGAACTTTCATCTAGGTGAGCTGAGGGGTTGTCATATTATTCACTATTTTGCCATGGCCTGGGAGGGGGGGTGGATTTTCAGAGATTTTCAGCTGAACACAACAGATTCTGAGCCACTGGCCATTTTGATCATCGAAGACATCATTTCTATATTATTTCTATATTATATATTTCTATATAATTTTATTTCAGAATATTTCAATGTAAGCTCAACAGGGGTTGATCCTTTTAAAATATTTTTTTTAATTTTTAAAGTTTGGGTAGATATTTATTCTTTTGACTGGTTGGTCTATTCTGAGAATCTACCTTAAAGGAATAATTAAAAATATAGAAAAAGTGCTATGTTAGTACCTGCTTTTGACAACATTCATTGTATTAGTAAAAACTGGAAGCAGCTGAGACCGGTTTGGCTCAATGGATAGAGCGTCGGCTTGGGGACGGAAGGGTCCCGGGTTCGATTCCGGTCAAGGGCATGTACCTTGGTTGCTGGCATATCCCCAGTAGGGGGTGTGCAAGAGGCAACTGATCAATGACTCTCTCTCATCGATGTTTCTAGCTCTCTATCTCTCTCCCTTCCTCTCTGCACAAAATCAATAAAATATTTTAAAACAAAACAAAACTGGAAGCAGCTTGAGGATTAATAGGAACTGGTTGAATAAATCATGGCATGTGTATGTAGTGAATTTGATTAGCTCTGACTACCCAAGGGTGGTCATAGTAAAAGAAGGGGGCTTTATATTTTCTTTACATACTTGGCATTTTCTTCACATATGATGTTGTCTGAATATTTTCCAAGCTACTTCTGTAATAAAAAAATAATAATAATTACCTTTTATAATTAAAAAAAATTTTACAAATAATTTTTATACATTTTTTTTAAATATGGCTTTTTTATTTTAGAAGAAGGAAGAGGAAGAGAGGCAGAAAAACACTGATGAAAGAGAGCTATGGATCGGTTGCCTCCACTTGCCCCCTACTGAGGATCCTGCAACCCAGGCTTATATCCTGAAGGCTTGGAACCAGTGACCTCTTGGTCCTTGAGTTTACGCTCAATTACTGAGCAACACCAGCTTGGCTACAATTAATATTTATTATTTAATTTTTAAAAATGAATTAGGCAGTCCTAACTGGTGTATCTCAGTAGTTAGAGCATTGGCCTGTACACCAGAGGATCTTGGGTTCAATTCCTCCTCAGCAGCCAATACCTGGGTTGCTGGTTCGATTCCCATCCCTGGTTGGGATACCTATGGGAGGCAGCCAATCAAGGTGTCTCTCTCATATTGATGCTTCTCTCCCCTCCACCTGCCCCCTCTCTTCTGTTCGCTCTAAAAAAAAAAAATCAATGGACAAAATATTTTTTTAAAGTGATTGGGTAAACAGAGGCGTTTCTCTTTTGTAAAATTATTGGTCTCTGATGCACACTATCAAAACTAACCTTGAGAGATGAACATCTGTAAGGACAGGGCCAGGATTCCTGGGTCAACGAAATGTGACTCTCTTACCAGAGAGACATTTTCCAAAAGTTGAAAAATTTTCTTCTTAGTGAGAAGGAAAAGATACACTAAGTCATCTGATTTGCCTTTACTATTTAATTTGAGTGATTCCATAGCTGTATTGGTGTGGCAGTACTGCCACTGGGCTTTGATGATGTCACTGGCAGGGGAATAAAGTCAGTGCAATGGGACACCCAAGATAATCTGTATAGAAATGTTCCTTTTAAAGAGGAAATGATCTCTAAACAGTCAGTTAAGAGGAAGAGTGATAACTTTATCATCATTGTGTATGTGATCTATTTATGCATGTGTATTTGTGTGCATATAGGGTGCTATGCAATTTCTGGAAAATTATGAAAAAGAAGACATAACAGTAGCAGAACTGGAAGGAAACTCAAATTCTTTATGGACCATCAGCCCTCCCAGTAAGCAGAAAATGATACACGAACTCCTGGACCCCAATAGTAGCTTCTCTGTTGTTTTTTCATGGAGTATTCAGAGGTAGTTACTGTATTTCCATGCATAATTTCCCTTTTTCCTCAATCTAAACTCGGGATAGGGTGGGGAGCATAATAATATAGAAAAAATATATTAATGTGGATCTCAGTTTGCATTACATTATGGGAACAATTATTCAATGCTACAGCTAACATTTTTGTTTATTAAATAATGGTTTGCCTGGGAATCATTGACAAAACTAAAACTTATTACATTTCCTTTTTTCTACTAAGTTTTTTATTCTTCTAATTATCACCCAAGGAAATTTTTTAATTTATTTGTAGAAAGAGAGGAGAGCGAGAAGGAGAGGAGAAGAGAGGAGAGGAGAGGAGAAGAGAGGAGAGAGAGAGAGAGAGAGAGAGAGAGAGAGAGAGAGAGAGAGACAGACAGACAGACATCAATCAGTTGCCTCAATAGGGGACTGAACTCACAACCTAGGTATGTCACCCAGACTGGAAATTGAATCTACAGCCTTTTGGTGGGCAGGACAATGCTCAACCAACTCGGCCACTGGGCCAGGGCTAAGTTCCATTTCAAAGAGAGGCTGGCAGTGAGTTCTGTGAGCAAGAGAGAAAGGTAGAAAGAAAAAAGGGCGATTACTCATAAAATGAAACAGAACCTGGATGTATTGTAAGATTTCCCTAAAAAGTTGAAGTTTTGGCCTTCTTATGATTTTATTCTTTTCTTTTTTTGTTTTACTAAATTTATTCATAAATCCATACAGGTTTCAAGTGTACAATCCAATAAAGCATCACCTGCACACTGCACCATGCCATCATTGCCCCCAAGCAAAGTATTTTTCAGTCCCCACCCTCCTCTGCCCTCCACCAACCTCCCACCTCCCTTTCCTCTGGCCATCATCACACTGTTGTCTGTGTCTATGTGTTATTGTACATGTTTTTTGCTTAATTTCTTCACTTTCTGCCACTGAAAATTTGGTCTTAATAATAAAGAATGTGCAGCCTTAGGAACCCAGCTTCTCACTTGCATCTCTCCAATATCCAGGGAGCCCTAGCAGATCTTTCCTCCAAGCATGAGATGTGAGAGCAGCTTGGCAGACCCAGGAGAGTGGAGCTGACGGAAATGGCTCTTCAACGAACCTGAGCCAATGGCCAGCACGTGGCTGCTCCTTCACCTGTTTCGACTGAGCATGTCTTAGAAAAAGTTCTGGCATCCCAACGCCAGACGTGTTAGGGAAACAGTTCAGGGGCCTCAACACAATATACCCACTGATTAGTTTCTTCCACCACAGTTGTGACTGAGGACTCTCTACAAGTTTATTTGTCAACCAAGCTTTAGGTTCATGTGGGTCCACCATTCCAGCTTCTCCGATGGAATTAAGAAAAAAATCATGATAGGTACAGAAGAAAGCCTTCTAGAATCTAAAGCGAATTCACAAGGAAATAGTAAAGAAATATTCCAAAAGGGGATAGTTGATCATGCAAAAGAGTTTCTTTAATTTTATTTTCTCGTTTAAATGCCCCAGATTCCTCACATGAAATTCTGTACTGCCAAAAAAATTTACTCCTTAGCCTTTCTTTGAAGACCTACCAAAAAGGTAACAACAACAGGAAACATCACCTTCTGATTGAACATTCTTTTAAAAATGTGGATTCCATTAGTCACCGGGAACATCATTTTCACCGGATTGACATAGAGAGGGTTTGGGAAATGCGTGTCCGAGCAGCAGGACGCTCTCTCTTTTGCTCAGCAGACTGTGCCTCCTCCTCCTCCCCCATTTGTGTGAAAGTGTGTGTGGCCTCCCTGGGGTTTACTAACTTGGTTGTCTAAGAAATGGGACATACAGCTGAGGTGGACAGGAAGGGCTGGGGTTGACAATAGTGGACCCAATAACACCTTGGTGAGATTAATAACATTAAGAGTCAAGTGAGTTGATAATTTATCTTCCAGACTTCTAAATAATCAGTGACGTTGACGTTTTGTATGTTTTTTCTTCACAGAAACATGAGTCTGGGTGCAAAAGCAGAAATAGCAACAGATAAACTTTCTTTTCCTCTTAAAAATATTACTCGAGAGAATATAGCTAAAATGATAGCTGGCAACGACACACAAAGTTCCACAACGCCAGTGTAAGTGGATTGCTCTGTTCCTATAGCTTGAATAGGTGTATGTACCTGGTAAAGAATCCCCACCTACGAATTCATCATGTGCCAGAAATGCACTCATCATTCTTTGATACCTCTAGTGGATTTCTGTTTGGGGGCCTCGTTGTATTAGATTGAAGCAACTCTATTGCATTCCCTCTCGCTCTCTGTTCGCCTAGCCAGGGAATATTGCTCTCACCCCTGAGTGGCAAGCTGTGCTGTAATCACCAAAAGCCAGGGGAAGACTCTGCAAGACCCCTTTTCCTTTTGCTCCTGCTGCAGGGTCACTGAATGCCTAGCTAATGTGTCTGGGGGGCCCAGGGGGAGGGCATTTGGCAAAAGGTAAACAGAAATTTGAGGAGGAAATTATATCTTAACATATTATCATGCCACATGAGTGCTCCATTTCAAATTCATCCAAGCTGTGATGTTTAGATTCTAATGTAAGAACTAGCAACAGAAAAAAAAAAAAAAGTGCTGTTGGTCTAAAACTGCTAAATGATGTCCACCAGCCACTTGCCAGTTCTGTGGCCAGTCTGCCCTGGCCCTGTGTTTATGCTTTGAATGTGGGAACCACCATGATGCCATCCTCAGACAGATTCCTGACTAAAACATCCTTTGTTAACCAATCAAGTTGAAGGTCCCTCGAAGATTGACAGATCCGCCTCCATCACTTCCCAGATGCACAAACAAGTCTAGGACGATGGGACAATCTTCGCAGGTGACCCTGCTTATCCCTGCAGAGGTTGAATAAGGTTCAGGTCACCAGTTCTCTCCTCACACCTTACTCACATCACTAGATCAAATGCAGTCCACCTGATTACCAGTATTTTTGAAATCCTAAAAATCAAGAGTGATCAATGTTATTGATACAAATTATAGGCTCCTAGCAAGAAAGACAGCCCTTTGCTTCAGAAACAGTAGCAGATATGGGAAAATCCCTGCAGCAGTTTTAAGGCATTGATTATTTTGTGTGTAGTGTTTAGATTAGCATTGGGATAAAACCTGATGAATTTGGCTTCAGAGAATTTCGATTATAACCAGTATCCATAAATGGTGGTGACTACACATTGTATAGACATATAAAGACTCTTGCCATTATTTGTTTGATATAAGGTCAAAATAGCAATAAAAATCAATTTTATGTGGGTAAAACAACTAAAACTCAATTACCTTTTTTTTTTCCTTTATTCACAGGACTATAGAAAGGATCTACCCATATTACGTGAAAGCACCTAGTGATTCTAACTCCAAACCTATAAAGCAACTTTTATCTGGTAAGAATGAGAGAGAATCACTCAGTCATTCTTTTTAATCTTTCTTTTATTCAACACACGAGGGTTTGCATTTTTCAACCTCTGTCCAACTTCTTTCCAGTTTTCTTTCCCTTGCAAGAGGCTACGGCTCCTGGCTGTGCTCACCAGCCAGAGGAGTCATTCGCTCACCTGTTCTTCATTTCCTTTTTCTGTTTATTGGTATAGAACCTGATTGACTCAAATTCATATTTAATGACTTACATTACTGCTTAAGTCAGTCTGCTTACTTGTTTCTATTAGCAGCCATATCTATGGCAGAAAGCTGCCTCTTACAGTGTTAAATATGAAGACCCCACAATAAGAGCAATGAAAAGGTAGTAGGAAATGTACTTGATTCAGCCCACAGGTGATTCCACATCAATGGTAGTGCTCCAGGAACAGTGTTTTCCCCAAACAACGGTGATGAGAATGAATTTATGTCTAACTAGTTGTTGGAAAGATGCCCACGTGATGGGTCTTTCCCTCTCTGGCTGCTGCCCTGCACATGTAGCCACAGTATCTGACCTTTTTAGTAAAAAAGAGAAACCCCACACCCGCCTAGGCCCGCTCTTTCTTTTCACTGCATTGTGAACATGGCCAGGCGGGCATCCTGGAATGATATGCTGTGGACGGGAACCAGGTTCTACCATTTGAAGACTGTTGTGGATGTGCATTAAATCCCAAAATTCTCATGCTAACTTGATTTTATATTTTTTCTCTTCCAGAAAATAATTTCATGAATATCACCATCATTTTGTACCGAGATAATACAACCAAATCTAACAGTGAGTGGTGGGTTCTCAATCTGACTGGAACTAGACTCTACAATCAGCATGCCCAGGCCTTAGAGCTGGTGGTCTTCAATGACAAAGTCAGCCCCCCCAGTCTGGGCTTCCTGGCTGGCTATGGGTAAGGACCCTTTTAACAATGAACAGTTACAAGAGTCTATGTCTGCTAACCACTATGCTGACCTCACAAACTAATACAAAATGATATTAGATGTAACTGTAATTGAAAAATAAAATTGAAAAATATGCCCCCTCCCCAAAAGAAAACATTTCTTTTCTTTAAACAGGAGTCTACTTCTGTATCATATAAAGTTGAAGATGGGAAGCCATTTATCTTCTTAAAATTTTCTAATTTTGTAGCTTAAATATTAATTCACAGATCGTTGACCTTCCATCTTAAAAAATAAGGAACCAGAGTCCCAAAGAAGTCCCAATCCTCGTGTGGCTCACAATGCTAATGATGGGACTAGAAGCTGTCTTTCCAGCTTGTTAACTATATCTTCCTGTTAAGCACAGTTTGATTGAAGCACGTCAGTGTTTAAATATAAAAATTAGCATAAATTTATCTTTATTTGCTTAGGTTTCCTTATGCCCTTAATAGATATAGGATCATCAGAAACCATAGTTTTGGATAAGTCCAATGTTACCCTTTCACTACATTCTGATGCTTAAAATCCTAGGACACTGTCACATCCCCTACAAGTAGAAGTAGAAAGTTTTCCATTTTCCGGGAAAAGCCTCTTAAGAAATTGCAAAAGTTTTATTATCAAAATGAATCTCAGATAATGCAGTATTATTAAAGTGAAAGGTGTTAGGTACAAAAAACTATACAGAGTACATTTGGGTTTCCACCAAATATATGATATGGTTGATGCATGTTATTATATGTGGTAAAATCACCTGAAGTTCATACATGAAACTGTTAAAATTAGTAAATCCCAAAATATGAGATTTCACGGGACTTTTCTTTTTCAAATCTTAGAGTTCTGTAATGTGTAATTTTTTTTTTTTAGAAAGAGCATGAATTACCTTTTTTATCATCAAAAAAGTAAATGTTTTCAACCAGAGAAAAACTGTAAGCTTTCCTAAATTTATCATATCTTCTATGGATTTGGAAAGAAAATGTTACGGTTTTCTTTTAGATGTGTTCTGTTGACCATATTTAACTGGTAGCTACAATTTCTACTTTTTTTTTTTTTTTTTTCAGTATCATGGGACTGTATGCTTCAGTTGTCCTTGTGATTGGGAAGTTTGTCCGAGAGTTCTTCAGTGGGATTTCTCACTCCATCATGTTTGAAGAGCTTCCAAATGTGGACCGAATTTTGAAGCTGTGCACGGACATATTTTTAGTTCGAGAGACAGGGGAACTGGAACTAGAGGAAGATCTCTATGCCAAATTAATATTCCTGTACCGCTCACCAGAAACCATGATCAAATGGACTAGAGAAAAAACAAATTGACACCTTAGGACACAGACTGCAAATCAAGATAACATTTGAGTTTTCAAAAACAAAAAAAGCACAATATTCTCATAAGAGCTATGCATTTCTCATTTGATGGAAATGGTTTCTCTTCTGACAGGCGGCCAAAGGGAGTTGGCTTCCTTTTATAGTCAAGGCTACCCTGCAAGTCCAGGCGCTGTTGAAAAAGTTATTTGTACTTCCATTTCTCTGAATCAGGGCTACTTGGTTTATGTTTTCATCAACAGTGTCTTGCATTTTGATAGACTATGTAAAGGAATCGTGGATGGGGCTCCTCCCTCAGAGAAACAGAAGAGAAGGAAGAAGAAAGGACGCCATGTTTTCCTATGTAGGACCTTGTCCTTCTGAAGGAGATGCTATCACACAGGCACAGCGCTATGTCGCCAGTGGGGAAGCTGCTGAGGGGAGAATAGATGGACCTCAGCACAACCCAATTATGCAACAGCAATAGGAGGCTGAAAACTCCTAAACCTATTTCTAGGAGAAAAAGAGGGAGTTGAGACCCTTGAAGATGCCAGTGGATGGATAAGCCTCACTCTAAGCAAAAAGATAACTTAGTGACACTCTTACTGCCTTATCTTAACTGAAGATTAATTAAAAAAAATTTTTTTTCCCAATAAACACCAGTGACTTCTCAGGAAAAAAAAAAAAAAGAAGCAGCAAAACAAATAAGTGGACACGGGCTTTGTTGAGACCCAGCTAGTGATTTATATCCATGGTGGTGGCTGTTCTACTTCAGAGAGCTCATCACTGCTCCTGGTGAAACACAGACAAGAAATAGAAAGACGGGAAATGCCGCCCAGCAGAGGTGGAGAACCTTGACTTTGTAACTCTTTATCAACTGAGGTCATGAGCACTCTTCCACCTTCTCCAACCCCCAACACGCTTTTCCCCATTTCCATGATTAAACAATGGTTTTCCGTATGTGACATTTTTCCTTCCTGTTTTACAGGTATATCAAAGAGTTTACATATTCCAATTCACATTTTTACATCTGAGACGGGTTTTTTAAGTTCATAATTATGAAAGAAATATGTATATTGAGCTTGGGGAAATAAACAATGGTCTTTTCTTAAATTATTGTTACTGGTAATACAACCTCTTCATTAAATAACATTGTAGCATGGAAATTTATGACTGAAATGTAGTTTTCATTCCATATTAAAATACAGTTTCTGAGAAGAATCGTTGAATGGACTAGATTATATCGAGAAAAAATGATCCTATGTAGTTTGGGTTCGGGACTGACTCAAAATAAAGCACATCTTGCAAAGTCATTTTAAGAATATTCTTCATTCTGTCTTTTTGCATTTGATTGTTTTACGTGTTGTGTACAAGGAGTTTTTTAAAATTAACTGAGATAAGAATTCACTTGTTAGTTTGATTGGGGTTTTTTTCTCTCATGTAGGATCTCTATGATAATAATATAAGCAGGAAATAACTATAACAAATTAATTTCCAGAGGAAATTATTACAGTGAATGTAGAGCTTTAAAAGAAAAAGTAGAGTTCAAATGATGTTCAGTGTATTCTAGAGAATTAGAGAATATTTGTTGAACTATGAAAGCTAGCGTGCTTCCTGCCTGCCAAAATAAACGACTCCAATCATTGAAACGATAAACTCAAACCACTCAGGGAACTTCGGCTCATGTTCTGATTTCCCGACAACAGGAAGAATGCATATTTCTGGATCTGAATTCTTTCTTTTTAAAATGTCAACAGGGAATTTCCAGAGAGCATGTTCTAACACATTTAGGAAAGAGGAAAGTAGAAAAATGCTCCTGGAAAAAAACCTGTAAAGTCAAAAAATATCAGATTGTAATATTCCTCAAGAAAACAATTCCCAGATTTCAAGGGGGAAAAAAGGCTTCCCAAGTGTAAGGGGAAAAATACCAAAGGTGTTGACATAAGAAATGTCCAAACTTGTAGAGAATTTTTGGAAGAGTTTATTTGAGCCAAACATCTGCCAGGAGCAAGATCTCAGATGCTCCAGAGAATGACAGTTTTGCAGTTCCTTTTATGCCTTAGAAATTAAGAAGGGGATGGGATGAAGATTACATGGAGGCGGGGGAAAAGCAAAGTATTTGTATTGGCATGTGGACTTTACGTTTTCAACAAAGAAGTTAGTTGGTCAAGGTGGAAATACTAACTTACTTGAAAAATATGGGTGTCTGAGCAATAGGTTTCATGATTTTTACATGTTTCTACTATTTTTAAAAGTTTATCTTTATTGTTGAAATTATTATAGATGTCTCCTTTGTTTTCTCCATTTACCATCTTCATCCCGCACCCATCCCATCCTCTAGGTGTCTACTATTGAGTAAAAGCCACTGGGTGAAAGAACAAATGTTTCTCGTCTGCACCACAGCCCTTCTATCCAGGTGTGAGAAAAAGTAAGTGTGGCATGTCTGAACCTCCTACCCCCATCCAGGAGGTGCTGAACCGTTGACTGGAGAATGGAATTAGTCTACTGTCATGACAGACTTAGACATGCTCCTTTCCAGCCCAGCAAACTTCTGCCACTTCTATCTAGGCTTTTATATCTAGGCTCTCCTCCTTATATCCCTTAGTCATAGTCTATTAACAGATACTTGTCTCCAGTCTGGTAACTAGAACCCCAGGAGATTTTAATGGTTGTATGCTCTGTCTGGAGTTGGTTGTGTCAAAGGGTAAAACCACTAGAATTTGTAAGTCAATATTTTTAGTAACTTTCACATGATAAAGCTTTTCGTTCCTTTGTACATTTTCCAAAAGCAGCAAGTTTGAGATTCATAACTGATGTGGTAATTAAATAAATAGAACGGGCATTGTTTTCCTAAGAAAGCAGACATCTCGGACTCTGATCAGGTTTGTATCTCTCACATCAGGCCTCAGAAATTCCTGGACTTAGTCCATAATGCAACATGCTATTCTCAACCTTAGCAGCTCATTAGATAATCAAGTGGAGCTTACAAAAGTTTCAAATGTAAGCTCAGATTTATATTCACCTCCGGGCTGGACAACACAAATCTAAGGATGTAGGGCATGGACACCACACTGGAGTCTTAAAGTTCAAAGGGTGATTCTAATTTTTAAATAAGTTTTAAATTACTGGCTCTGGAGAACCCTGGCATTCTCGAGAGAGAGAGAGAGAGAGAGAGAGAGAGAGAGAGAGAGAGAGAGAGAGAGAGAGAAAACTACAGCAAAAACAAGTAACACCTGTTGAGGATTTAAGGAGGCCCAGTAAAGAGCCCTGCCTGTTTTGCCTTCTTGGGCTATGACACCTCCTCTAAAGCAACAGAAAAGGGAGGGGGAGCTGAGAGGCTAAAATGTCACCTTTACAAAAATTTAACTTAAAGTGAATCACAGATTTAAATGACAACATTAGGAGATAACATAGGAGAAAAACCTAGAGGGTGTGTGGCAATGACTTTTTAGATACAACACGGAAGGTATACTCCATGGAAGAAACAATGGATGACATGGACCTCATTAAAATTAAAAACTGCTTTTCAGTCCGGCCCATGTGGCTCAGTGGGTTGAGTGTCATCCCACGAACCAGAAGATTATAGCTTGATTCCTGGTCACCTGCCTGGGCGAGATAGAAACATCAGTGATGAGAGAGGATCATTGATTGGTTACCTCCTGCATGCCCCCCACTGGGGATCAAGCCCCCAGCCCAGGTAAATGCTCTTTCCAAGAATAGAACCAACCATGATCTCCTGGTTCATAGGTTGATGCTCAACCAATGAGCCACACTGGCCAAACCCTCAATCTTTTTTTGAATGTTTATTTCCACATGTCCACATTTCTAATTCTCATTCTTTCAGGCAACATAGGTAAGGAGTACCAGCCAGGAGGTTGAGGAAAAATGGATTGTGTGGTGAAAGACTGAACTCCCCAGCCTCTGCTATTAGCCCAGCACCTGCCCAGGTGTTTGCTGTGAGCCCAGGAAGAGCTTACCTCCTGTCCTAATTGCAATGCCCACATAGCTAAGGTTCTAAAACTCATGACAAATTTCCACCTTCTTGGAATTATAATAGTTTAAAATTCATTGCAAAGGGAAAGAAACTGAAGCTAAATGTCCCAAATGGAGAAATGGGAATTGCAAATGCTATTTAAATGGTTCTGGGCCCCTATTTCTCTGTCTGTCCACCACCAAGTCTGAGAAACAGCCTCTGAAGGCCACCTTCCCTCAGGAAACTGCAAGATACCCAGTGCTTCTATCATCAACTGCCCACTAGAGTGCAGGTTGGCCAGGACCAGTAGAAAGCAGGAAGAGGGAGGGTGGTGAAGAAGCGCCTGAGAAGGTGGTTTGAGTCCCAGGCAAAGTGAGCGGCGCTGTGCTACTGGTGCCGAGTTCTGTGAAGAACCACAGGGCTGGTTATGGAAAGTGCTCTAGCACAGCTTGGCAGTTGCATTTCAGTGAGCTCAGCAGGCGTGGTGGCTGGGACCCAGCCTCATGTCAGCAAATGTGGAGAGCGGCTACAGTGTTTGGACAGGTTCAAGCCTCAGATTAATGAGAGGGCACAGTCCTCTCGTGGCAAAGCCACATGCAAGTCCCAGCTTGGAGGGCAGAGCCCTCCCAGCACAATTATAGCCAAAGGCTATAGTTGTAAACTTGACCTAATGGTCCAAACCTGTGGTCCCGCGTGGTTGGGTAATGTGGGCTTGATAGAGTTCAGGTGCATGTAATTGAGTAGATTAGAACATGATTAACATCTTGACCACGCCCTTACTTTGCCTCCTGGAATCTGGCTATAAAATAAAGACTTGGCTTAGAGGCAGGGTTTCTGTCTCTCCATCAGAAAAGCAGCATCACACTGAGCCTCAGCTTTATTCTCTTGTCTGTCTTTTCTAAATCTTTCACCACCCACCCCGCCTTCCTCAGGTTTACCCTTGGCCATGCTGGCATGGCACAAGCAAACAGTTGAATGCTGGAAGAGCATTTAGTGACCTTATTACATCAAGCCATGTAATTCATGGAGGGGCCCGGTAGGT